ACCAGTCACACTATTGATGATGCGAAAATTCCCCCTTTCGAAAAGATAAGCTTCGGCAGAGTAGCCTCATATAGACATGTATACTCTGGCAGCTAAATTCTTACACGCTTATGCCTTTCTTGTCATAATATGTTATTTTGATCGTCCGGTCTGGACTATTATGTTCAATCACAAAAGTTCATAATGCTACAGCTAAGACTCCGTGGAGAACGGATCCATCGTCAGCGCGGCAAAAGAAGCATATTCTCTTTCCGTGTTCAACTCATAGTTGCCTATTTATACTCAGAGGTTGCCTCTGTGCATTTTCTCTTGTCTAAAGCTCACAGGACGGCTTTTTGTACTTTTCCGTCTCCTTAGATTGACTTTGAAAATAGGTTCCTACGCACCAGAAGATTACACCAAAACGCTAGAATCTATTTCAGCGCAAGTACGAGATGCGATTAGACAACTGCCTCATTTCAGCGATCTGAACCATGATGAGACCAGTCCGATATTTCGCCCGGCTGCCGAAGAAGATCTAGCTAGAATTCGAGAGCTGGCAGTGCCAACACTAACACGCACAGTCGAGGAAGTCATTGGCGAAATGAACGACATCTATTCCTTTAGGACGCGTGTTGGCCACCCGCGCTTTTTAACAGCTGTTCCATCCGTCGCAACTCCTGCATCTTGGCTTGGTGACGCACTTACATCTGCATTCAACACCTTTTCTGGGGTGTGGCGAGGAGGGCCTGGGATAGCAACCATTGAGCTGGAACTCATTGCTTGGCTGGCTGCTCAAATTGGCTTGCCCTCTTCGGCAGGTGGACTTTTCGTCTCTGGAGGCTCCGTGGCCAATTTGACGGCCATGACGGCTGCGCGCGATCAACGCTTGAAGCAGGACGATCGAAGCAAGGGCATCATCTACTTCTCTGACCAAACCCATTTCTGCGTACCCAAAGCCCTCCGGATTTTAGGCTTTTTCGAAAACCAAATGCGAAAAATACCCTCGGACAAGACGTTTTGCATGGACATAGCCAAGCTTGAGGAGGCCATTATTGCGGATAAAAGCCAAGGACTTGTCCCATTCCTTATTGTTGCAAACTGTGGTACAACTAACACGGGGGCCATCGACCACATGGACGAGATTGCAGACTTGGCTCAAGAGCACAACATGTGGATGCATGTAGACGGTGCTTACGGCGCCTCCGTTGCGTTATCAGGGCAATACCGTTCGCTGGTAGCAGGGCTTAGGCGCGCGGACAGCGTTGCGTGGGACGCTCACAAATGGCTATTCCAGACGTTTGGCTGTGCCATTACACTTGTTCGTGACAGAAGGCATTTAGCAGAGAGCTTTACCCTCAGCGGCGACTTTCTGCAAGACATTGCATCCGGAGAGGACCAGCCGAATCTCTTCAACTACGGCATTGAGCTTACACGGCCGGCTCGCCATATGAGACTCTGGTTCTCGCTACGAGTGCTGGGAGCGGACACGATCGCGCAGATGATTGATCATGGATTTCTGGTCGCTGCAGCGGCAGAAGCCAAATTGGCGACATTACAACATTGGAAGATCACGTCGCCGGCCAGACTAAGCACCGTCACTTTCCGATTCTGCCCAGAAGGGATGGAGGAGAATGCTGCGGATCAGTTGAATGGCATCATTTCTACAGACGCGTTGCAGCAGAATATTGCTATGATTCATACTACACAAGTCAATGGCCGGACCAGTCTGCGCATTTGTACTATCAATCCGCTTACGACTGTGGCCTGTATGGAGCAGATTATTGAGCAGCTACATGCCATAGCCTGCAAAAGTGCATTAGAATTGTAGATTCAAATAAGGAATGGATTGTATGGCTTACACTTACTTGACGAGTCTAATGGACGTTTAAGGCGTTGCGCGACATCTAGCCAAGGAAACTGAAACGGCACTAAGGTATATATCATGACTACTATTGAAAATGCTGTGAAGCATATATAGTGTGACTTTTCACGTCCCGTTGACGCACACAAAGAAATGCCGAAGCCGCCTTGCCGCCGTTGCGTTTTGGCCCCCATCCAAGATGATTCCGTCCAATTGCGACACAGCGGCTGCACGCATCCAGCAATGCAATATGCGAAGCTAATATCGCTTGAGACATGCACTCTATTAGCAGTTGCCTGCTTTAATAGTGCTTCGAAGTATTCTCACGAGGTCAAATACGCAGACAAGGTCACATCCAGGTCATTCAGTTTCACACGCAGCTTCATTTGTCTATGATGACGAATTTATTCATAATACAACGTCTAGATGCGGTCAAGAAAGTCTCTAATTAGTTAGTCAAACAAGATTGCGAATGTCTAAGAATATCAGCGTGCATTTGCCAAATTAATTACAGGTATCATCAAACTCCTTTACAAAACGTTACAAGCAGCCCTTTGCCGAAATTACATCTTCCCCTGCAAGTGCCACTGGAATATCTTCCTAAAGATATCCTTTCCATTTCCCTCGAGCACATCACCATGGCAAGGAATCAGCGTGACGAAATCCCACTTATCAATCACCTTCAGGCTGTCGCTCATGCTGTTGCGGTCCTTGGCGAGATGCCAGTTGAACCGCTTGGGCCAGGTGGCTTCGCCGCTGGTGTTCTGCACGCTGTGGAAGATCTTGTTCAGGAACCCGCTGGGCCTCTCCGACTCAGGCACCTTGCTGTACTGCTCAGTAGCCGGTAAGTTGAACATCAGATCCGCCTCAATCAAGACCTTGTCTGGCCTGTAGTTGAAGACGAGCTCCTTGTTGACGTGGCCATCGACGTACTCATAGTCAAAGTCAGCGTCAAACTCTTCGCTGATTCGAATGTCGCGCTTTCCCTCCTTTGTGAAGACAACGGCAAACTTGTCGTCGTTGATTTTCGGGTCCTTGGTCTGCTTTGCGCGCTTCTCAGGAAGACCCTCTGGGCCGATAATCTTGGCTTCGGGCCACTGCGCAGCCCATTCAGAGACGAAGATGTGGTGTTCAAAGTCCAGCGCGATGATGTACGCGACGTTGCCGCCCAGCTCTGCGACCTTGGCCTTGGTCTCTTCTGTGAGGGCAACGGGCGAGAAGACGGCGAGATTGCCAGTTGTGAGCCTCACTGTTGGATGATGCGATTAGCACAGCTGCATGCATTGGTGAGACATTCTGGGCGCTAAGCCCTTATTATGTGGGAATGGTGAGACATCAAATGCATGTACATACCTAGCGTTCCACGGCCGCCAATCTGGATTCTGCCGAATCGTGCAAAAGGCACAGAGAAGGTCACCACGTTGGGTGTGACATTGCGGATGACCATGAGATCAGCCGGGTTGGCCGGAATCAAGCTTGAAGACATTTTGTGTGAGATTGAGATGCTGGGTGAAACGTGCAAATATCGTGTCGTTGCAGGAGTTGCGTGTCGAGGCGTGTAAAGGGTTAAGAAAGCAGTCTTTGTGATGATGTTATTGCTTCTGAGTCCATGACGCAAGACTGGCGACGATGCGACGCGGCCACTATTTAAGCACCCGGGCCATACAGCTAGACGCTGATACCGTCCCATCTGTAACTCAAATTATTTCTGGTATATCCTATCTCGGATGCTTTCCTTTGTAAGCATCCAGGGGGCAACGATGAGAAACAATCAATGCTAATCGGCATTTGGGTCCTTAGCGGCAACAGCAGCCGTATCGAAATTCCAAATTCTGGAATTCCTCGGTCACCGCGATCAGGTCAGTAAACCTTAGTGGCACGATACGTGTAAAAAAGGGCACGTACCCGAATGCGGCTATCCAAAGAGCCGAGGCTTACACCCAGCAGCCTAATCAAGCTCCAGTAATCTCGTCCCTTCAGGGTGCTAGATCTTACACGAGATCATGACATCAATCGGACTCGGAAGGAAAATTCCCCGTTTGGCTGGGTCAGGCGGTTATTCGGTGCTGATGAACAACCCGGCGATATGATACAGCGCAGGGCCCGTCCGAGCTCGTCCGTAGGATTGCGCGGAAAGGCGGCGCTGGTTGCGCCAACTACGGACAAACAACGCCTGTAAATTATATAATTTTCGCCGGCGCGCTTAATGTGGAACAGCATACGGGTAGGGCAGAGGCTATGCCGCGGCAAGTCCCCAGCAAATGAGTGAGACGCCTAAAACTCCTGTACATGGGACTGAGTTTTACCTCGACTCCACTGGGCACCCAAGACTCAGCAGCCAATTGAACCCTTTATTGGCGCCACAAACAAACTGAAAGCATGGTTCGCTGCCAGGAAAATTAAACAGGGTACATATTCTAGCTTTTTTCTAGAAGCTACACCAATGACCTAACACAGACCCTCAATGTACCTAGTAAGTCTAGATCCTAGAAGCATTCCTTGAGGTGGAACCACAGCTGCAGTATTGGAAACCCCAGAGTCTGTTAGATATCCAGAACTATGCATAGGTAGGAACAAGAGGAGATTCTCCAAGAAGTAAGCTCTATAGCACCTATGACCAAGTACGAGGCTCTCTCGGCCGAAGACTTCGATCCGGCTGAAGGACCCAGCGCCAACCTTGCTCAACCGCCCCGATCGGCCCGGGAACCACTCAATCCACTTTGCTCCGAGCTTATATGAGCAATGACTCTTTCCTGTGCTAAACTCTAATACTGGGGTCCAGGGCTTTTGATGAACATACAGGGTCTTACATAGAAATATTCCCCAAGGAGAGCTATACGCGTACCCGAATCGTCGTCAAGCGGCCTCCAGGAAAGAAGGGAGGGACATACACTGGAGTCGATAGGCACATGCACATTGAGACTACAGCTGATATAGGCATCAGGACTAGAAATTTGTGAACAATGTAATAATACACTAACTAGTGACTGTATCAATCGCTGTGGTAGTAATACACTAATAATAACACACCAACTAATACAAAATTGATCGCTGTGGCAATATACACCAAGTTTTGACAGGATTTATCGCTGTAATAATATACAAATCATAACAAGTCTACCCTTCCCAGTTGCTCTGTGATCCTTTTTCATCAAATTCATTCGAGGCTGCCAAGGTTTCTGGCGGCAAATTCCTGATCGAGTCTTGCGTACCACTGCCGCTCCGCCTCTCCGCCGGGGAATAAATCAAGATCTATCAAGTTCTCAAAAGAATCCTGGACCCTTGTCGAGTAGTCATGGTGAAGACGACTCCATTTAGGATCGTATGGAGAGCGACAGGCCCCGAGACGATGGTACGTGGAAAGCCTCACACTCCACTCCTGCTGGTCCTCGACTCTTTTCACAGAAAAGTCGTAGTCCGCGAAGCAGTCTGGGCATGAACCATATAGCACATCAGTCTCTTTGTCAATCACGGCGTATAGGTGGTTCATCGGCTCGTCGGTGTGCTGGATGAGGATGTCGCCGTACGGCTCCGACACAATTTCCAGGTGGTGACAGATTGGTAGGTGGATGCTGCCCAGGAGGGCTGCAAACTGTTCGAAAGACACCAAAGGTCCGTCAATCCTGTTGAACCTGCCAATAAAGAGTTCGTCGTTGATGATTTTGGGGACGTAGTCAAAGGAGAACCTCCAAGGCTTCCACAAGCTGGCTTCGTTTGGCCCTAGCCCTTGGTCGAAAACACCTTGGTTGAAGAGGTTCAGAGACTGTCGCCTTCGCGCCATCTCATCATCGTCATCCCAATCAATTTGGCCAAAATCCATATCGTTATTCAAAACGATGTATTTTTCGAACGCAGCGTGTCGTTCCAGGTTCCGCAACGGCAATCCGTATCGACTGCCAAGGAAATGCCGGTCCATAACCAGGTACGCGTCCATGAAGGCGAGTTTGGCCTCCCTCGAAGCGGGATGCCAGAGGAGTGACCTGATGTCCGCATTTGAATACCGCCTTTGAGCCGAACACCAGTCCCACCAGGCCCAGTAGGAGGAGGCGCTGCAATCTTGGTGGCTTTGGTCTCCCCATGTGCCGTTGGGGTTCAAGGGGCATAGTTTATTGCATGCAGCACAGATATAGGTGTTGGGGGAATCTCTTTGCAGAGCCCTTATGAAGTCGACAATATCTTGACGCTCAAAGGCTAGCTTTCCTTCCTGGAAAAGAAGGTGCACTGCATTGTAAAGGGCCTTGTGAGTCATGGCCAGAGAAATGATGCTGGACTTTGGCAGATAGTCTAGGATCGAGAGCAAAACGTCCAGTGGGAATTGTGCGAGAACAATTGGTGATGACGAAGGCAATGACGAAGCTGGGACTGATGATGGTCCATCTTGCGCAGAATTTAGAGTGGTATCTTCCAGCTCTGTAACTCTGTTAGGCGCATCGACGCTCATCGGAAGAAAATTATTGCTGTTATGTACCCTGAACATTGTGATGAACAGTTGGGTATTGATTTGATTGTTGGATAGATGTACTTCAAAGCAGCAAGGATATAATGCTGAGCAGATGGGCGCTTTGAAGCAATGAGAATGTGTCAGTTGCCTCTTTGGTAGTCTTGCTCTGTGTTTATATTGTGACAATCAGCTGGCTATTGACTTGACTGTCGGATAGAAGACACTCCAGAGCAGTATGATTATCAGCTGGGTACTGATCTGATCGTTGAATAGAAGAGCGCTCTAAAGCAGTGGGAATGTATTGGTAGTCTCTGTGGTAGTCTTGCTCTGAGTTGGTGTTCAGACAATGAGCTGGGTATTGCTTTGACTTCTGGATAGATAGGTGCCTCAAAGCAGTACGATCATCAACTGGGTACTGATCTGATCGTTGGTAACAAGGCACTTCAAAGCAGTGTGATAATCAGCTTGATATTGATTTGATTGTTGTATAAAAGCACTTCAGAGCAATGTGAAAGTATTGGTCGTCTATTGGATTCTTTGCTCTGTGTTGATGGAAATGAAGAGGATGCAGGCCAACTCTCCAAGAAGAATAGGAGTTTTACACAATTTATAGTGCTCTTCCGCCCATGTCTTCATTTGAGAGATATTAGTCTTTTACTTTGGCATCAAGATACTTTATCACACGCCCTTGTGCAGTCCTCGTCTACATCTCTGTACTTTATCTACAGCAGGAAGCCCGTATAGTTGGCGGCGGAAAAGGCCCGTAGTTACATATATAAGGACTGACTCTAGTTCAACTCAAGAACCAGCTCCACGAGGCGTCCCTATGTGGGCAGCAATTGAGTTTAGTCCCCTACGATGAATCTTAAAAGTCCAGCCGTTCATCGCCTATGGGCAAATACATCCAGAAAAGTCACAAATTCCCTAACCTCCCTCCGGCCCAGGGCGATTGGTACATAGAGAGTAAAGGCATACGTGTACCTGGCTCCGGCATTTGAGAAAATAAGTACGTGCTGTGACGATATTTAGGAACATTTGTGGGTGCATTATTGGGTTGACGCGTATGGGCGTAAATCCAACAAATTCTATTTTGTTCCTACCTATGCACCCCAGGGGTGTTTCTGTCCCTGTAAGAATAACTCCTCTGAAAGGCTTAGGAAATCTTCCAGTGCCTTTCATAAGGCTTAGAAAATCGTTTAGTGCCTTTATACGGCTTCTAGACGACTTATAAGAGGTAGTCCCTCGGTCCAGAAACACCCCTGGGGCGCGTAGGTATGGTGATAGTGGGCACGATAGTATCACTTATACAAGCGTTCAGCAGCCACCTTTCTGTACATATAATATGTAGCTCGAGATGATATCTCTGCAATATTCATGTACATGGGCCTTCTCATCGGAAAGGGCCAGAAAATTATCTTACGTAAATAATACATTATACACCTATTACACCGCCTCGCATAATGTTCTTTCTCATCTCTCTCGCGCGCCGTGTGAAGTAGTTGGTATACATATAGTGAGAATACAGTGCGCATTCAAAACCAACACAGTTGGCCGGATGATTCCTCCCGATTTCCCGACCTCGCTTGATCCACCTCCAGCTTCATATCAGATCGCAGCTTCACGATCTCCTTCCAAACGCCAATCCACAAGCCATTGGAAGCTGACACGGCGCCGTGTCTTGCGCCAATCATGTCTGCCTCACTACTCCGACCGCGCTTGGCCGCCACAGGCCTCCGAGCTGCTCCCCGATCGACGATATGCCCGCATTCGCAAAAATCCATCCCCCGGCGCCACAATTCAAGCTCGACAAGCAGCGCCAGCAGCTCCGGCAGCGGACTCAAGGTCGCGGCTTATAGCGGAGCGCTCGCAGCAGCCCTTTACGCCTCGTACCTCTATGCGACCGACACGCGAGCATTTGTCCACCGATATGTCGTCCCGCCGGTGCTTCGGACCGTCGTCCCCGACGCTGAAGATGCGCACCACGTGGGTGTCAATGCGCTGAAGTTCCTGTATGAAGTGGGCTTGAATCCTCGAGAGCGCGACTCTGCGAGCGACTCCAACCTCGCAACCTCCGTTTTTGAGCACCAATTGGCAAACCCCATCGGCATCTCTGCAGGTCTTGACAAGGATGGCGAAATCCCCGATGCGCTGTTTGCACTGGGAGCTGGCGTCGTTGAAATCGGAGGCTGCACGCCGCTGCCTCAGGAGGGAAACCCTAAGCCGCGAGTCTTCCGAGTGCCCATCCTGGACGGAATGATCAACCGATACGGCCTCAACTCGAGGGGAGCAGACGACATGTCGATCCGCCTGCGGGACCGACTGCGACGATTCGCGCGCTCAATAGGAGTCAGCGAGGAGGAAATCATCAGTGGTGAAGCCGGTGTTCCTGTGGGAAGCTTGAAGCCTGGACGCCTACTTGCGGTGCAAATCGCCAAGAACAAGGAGACGAATGAAAAGGACGAGCAAGCCATTGCTTCAGACTACGTCTACTGCACAAAGCGGCTGGCTCGCTATGCCGATGTCCTGGTCGTCAACGTCAGCAGCCCCAATACCCCCGGCCTTCGAGACCTGCAAGCAGCGGAGCCTCTATCACGACTCCTCTCAGCGGTTGTCGATGCAGCCTCTCAAACCGATAGAAAGACCCGCCCCAAAGTGATGGTCAAGGTTTCTCCCGACGAAGACGAGGACTCCCAGATGGAAGGCATCGTCCAGGCTGTGCAGAAGAGTGGCGTTGACGGCATCATTGTCGGAAACACCACCAAGAGACGAACCGGCCTAAACCCCAAGGGAGCCCGACTCTCTGTCAGAGAACAAAAGGCTCTGATGGAGGTAGGTGGCTTCTCCGGCCCAGCCATGTTTGAGCGAACCTTGGATCTTGTTGGGCGATACCGCAAGCTGCTTGACTCGCAACCGGGCGGTGGTAAGGGAGAGCAAAAGGTCCTTTTCGCGACTGGAGGTATCACAAATGGAGAACAGGCGCTCAAGGTGTTGAATGCCGGCGCAAGCGTTGCGATGGTGTACACGGGACTGGTTTACGGAGGCGTTGGAACTGTTACAAGGATGAAGCGGGAGATGCGTGAGGCTCTATAGAGGGATTTTATTTGAAAAGGCAACATGAATGCCGTGGTGTGAAAATTTGGAGGAGCGTATTAGAAGCGTTAAAAGGAGAGACATGATATACTACCAGTAACTTGTATTTATAACCAAAAACAAAAGCCAGATAGCAGCGTTATGTCGCTGTAACAGTATAGATCTTCAAATTCTTATTATTTGTCAAGCTTTGCACACACTTGATGAGATTGACTACATTTATCGTTGCTTTTGATTCGAAGATGTCATACAGATTAGCCTTTTTTTTCGTCGTTTACGGCAATTGGCTAGGATTTCAAATAATTCAATTGTTATATCGAGTCACATTAGATCTTAGTAAGACCAATGATAATACAATCATGCTCCTTTCAAGGATACATCTTCATCTTCATAGATTCCGTCATCCACATCAAATGCAGGGTAGAGTGCAGCGAATGCACTAGCCCCAATTTAGCAAGGCGCAGGAACAGCAAGGATGCGCCACATGCCCCACTAAAAAGTTCAATCGATATCGATTTCTCAAGTCCATCCAAATTTTACCACCAGCCCAAAAGTCGCTTTTGCTGAGCATCAATACCCGCTTCATCACATCATGGCCGCCGCAACAACATTACCCGCCTTGCTGGCGTCACTAACGCAGTCGCTGTCTCTCGCGCAAGAAGGAACCTCTAAAATCTCCACAATTGAGCATCCCAAAGATGGAATCTCGCTTCTCGACGTCAAGAACGAGCTGCTGCTCTCATATCTCCAAAACCTGGTCTTCCTAATCCTCGTCAAGTTACGGAATGCCAAGTCGGACGGAAAGGATGCGTCAAAAAAGAAGGACGAAGATTTAGACGAAGTGGTGCGGTCGAAACTTGTTGAGCTGCGCCTGTACCTCGAAAAGGGAGCCCGACCGCTGGAAGAGAAGCTGCGATTCTCCATTGACAGATTCCTACGAACGGCGGAAGATGCGCAGCGACGAGAGAAGATCAAGGAGATCAAGGATAGCGCCAAGACTGGCTCCAGCACAGATGAATCCGGCTCAGATTCTGAACAAGACGAAGATGAAGACGACTCTGAAGCCGAAGAGACTGGCTTCTCCAAGCCACAAACCAAGAACGGAGCCGCCCCTAACATGGGCTCTCTCATTGACGACGTCGCCATCCGTCCCGCCCAACGCAGCGAAGAAGACGGCGCCCCTGCCGGCGTATACCGCCCGCCTCGTCGCGAGCGCCAAGTCATGGAAACGACAGAGACTCGCGAAAAGGCCGCTCGTCGCCCCATGCGCTCACACACCATGGAGGAATTCGTTGCTTCCGAGCTCTCATCCGCACCCATGGCCGAGCCTAGCATCGGCACAACCATCGTCCAAGGCGGTCGCAGAATGAAGACGACTCAAGAACGCAGAGACGAGGCCGAGCGGACCGAGTACGAAGAAGCAAACTTCACTCGTCTGCCTCAAGAGAGCAAGAAGGACCGTGCCAAGAAGGCGAAGCAGGCCAACCGAAGTGGTCGGATGCAGTTTGGTGGCGAGGAGTGGCATAATCTCGGCGAGGGCATTGATCGTATTGATCGCCTGACGAAGCGAAAGGAGGGCGGTGCTGGTTCTGGCGTGAGAGCCATGCTGGAGAAGAGCCGGAAACGTGGAGCTGAGACAGAAGATGGGCCGAGAGGGAGTGGACACCAGATGGGAGACAGATTCCACAAGAAGGCGAGATTGTTGGATATTGGACGAGGAAGCAGAGGCAAGGGACGGAAATAGACTTGGGATATCACTTTGTAATGACGCAATATTTGTGTGCATATTCATACATGGCGTTTTTGGTTTATAAAAGAGTGGTATGGAGAATTATGTCAAGGTTCAATGATATGATGGTTGCATTATATCCCTGCCTAGCTATGTCGTTCTTAAATATTATCCAATAAATGTGTTAAAAATGCAGATATCCTCATATCTTCCCATATGCGCCTCTTGTGCAATTAATCTATGCTATATACCCATCCCTTTATTTAGCCTCAAGGGCTTTAGCCTCAGGCGCTGTAGACTCGGGGTTTATCCCCTCAGCTTTAATAGCATCTGCCTGTACAGCCTCAGACATTATAGGCTCAGGTTTCGTAGCCTCGGGCATCTTGAACTCGGTAGTTTCAGGTTTTATAGCCTCAGGCTTTTTAAGCTCAGGCTCTCTAAATAGCTCCTTCTCCATCTTCTTCGGACACAAATCGTCCCACAAGACAACGCTCCCCTTATCAGTGGGAATGCCCTCATGTAGCTGAGGCGCGCCCTCTTTCCGTCTTTGCTCCAGCAGCATCCTCGACCTGCCATGCCACCAGGTCTGGTTCCACTGCTCTTCTCGGTGATACTTTTCCACAGAATTGTGGTGTATCATGACAGGAACGGTGCCGATGCAAATCTCTGTGTAAAGCGGCATCGTCTCCCATTCATTGGGATAGCTACCCGCGAGCCATGGCAGTTGCTGATTTCCAGGCAGATCCAGTGGGAGAGGCAGTCTATCAGTTTTAGGCACGCATTCAAACTTGCCCTGTTTGCCAACCTGCGACTTTAACAGGCGGCTGTGACGAATGTACCTCGCGTCAGTGAGAGCATTCGAAGTCTGATGGCCTAGCAGAGACCAATAGTCCAGGGCGATACCAAACTCGAAAGGCTTGTTAGGTAGATGTGTCTTGTTATATTTTTGGTGAGTGAACCCTGGCTCTAGGCGGTCAGTAATAGGAGCTTGTTGAACATCAGTTGGAGGAGGCTTCGATCCAGCTCGCCCTGGAACGACTTTGTCGAGCATGTCGTCTATTCCGGTCCGGTGGTGTCGTCGCATAACCTCTCGATAATACTCCTGCTCGCCAAACATCTCGACAAAGATGCTCTGATCGCTGCCATGGTAGCAGAAATCAGAAGCTCCCGACTCGTCATCAAACGAAGCATCTTTCCGGTTCTGACACTCTTTTAACTTCTCTAGCGCCCGCTCTAGAACGTGACGCATCGCACCAACAGGACCGATAGTGTATCCCGAATTAAGATAACGAGTCCGGAAACTGGCCCACTCGTTGATTCCGATGAGAGTGTCCGTATTGCCTCCATAAATGTCATTCGGGAGCGGTGATTCGGGCACGGGATAGCAAGAGACAGAGTTGAGTAAGTTGGGTGCACACCGTTTTCCTGCACCAAAGACGATTTTGGAGTTGATGCCTTCGTTGTTGTAAGCTCTTCCCATACGATGAGCGACCCGGGCGTTTTCTTCCTCGATAATGGCGTCGTAACGGGATAATAATATGTTCAACGGTAGCTGAAACCAGATGTCGTAGGCATCAAGCATGAAAACAAGCTCATCGTCAAAGCCAGGCTGGCTGCGGCGCACAGGGTCGTTGATATAGTCCAACGTTCGCGTAATCTTTGCAAAATGCGAACCGCCTCCTAATAGGCCTTTGGCTTTGTCCTTGTCTTCCCAAGCAATAATCGTAGGACTAGGATAGCCGAGAATCGTCATGGTTAGGAGCGTCTTGCAGAAATTGACATTGCTCTTTGTGGCTGGGAGCAGGATGTGTATTTTTCTTTCCGTAGGAAGAGAAAGATTTGATGTTGTGCCATTCTGATTCTGATTCTGATTCTGGTTCTGATTCAATGGCGACTGGAAAATGCGACTGGTAGTCCATGGCTGCTTGATGGTTTCTGAGCCAGGCTGTCGGATGTTGTGCTTCTCACAGAATGAGTTGGTGTGCAAAATGTATTGGCTTCAAAGACGACTTACAGGGGTTATCACTATCAACAGGAAAGTACTTAGAATGAAGGCGATTCCGACCAACGTCGCAGGACGCCGGCCTCGGAGCAGTAATAAATTCAACATGATTAACGAATGTGAGAAATAAAAGAGTGTGTGGAGTGTTAAAGTTGGATCATATCATAAAAGAGTAAATCGTAAAAATACTGTTAAAAGAACGAGTCGTAAAAGATACTGTTCAAAAGAGTGACAAAGGTGAAAAGAGTGTAGAGAAGCACGCCGTCATCGCAACCAGCTAGTGCTGGCGGTTACCCCTGATCAGAGCGATCTCTGCGTTAAACGCCTCCAGCTGTCAAAAGTAAAAAAAGAGAAAAAGGAGAGGAGAAGAAAAAAAAGAAGAATAAGCCATACGCCACATATTATGGCTTCAACGTCGAAAAGGCCATTTCCAGATTGGTGTCTAGCCGTATCTTAGGCGCTGAAGCTATGAAATCGATAGCGCCGGGCTTGTTCAGCTTTTCAGCCGCAGATTGCAGATCCTCCTTTGATCCAGGAACGAAAAGTCAGCATTGGGTGTAAGTCTTTGAGAGCAGCCGGTATGGCTCAAAAGGGTTATGCAACGCTGGGTGCCCAAAAATATTTTTAGTCTTTCATCTATTGCAGGCAGATGTCTATAAGATGCAACTAAACTTTTTTGTCTGTCGCTGCTCCATGGAGTAAGAATTCTGCCCTTGATATTATTTCTCCACTCGATCTAGCTCTTATAGCGGGGATGCCAAGCCAGATATTTCCACATCCATCGCCCGGTTGATTTACGCGAACGATGGTGTTAGAAGGTCACGAATGAGGAATGAGAAATGCCCTGGCTATGTGCTCTAGCTGCTGCGTGAGCGGCATCTATGGACTTTGGCTAAACACAACATACTCACGCATATTCATACTTGCTCAATGTTTACTCTTTTTCATGTTATTTTCGCCTGCTTTCTACGGTGAATTGGCTTATTTCTTAAATCCGTTTACCTTGGCTGAGCCCCAACGTACTTGAAGTGTACTGCCTTTCACAAGACAACTATTCCTTTATATCAGCACGATGTATGCTTCGTCCTCTATATTCGATAGACGTATCGTATTCTTCATGGATAACCATGCTATTTTCTTTTCAAAGCCAACTTGCCATAGTAATCAATAAATTCTTCGTCTACCAAGGTATTTCTAAACGGCGATGCTACGGAATGTATGCTGGCTTACCGCATCCTCACTTATATATACGTTGCATATCTTTATTAAATCCGATCATTAAACCAGGGACCAAGAAAAGCTCTTCGTAACACCAATTCTTTACAGCTTATTTAAGCATATATATTTGGAATCACAAATCAATTCTCTCGATACGAATGTATACCAAACACCGGCCTTATCAATCATGGAAAATGCATCGGGTTAAAGCTCGCCCACAGGAGACGTAATTGATTTGGACTAACAGCTACATGCATTACTCATTAGAGTATGTGTGACTTACCAATCTGGGGAAGAGCCGGGCGTGCGGTGCTGAAGAGTGGATCGATCGGATTAGGGGCGGATTAAGTCGGAATAGAGGAGTTGGCGGGATACAGCAAGAATACAGGCCTAGTATTCCGTAATCCGCAATATGCAAAGACTAGGTAGTAAACAAATGGCCATGGATGTATTTGGAAATCTCATGCGTGAAAACGAAGAAAGACCAACTTAGAGTCAAAGCAAACATGAAGATGAAAAAATATATAAGGCCTGTCGTCTACCCTCATCAACACGATTTCTACAACTACCAGCAGCTACACAAACTCGAGCAGAAGTAATTATTCGAATACTCAATTTTTCAAAATGTCAACTCAAGAGACAGCCAAAACACTGTACCTGGATGCAGAAGGCATCAAATATGCATACCGTCTCATTGGAAACTCTACTGCCAACAGTCACTCGCCTCCTTTGCTCATGCTCAACCATGTTCGGGCAACAATTGATACCTGGGATCCTGAAGTCATCAACAACCTCACGGCCACTGGCCGCCAACTCATCACCTACGACTATGCCGGAATCGGACATAGCCAAGGCCATATCGCACCCTCTATCAGAGGCTTCGCCGTCAACTTGATTGCATTTCTCAATGTCCTCTTGCCGTCTCTGCATACTCAACATGTTGATGTTTTGGGTTTCTCCATGGGCGGCTTCGTTGCCCAACAGTTGGCTCTCGACGCGCCCAATGTGGTTAACAAGATGGTTCTCTCTGGCACCGGACCAAGTCTTGGGGCGGACCTTCAACGACCGATGAATGAAGTGCAATCCAGTGTTTTCAACCCAGTGCGAGATGCTACAATTGTCGACATATTCTTTCCACCTTTTTCATCTGCATCTACCAACCTGGGCGAGGCTTGGCTCAACAGAAGCACCACCGCGCGAAAGGGAATTGCTGGAAAGCACGGAGAGCCTGAAGTTGAACTGTTTACCTCTGGAAACGATCTGGTCAATCTTACTCAGGCTTACTTGACTTGGGATGCCGACCCGGTCCCCTATTCCCTGTTGCAGACAATTCAGAAGGACACTCTTGTGACTGCTGGAGACAACGATCTTATTGTTACGACGCAAAACTCTTATGTATTGGCTAGACAGCTACCGCGAGCCAATTTCGTCATGTTCCCCGGCAGCGGTCACGGCCATCTCTTCCAGTACGCAAGCTACTTCACAAAGGTCGTTGGGGAGTTTTTGGACGGTAAACTGCCTACACCGCCAAGCTCTGCAGGGACGGTTCCCCCGTTCGGAACATATGGAGACTACAATTAGGACCAATTCGGACTGACTAAGACACCATATCCATATCGGTCTCGGATGCCTCGCTTCAATCAAAAATCGCCGTATTTAGATCACATATAGACTTTCTCATTCTAGAACTATGCAATTGCATCTATAGATAATACTACTTTTTCTAATATTTTCTAATAACTACCAAAAAAAATCTGATTTAGTGAGCTCACTCCAATGGCTGTGGAAGGCAATGAGCCTATATCAGTGTAGATCATAGGGCGGACCTTATAAAATACCGGTGACGATTCGTGCATCAATCATTTGAGCATACAAAGCTAAATAGATCAGCTTTTAACTCACTCTGAGCTATAATGATGAGAAACTTACTAGCAGCTCTCCATCTCTTGCCTATCTCATTAAGAGCCTCTTTGATAGTGGCACATGCGGCTGCATCGCTCAAGTTACCTGTCCGAGAATGCTCTCGCCCATAAAATACTGCGCCTCTGTATATTGCTTCAACACAGAATGGAGTGATCTCATCGGTGGTGCAACAACCTGAGGAGAGTATGGCATTGGCCAATCGAAGCATTCCAGCTGCAATATCACGTTTGAAGTCTTGGGGTAGAAAGTTTTCCGTTGCAGCAAATGGAAACTCATCAACGGCATATCTTTCTCTATCATGAAGAAGCAGGCGACCACTATCGGTAAGTTAGCAACATGGTTTGAGATACCTGGCATTTACATAGTACATACCTATAGCAGATTGTAGAGGGACTGCACACTCCAATCCCACGATGGCGACCCTCCTCTAGTGACACGCTCGTCAGCGCAACGAGCGTACTATCCAGTACTTTAACATCGTTTTGCCAGAATGCCTCTGAAAAAGGAGGCTCGTGTATGCTGCGAAAGACGTTTCCTAACAGAATCGCAGATTGCGCGGTCAAAGAGAACCGACCCATTGCCGTTGTTGGTGGCTCAAAGAGCCTGCGCACTGGTGCATTCATTTCTTTCTAACAAGTGTAAGTGATTGTGGCGTCGATGATGGGCAGTTGGACGTACATTTTCTTCCCAGATCGCGTCGTCAATTGGAAGTATACTGTTCTTACTTGGGTCTGCCGTAAGGAATGCTCTATCAGCACACCCTAGGTTCATATAGCTAAACTCTAAATTAGCTAGATGTAATACGCAGCAGCAACACTCTCAGCGATGGGGGAATTGGAAGAGGGCTAGCACTGAGAGAAAGATAAGAGAGACCTGTATACTGACCGATCTAAGACGAGAATAACCCACCAACTCCTCCGCCGCTCTTCCGACTCGGTAACACTGAAGCCTTCTTCAGAATAGCGTTCCACAGCTTTATGAAGACCCAGTGCACTTCCATATCGTACGCAGTAGCCAACGGTAAGATATGCAGCTGGATAAATTGCATGCCCAACCTCAAATACGGCCATTAGGATAATAGCTTGCAGTACGCGTAGCTCCAGACTACGTGAGCTCTCTGCTTCTAAGAGGCTGCTCTTTATTGAGTAATAAGCTTTACACCGAGGTCCCTGTTCCGGACGCTGATCTGCTAGTAGCTTCATTGTAGCAATGAGAAGCAGACTTGCTGGCCGTGGAGGACTCAGAGGATTTAATATTCTCTCCATAAACTTCTTCTTTGATAAAAATGGTATCGATGGATGAAGAGTCGAAAAGTATAAGTGCACGAAATCTCTGTCGGAAGTAAAGTCTCCAATGAAGTTGAGCAGTGGATCCTTGAAACTGAGTTCTAGCTCTGGTAGTCGATTCATAGAGCGCCGAAATAAGACAGAATCGAGAAAGAAGACTGCATGAGGGCTTTCTTCACTATCTTGGGGAGCTTTCGCCGGTGACAAAGACGCGGTTTCCACGCTGGACACTGACATTGAGTCATCTCTCAAGAGGTACACGCACTCTCTTCCATATCTAAGAAATGAGACGTCAATTTTCTAATCGCAACTTCTACTTTCGACTGAGCTGTCAAACTTACCTTACGCATGCAGAGCAATGAGGCTTGCCCCGGTCACATCGCTTCTTTGATCGCTGGCACTGTGTGCAAGACGGTTTGATTCGAGGAATAATTATCCGGCTCTCACTCGCGGTGTCCATGTTTGCGCTTGAGTAGCGGATATGATACTGCAGGCTTTCTTGCTGTATCTCGGCTTAACTAGGTAGAGCAGCTGTCTAAATGCAGTGGAAGGGGCTTGAGACCTCTGCTTGGATTGAGTTAGAGCGCTCGCCGTGATGCAATGAGTATAGGCAACCATACGCCACGACGCAATTACTACACGACTACAACATGACGAAGATCAAAGGTCAACATGGGGCCTTGATTAGTCTCACGAGCCTATGGTGCAATTTTTTTGGCCAAGCTGCCTTACGTGATCATTATTACAGTTGCAGAGTACCATCCATAATGGGAATCAGTGCTTTTAATATTTGTGCATTTTAAGAAGTAAAAAGGCTTCTGACCCTAGATCTTAGTCGCGGGACCAAAACTTAATGTCAATTAAACGCATGTTAAAGTTAAGCTTGAGAGAAGGCTGTGCCTCTTACTCTTCTATTAACCTTCAACACTGCAGGACGCACACTTGTTCTAGAAAGATCTAAGTGGTATATCGCCTTGCTGGGCTCGTCATGTCGGAATAGCAGACCAGTCAGTATGTTCCCGATAATTTCTCACATTTCGGCAGTTGCCGTATCTTGGTAGATTGGTAATAATGATTAGTATTCAACGCGGACCCTGGTCCGGATTCTATGAGTCGGAATAAGGCGGAGTGGGGCCGACTTGAGAAGACACTGCGGTAATAGGTACTCGTACTCTCATAATAACTCCATGGCACAAGATTTTTACTCCTTGATTCTGGCCCATGCTTGCCAGACGATAACAGAGTACTAAATGGTTTGGATGCTACATACAAATTGTTCAGCCTACTTCTCCGCTATAACGGATGTTACCCTATGAGTTGCAGGTCTTTAGATCCTGCTAATGCTGAAGCCCTCTGTCTGTACATGTTTGCGTGTGTGCTACTATAATGGAATTAGGATGTCTCGACATCTGCCAATACATTATTTGCTCTATTGACAATTCACTATTGCTGCTCAAGTGTACCATGCTCAACGTCTATCTTCGAAGACAGTGTAGTTTACTGTACGAAAAAGTAACGGCATTCTTTCCCAAGAGACTTGAAAAGGTTATATCGTACCTCACTTAAGCCAACCCAATAACGCCAAGTCGCAGATAATTGTCATCCGTCTTCAGCTTCTGCGCAGTCTCTCCCGAAAGCAGTTCATCAATGTCCCAATGCGCCCAAACAAACCGGCCGTGTAAGAGTTTCGCCTCTGGACTGGCGGCCCAGACGGCAAAGTGACCAGGGAGGTTCTCTGCAGTACAGCACAAAGTTAGTATTCTCACACTAGCAGCAAGGAACGATGAAGATTCTGTTTTCATACCGTCGTCGAAGTCAATACCACTTGTCTCGTCAAACCCAGCCCTCCTAGTAGCATCGGTGAGGATCGATCCGGGGTTGAAGCTCACAATCTGCATGTCCTCTGCTGTAACGTGGAGCGCGACCTGCTGGAGGAAGAATGCGGCGGAATTCTTTGTGAAGCTGTAAGAAGGAAGGAGTCTGACCGGTCCGTCAAACTTGTGGATCACTCTGCTTGAGACGTTGACAAGATATTTCTGCAGGTATAGTATTAGCCAGTTACGAATTTTAAGATAGCTCTAGATTTCGACTTAGAGGAGATGAAACGGTCATCTCTCATTGCGCCACCTCACCTTATTGTTACTAGGCTGCTTATGAAACCGCTCCGTGAAATAGATCGTAGACTGGACATTCATAGCGAGATCTTGCCACACTTTGGCAGTTCCTCGTTCCAATATCGGCCCAGGACCACCTTGAGTTGCGGCATTGAGCACCAGTGTGTCAACGGTGATGCCCTCTTCTGCTAGCTGATCCCAGAGAGCCTTGGAAGAGTCTAAATCAGCAATATCGCATTGCTTTCCCAGAAAGATAGTAGCGCGGCCTTGGATTTTGGCAATATCGGCCAATTTGGCAATAGCATCGTCAATGACAGAAGTGCGGCGTCCGACGATGATGATCCGAGATGCAGCAGCAGCGATAAAAGCCCTGCATATGGCGAATCCAATGCCTAATCCGCCTCCAGTTACGAGTATCGTTCTGCTTGCTTGAGATAGCTCAGCTCGCTCAGGAGAAATGGCCGGGTAGGGCTTCTTGTGCGAGGTTTTGGTAGGGATGATGAGCATTTTGGCGATGTTGGTTTCAGCACACTAATTAAGATACAATTCAGGATCTCTATTTGTAGGGAGCCAAACTCTGACACTGTTGCGTGTGAGCTTCTATTCTTATAGTCTATGTCCTAGAAAGCTCTTTCACCATCGTGGCTCAATTGTCGCGAAATAAGGCGGACACCCATCCGCTGCTTACAAGCATTCCATGGAGAGAGATGTTTCTTTTAGGGGGATAATATCACGATAATATCACGATTTGTTCCATATAAGATGATTGTCGCAATTTGCACATCAACTTTTCTATGCGGAAGCCTATCCGCCGTATAAGCCGTAGCGGGACAGTCTGCGGAGCTCATCCCGCCAACTCCACCGGCCTTGGAAGCGAACCGTACTTTCGCCTTTTCAACACTTACAGTTCGCTAACAAGCTACTGAATACACCCATGATGCCGAAAAATGCTGTACAATCGCCTCCGCCGCGCTCAGCATGCATCGCATGTGCCAAGGCCAAGAGACGATGTACCAAGAACTTGCCGGCGTGTCGACGCTGCTCACAGAGGGGGCTGAATTGCCGGTATCCACCACTCAAACTGACGATTGAGCTGCCTGATGACTTCAAAGACATGCCAGCGTTGGCCAGCACCGGCATTCTCGCTGCGGTAGAGACGCCGCCGCCATCTCAAGACTTATGGGGCTTCAATGATCTTGTTAATAACATGAACACGTGTTTTCATCCGCCTGTGTGGTTTCTGCTACCCGAGTCCTGGGCAATTGTTCACCAACCGGCTCCATACCAGCAATCTGAGTCTTTAAGTGGCGGTCTTCTGGACTCTACAGAAAGGATCCTGTCCTGGCTGCAACAGTGGGTAAATGATTGCTCATGTCCCTTTATTCATGCACATCTATATAAAGACGACCTGCCCAGTTGCATACAAAATGCCTTTACCGCCACTGCAGCATACTTTGCCAAGACGGCAGCGAATAAAGGACTCATTCTCCGCATTATCGAAGGCAACTGTAATGCATTACTTGATCAGCTTGAAGATGGCCTAGATGCTGGCGAAGACACAGCTACATCAGGCACATTTCATTACCTAGCGCGCACCCAGACCTTACTAATATACCAAATCATTCGTTTATTTGACGGTGACATTCGGTCAAGAGCACAGGCGGAGAATAGCATGGACCTTCTCCTGTCATGGGCCGGTCAGCTGTGGGAGAGTGCTAGCAAGGACGCGGAATTAGCCATTTATGAAAAGGCCTCCCTGACTTCCTCTATAACTGCGGATAGATGCGGCGGTATATCAGATCCAAACGCATTTCGCGTTGACGGGAGTGTGCCGGCTCTCTGGCGCGCATGGTATGCTGCCGAATCAATCCGGCGGACATACGTTGCCATCATTTTTGTCCAAGGCATGTATCAGACGCTGAAACAAGGCTGGGCGTGTTGCCCTGGCGGAGTCAGCTTTACCGTGACAAATGGTCTGTGGGACTCCCCGTCTGCGCATACGTGGTGGGAGTTATTCATTCAAGATACAGCTCCTCCGGCGCAAAGCTTGCAGCTTGAGAGGCTGCTGCTTGAGAACCAACCAGCAGAGGTCGATGCATTTGTGCAGCCTCTGCTTGTTGCTTCGTACGGGCACGAGAGAGTGGATCAATGGATAACTCAGCAAGCATAGAAAACGGACACGATGATGAGATAAGGCATGCGCTCAACTGTAAGTGGCGTGTGACATTTGATCAGGCAGTCAGTACCTAAATTAAATGGGAGAAGAAGTATATGAGAAGATTTTCCGGATATATCTCTCTCTTTCTTCATTGACGCACTGGAAAATGTAAATTCTCTAGGGCTGTCTATCCATTTCGACATTATCAACATATATAAAGAGACTTTATAAATCTCAAGGTACAAGGGCCAACCATAGAGAATGACTAGTCAGGGCAACTCTAGTGGTATTTGTTTGTACCTTGATGAGTGTTGACATAGAGAAGTCATGCTTTACGGTACATACTAGTAGGTAAAACAGGCTTTTTCAACTTCACCTCCATCCAAAGATTGGTGCATCCGCATCACTTGGCATATCAGCTTATACTGGACAACCCTTGCCCCATGATTGAGCTTCATGCGTATAAGTCCCCTGGTGAAACTTCACAAGGGTACTGGTCGAAGGGGTTTAGGAGCCTGGTGCTCACCGAGAACTTTCAATTGACAATGGAACGGCTAGTAGTTTGGCTTTTTGTCAAAATGGGAAACGGCTTGCAGCCCTCGGAGGGGGTTGGGAAAGAGTTATTAGACGGGATGTGGTAACTGGTATCTGTTTGACGAAATTCTGCTGTGAAGATGGACAACCTAGGCCGACGTGAAGCTTGAATACAAGTTTCATCGAGCTTGATTTCACACATGCCATCGGTTCACCAGAGTCGGTAAGCTGTCAGGATTGGGAGGCCAAATACTACATCAGTCCCGATGGCGTTTGGGTTATGCGGTATGGTAAAAGGCTGCTATGAATACCACCGGATTATCGACCGGTATATGCAGATGCATTAGGATCAACTATTGCAATTAGACCAGTATCAGGCCTCCCATATGTGATTGGGAATTTCAGATGCTGACCTTTAATTGACAATTTCAAAAACAGATTGAGAAGTATTAAGAATAGGTGTATCATGACAGCTAGACTAACACGATTGTGCGCGCGGCTACAATCACCGAAGAATTCAATATTACACAGTTGGTCAAGTGGACAAATGTTATTGGGCACATGTAGTTATCTACCTAATGATGGGTGATATTCGCTAAGAGCGGGGGATGGCCCCGTATTACGCTCAATCCAGTTCTCTCAACTTTGACCCTAGAAAGCCACGGCTCGTCAAGTTGGGTTTCTCCTTACACCTCATATCATCATGACTAATCCTCACGAGTACACTATCGGGTGGATATGCGCGATACATTCTGAATATGTTGCCGCCCAAGCCTTCCTTGACGAGCATCATGAAGGACCTGATTATGTATCTCCCAACGACAACAACGACTATACCCTTGGCAAGATCGGAAATCATAATGTCGTTATCGCCGTGCTTCCAAACAGCGAATACGGGCTTTCATCCGCGGCTGGCGTCGCAAGAGATATGCTACATAGCTTTCCGAACCTCAGAGTCGGTCTGCTCGTAGGAATCGGCGGTGGTGCACCAAGTCGAAAGCATGATATACGACTTGGTGATGTTGTGGTGGGCGTTTCCAACAATAGTGGGAAAAGTGCTGTATTCCAGTATGACTTTGGAAAGGCCATGCAAGGCCAGGAGTTTCTCGAGACTGGGCCTTGGTATCAGCCACCGCCGGTTTTACGAACAGCTGTTAACGGACTTATGGCGCAGTATGACATGGAGGGGAATCAGTTGAGTGAAGCAGTTAATAGTGCCCTGAATAAGAAAACCAGACTACGAAAAAAGGGCTATTCAAAGCCTGGAGTAACCACTGATAGGCTCTACCAGTCACAATTTGTTCATGCTAACAACGAGATGGGTTGTGTGGAAGCCTGTGGTGACAGTTCATTCAACCTAGTCAAGCGGCTCCAAAGAGACGAAGAAGACGAGATAATGGTCCATTATGGCCTGATCGCTTCAGCAAACACGCTCATGAAGGATGCATTAGTTCGAGATAAGCTTACATCGAAGAAAGATGTTCTATGTTTCGAAATGGAGGCTGCCGGACTGATAAGTCATTTCCCATGCCTACTAGTCATTCGTGGTATCTGCGACTATTCAGATTCACACAAGAATGATGAGTGGCAGGGTTATGCGGCTATGGTAGCCGCAGCATATGCAAAAGACCTCCTTCGTCGAATTTCTCCATCCAGGATTGAAGCTGAGAAAAGGATCAGCGAAGTATTGACAAATAGTCAGTGAAACAGGACTTCTATAGCGGCTATTCTAACTATTCGATAGTCCAGAAAGATCTGCTAAATGTACAGCAAGTGGCACACGACATCAAAGCGGATGTACACTCAATAAGGACCGATAGCCACGTCGCAAACATTGAGCGCTGGCTTTCACCCGCCGATCCATCCACGAATATCAGCAATGCGAGAAAGTCTCGACATTCTGGAACAGGTATATGGTTTCTCGATAGCCACGCCTTTCATCAGTGGAAGCTTGGCTCTTATCGGAATTTGTGGCTTTATGGCATGCCAGGCTGTGGTAAAACGATCCTCAGCGCAACGATTTTCGACCACCTTGCTCAGGATGGTTGGTTAACTCTCACTTTCTTCTTCGACTTCACCGACACCAAGAAGCAAAAACTCAAGGACATGCTGCATTCGCTTGCATTCCAACTCTATACTTCCCACTTAGACTCTCGGAAAGCTCTTGATGACTTATTTGCATCTTCCGACAGCGCCGGCAGGCAGCCAGATATCAATACGTTATCTGAATGTGTTAGAGCCATATTAAGACCTCAAAAAAAGCTTGTTATTTTACTAGATGCTCTAGATGAGTGTTCAGAAAGAAGAGAGTTATTGCAATGGATGAAAGAGCTGGTGCTGGATATCACAAATGTCCAGGTAATAGCGACTAGTCGACCCGAACACGATTTACAACATAATCTTGTCTCTTTGTTGGGAGAAAAGAATTGCCTCCCTCTCAACAAAGAGTCAGTTGATAACGATATTCGCTCTTATATCAAGGCCAGGCTCGAGGAGGGCCAAGAGTTTAGGAGATGGGCCAATTTTCCACACGTGCTGGAACAGATAAGAGTTGCGGTCAGCAGCAAATCCAATGGAATGTAAGTTTCTTAACAACATACAGCATCATTATTTCGTATATACTAATATTGGAACAATTAGGTTTAGATGGGCAGCCTGTCAATTAGATAGTCTCCGGGAATGTCTCGATCGCGAGACGCTACAAGATGCGCTTCAATCCCTACCCAAAGATTTAAACACGACATACGCTCGAATCCTTCAGAGTATCCCCAAAGAGCGTAAAAAGAAGACAATCCGCCTGCTTCAGTTCCTTCTCTACTCCGAGCGGCCATTGACCCTTGAGGAGGCTGTGGATATAATTGCAGTTCGTCCTAACGAAGACCAATTCGAGGCGCAAGACCGACTTCCGCGCCCTGAAGAAATTACTGGATATTGCTCCAGTCTTATATCGCTTATACAAGCCTCTAGCCCGGCTGCAGCAAATAAGCTACAACTGGCCCATTTCTCTGTGAAAGAGTATCTTCTGACTTGTGACTCTCCGGAATTTACGTATCCTAATCCCAGAGTGGCTATTACGGAAACTTGTTTGGCATATCTCGGAAGCATACCGAATGTTGAAACTGCTACTGTTAAGGTACAATTTCCATTAGCAGAATATGCAGCACAAATCTGGATGGGTCATGCCAAGGTTGCGGAAAACTCAGAGCCAATCCTTGAGAAGATGATAAGATTCTTGCTAAAAGAGGAACAATTTCACTGTTCGATCCATTTATTCAATCCCGATGGCCTTGTCTATCGTCTTCGAAAAATGCCCACAGCCTCGCCACTTTATTATGCATGTCTCACTGGCCTTGCAACAACTGCAAAGAGACTTTTATCGATTGGCGCAGATCCAAATGCTCCAGGCGGCCACCAGGGCTATCCGCTTACAGCAGCTTCAAAATGTGGCCACAAGGAGATTGTCCAGCAGCTGCTAGATCACGGCGCTGACGTTGATGCCAAAGGTGGCTTATACGGCGTTGCGCTCAATGCCGCTTCTCAAGGTGGCCATGAAGAAATTGTCCAACTCCTTCTAGATAACGGCGCCGATATCAATGCCAAACAAAGCTCGTTTGGATCTGTGCTCGCAAGTGCCTCGGCAGCTGGTCGCCAGAATATGGTTCAACTACTGCTGGACAACGGTGCAGATGTTAATGCCAAAGGCGGCTACGATGGATTTGCGCTCGGGGCTGCTTCAAGATATGGCCATCGGGAGATCGTTCAACTGCTACTGGAAAACGGTGCCGATGTAAACTCTGAGGGAGGCGAATATGGGTTTGCGCTCCAGGCCGCTGCGGTAAAAGGTCACCGAGAGATTGTTGAATTGCTGTTGAATAGAGGCGCTGATATCAATGCCAGAGGTGGCTACTACGGGTTTGCGTTGCAAGCTGCAGCAGCAGAAGGACATGAAGAGATTGTCAAAATGCTAATGAAGAGAGGTGCTAATAGCAATGCTCCCGGCGGCCATTTTGGCTATGCATTTCATGATCATGTACCTGAATGAAAGGGTGTAGTAGCCATTGAAGTGTGCTAGTTTCAGTTTCATAGCAATTTTAACCCACCCAAAGCCGAAACAGGGTCGAATTGGCTATCCGGTTCACAATGGCCAATTCTAGACTCCAGGAGGCATTTCACAGCAATTTTACCCTCCCCCAAGAGCAAGCCGACCAAGTTAACTTGGAGGCTGGTACCCCTTGTTTTCAGAATACCTGCGTTTGTATGAGTTGTATAAGTTGTAAGACAGTCGATTGAATATTGCCGTAAACCACTGACACAGAACTTACCGTAGACCCCTAGCGGTAGAAGGAGTGTCTCCTGTAGTGTACCTGGGTTTTCTATGTTCATGAGACTACATAGGTACAGTAGATACATGCTCGACTTTATGTTTGGTGGGGCACTCAGCGTGTTGCCATGGAATTAGTCTCCAGCAACAGACCGGAATGCCGGACCGGGTCTTCACAGCAATCTTAACCTACCCCAAGGCCAGGCAAAGGCTAGTGCTCCAAAGTTTTTAGAAGAGCGGCCTTTATATGAGTTCTAAGTGAGTCAATTGAGTATTGCCGCAAACTATAGATGCAGAACCTATTGCAGCGCCACGGCAGAGAGCATGAAATCCAGTTGAACGTGAACGAAATCAATCAATCGGTTAGATAGACATGAGACACGGTGTGCTGCGTTTGTAGTCATCTCGCGTGTGGTGTTACCCTTCACAGGCCGCCTATTGAAGCATTGAATCCTTCTAGGCTATAGGGCGCATGCGAGTTCAATAGCTTCATAGCAATTTTAACCTCCCCCAAGGCCAAGTCGAGTTCGAAGTGGCTAGTACCCCACGTTTTCAGCACGGCAGCGCCTCCGATAAGCACCGATAAGAGCTGCGTCAAGGCATTTTCCGTCAAAAAATTCAGACTCGCCTTCAATAGCATCCAAACCACCATACAACACCTCTCTCGCAGACCAATACTCATTCCATCATACCAATTAGATCCATTCCTCACTCAATCATCCCCTCCCAAATTTCACCCAACTCCACCTCCGCAGCCATGTCCGCCGTAGACCCCGACCTCATGGACATCACCTTCGACCCCCCCAAATCCAAACACCAAGAATCCTCAGCCGAAGACGATGACCCCATCACCGCCAGCTACCAAGTCTTCCTCAACCCCTCCCTCCCCCTCGGCCGCCGCCTCCTCGTCCTTCAGCACCCCAACCGCACCGACAACACCCCGCGCCCGCCGCCCACCGAGCTGCGCCTCAAGGAACACTCCGGCATGGTCGAGGTCGACATCCCCCAAGACAACACCACAGCCTACGACCGCGAAAAGGGCCTCAAATGGGGCCGCACGCTGCAGAATTCCATGGCGGTCAAGAATGGCGGGAGCCACGGCCTGGCCGGCGGCTTTGGCGTGGGCGCCGTGCAGCAGCGTGCGCCGCGGAAGAAGGGCGACGTCGAAGAGGACGATAACCTTGACTGGAACGATGCCGTGCGACAGGGCAAAGTGCTCAGCACGCAGACGCTGGGCGGCCAGTACCCCGATACAGACGAGGTGCAATACATGGTCGGCGTGTTCCAAGGCAGTACGTCACCTCTTTATTCATTTATCTATAGTCCAGTAACTAACAACATCTCCCAGAGGACCTCCATCTCACCCCCGTCTCCAACCTCATCCACCTTCGTCCCCAACTGCACCACATCGACGCCACCACCCAGCAAGACCGCCAATCCTCTGCCGCCGCAGCTTCCTCCAAAGAAGGCGGCACCGCCCCAGCAGCCGCCGCGCGCGCCATCCACATGACCATCAAGACCGCCGCCGACGGCACTGCAGACGGTGTGTCAACAGAAACAATGGCCGACCGTCTGCGCTCCGTGCAGACCGAGCCCTGGCGCAAGATGCGATACACGGACGAGAACGAGGAGACAGCCTGGGAGGTGTACAACGACAGTCTGTTTCTCAGACCGAAAGCTGATCCGACAGCAGGAGCAGGGGAATCTGCGCCTGCGCCTGAGGATCATGATCTAGAGGAACTGGTGCCAACACTCGGCAACAAGTGGAACGACAAGGAGTTCCTGGAATCCATTTCCGGCATCACGAAGCCCGATCCAGTCCCCGTTCGGCTTGTAGAGAAAAAGCTTGAATCTAAAGCCGTCACTGCTCCAGTGGAAGAGGTACCACCTCCCCGAACTACTGCTTCTCGCCCTAGAGCCGGTGCGGCTGCGGCATTGGCTTCCCGAAGAGGCGGAAGGTCAAGAGCCGCGGGGGTTTAGGCTTAGAGCATCATTTTATTTGCATTGGATTCGGTGTTCTTGGAGTCTTGTGGTTCTTTGACGATTTAAGCTGTACTTTTACTATGAGACAGTAGCTAGATGCTATTTACATTTACAATCATATACAACAATTTTCCTACTTCATCTTCGTGGCCTTTGCATCATTGGCTATATGCGCCAACTCATTCCAAGAAATAAAATAATGTGTTATCCTCAGAATACCAAGGATCAATTTTTGAGCTGATGATAACGAAAAAAAAAAAAAACCAACCATGATAACCCACACCTTATACTACCGCTCAGCCCTCTCCATGTAATTCCCATCGCTGCTGCCCCTCGCAAGTCGTTGGTATAGTAATAGTACATCTGACATGACCATAACGATAGTATCCCGCTGAATGCCCACGAAAACTAGCTACCCTTGTAACGCTGCACGTTTTCACTTTTCTCCTTAAACAAATCCTGCGCGACCAAGTTTCCCTCCAAAGTCGCCCAGGTTCGTTTTTCTCTTCTTCCCATAGCATAGCATAAGCACAAAAACTGCTTGTAGTCCAATCCTCTCCGACTTGCTTCACGCACTCCAGAATTTCTCGGCGGAAAAAAATACATGTAGTTCGTTGTTATGAATCTCTTTCAAAATTCAAGTAGGCCACTTTCAGGTCGCTTTTACTATTACATCAAGTCTTCCACACGTAGCTTAATGGAGCGTAGGAATAAGTCGACGCCGTTAAGCCGCTCCCTTGCTTCTGTGGGAGGAAGCGTCTTGGCCAGAGCAACGGTGGCATTGACACGGTCTCTGACCGCAACGACCAAACGAGTCTCATGTTCGTTGCGGGCACAAAGACCTAGAGTCGCAAGGAGCTGCCAGGCCAGAATATCTGATCCGGAATCGATGCTGCCGGGGAACATGTAGGGCAGCGACCCTTCTAGGCGGCTAAAGAGGGTTTCGTATGTTTGGTCCCTAGATAAGATGGGGTTATTAACATGCAACTGAGGTGATCGACTAAGAGTTGCGACTTACCACTTCTCCCATTGTACAGGGGTACCGTCACCATTCTGCTTCATAGACTCAGCACGGCTGAAAATCAGGGTGAGCATTGAAACTCCAACCCTGGTTTTGGCAATGGCATCAAGGTTCAAGTTTGTGGCTATTAGGTTCAACATGCCCTCCACAATGTCAAGCCCGGTGTTATTGATGAATTGCATGAGCGATGGCATGACAGTCGACATGAACAAATCAATATTCTCCCACATCGTTTTGTTCAAAACAATCTCGTCATCAGATACAGCCGCTCCCCTCACGACGTCCAGCTGGTCGAGATGGTAAACAATCATCGTCATAATCGTGGTCCGTTGCTCGAAGCTGAGGTGAGGAAAAATCCGGGGAATAGCCTTCTTGCCCTTATCGCAGGACAAGAAAGCAATAAAAGGGTGAGGAACGATGACTCCTATGGGCTCGTGTACCTTGAGTTCTTCCCAGAGTCGGGCATTCAGAGACTCGAGTGCCGTGTTCCACTCTCGATGCTTTCCCTGCAACGCCTGGTCTGCGTGGTTGGTAAGAGGAGGTGGCATGCGCCGAACGTGGTCTTCAATCTGCATCAAGGTAACGTAGACCTTCTCGGCATTGTGCAAGATAGTCCTGCGATCAAGGCTGCTAGCGGGTGATTTCCTCTCACTGCCAGCCCGGCGATGGTGAGCTTCGTTCTCCGCGTTACGCTTGATATTGAGTAGAGGCTTTGGAGTCTTGGCATTGCTGAAGGAGATCTTCCCCAGACTGCCGGCAATTACGAGCTGAGGATTCTTGGGCTTGTTCTTGGCCGCCTCAACAGCCCGTTGGACCTGCTGTTCCATTCTTTGAATGTGATTCTCAGCAGGTCTACCATGGCGGCGCATGTTGCCATGACGGCCACCAGTCTGGAAAAGATAGGTCTGGGCAAAATTGCTAAGCGGTTGGTGAGGGTCTCGATGCTGGCCGGCACGGATGTGGCTATAGACTTGATAGTAAAAGTCTCCGGACAGGGAGGCGTCGGAACTCTGCTCGATAGGGTCACCAGTTGCGGAAACGAGCTGCTGGAGCTGGATACGAGAGATGAATTTCTTGTCTGTGTCAGTCATCACTCTTTCATACTTGGAGAGAAGCAAAATCTTATGTTCGCGCTTCGCGTTCTTCGTCACGCGGTCCAAATATGCTGCCTTTTCTTCCTCAGACATGTGGGCCGTTTGAGGATGATCGCGCATTTGCGCCAGTGTAGAGGCAAGGCTTGGCGGCTGGGAGTATTCTTGGTCAACAGCCGCACGAGAGACATCAGTCGACAAACGGTTGGGATTTTGGAGAATTTGCATGGGCTGAACTGGGGGGACGGGCTGTCGTTGAAAGTTGTTGTGCTGGTCATGCTGCCCGGGAGGGACAGGCAGCTTGGCCGCCGGAGTGGGTGTAACCTTGGCCTGTGAGGCTTGGGGTCGCTGTAAGATGGCGACAGGTTGCGCGTGGCCGTGTTGAGGGAGAGGAGAGGCATGCTGAACAGGAGAGTAGCTGGGAGTATGCTGATGCGCAGCAAGCTCCGAGATGACTGGCTGTGTCGATGGCTTTGACTGCGCGCGCATGGCTGCCTCAACCTCTTCCAAGCTCATCATCTTCCTGCCGACACTGCTAGATAGGGCTGGTTGAGGAGCCGGTTTCGGGGCAGCAGCTGCCTTGGAGGGGCCAATACCCCAGATGCTCTGGTCGACATGCAGATCAGGTAGAGGCTCAGGTTCACGGTACTTTTCATAGCCGGTGCGAATAGGCACCGGCTCTGCATAGTAAGACTGTCCATATGACTGCTGTGCATAAGGCTGTTGAACATATGACTGCTGAGCATACGATTGGCCGAGAGCGGCAGCAGGCTGGCTCTGGTGCTGCGAAACGCTGGCTCGTGCGGTTGGCTGGGATCGGTTGAAACGGAGATGCTCCTCCTCGATCTCATTGGCACGACCAGCAGTCCATTCACTGTAATTGAGTTGTTTACGCTCGGCCTCAGAAAGATTTTCTCCGCCAACCGTTTTGGAGCCATCCTCTCCAACCGAGTTGTCGCCAAAAGTAACGTCATTGTCGGCATCGGCAGTATCGTCTAAAAGCCCGTCATAGGTATCTTCGAAGTCGATAGCATCTTCGCCATCGCCATGCTGGCCAGAGAGGCCGGCAAATGAATCATACGGTTGGCCAAAGCCAGGGGCGGACGAATTGTGCGCGCTGGGGCCGAGGGGATCGAAGCCGAAGAAAGACATATTGGATGATTGTTGAGGAATTGTGCGTTGTCATACTAGAAACATTTTGTTAGTTTGTGGATCCAGGAGGGCGTGTATATTGATAGAGACGCTGCAAAGCAGCTCGAGGGTTCAAGCAAGTCCGTCCAAGCAGGCTGCTGTGTCAAGCTCGGCCATCAACCCAAACCGTCCCAAGAGCCATGAACCTGATCAGGATGATCTCTGCACAGATCCGTATGAAGCTTCGGCGCGTGGATGTCCCCGCATTTGTTTGTGTAATCTGTCGTCTTTGCGCTTGGCGAGGCTGAGGGGAGCAATCAACAAGGCTCGATGCTTGACACAACTCTTCCGCTCAATCGCACTCAGCAGAGCTTGAAGAGGACGGATCCACCGGTCTCGTATAGGTGTGATATGGAACAGAAAGCAACTTACCGCTAAGATAAAGAAGGGATCGCGAGAACTTCAACAGCGCACAAACCTATCATGGTGTCTTCCTACAGCAAAGCCGAGGAAGTCCAAGAGCCAAGTAGGTCGCAAGCTCGCGCTCAAGCTAATCACGCTGCCAAACGCTGTTTCAAAAAACCCACCCTGTCCAATAGGGCCGTGGCGGAGGAGAGTCGGAGGCGATGAAGCGAAAGCAAAGCACCTGGAGAGAAAGAAGCCCAATTGTGCGGATTTGGCGAGGGAGACTGACGTTGAGAACAACCCCACATGGGCAATTTGCGCTTGGTGGCGGGGACTCTCGGCGAGCTGAGTCACGTGGTTAGACACCTACGATGTAGGCACGAAGGCGAGATCATTAAATGTGCCTATCTGAGACACGATACAGGAACTTGGATGTGTAAAGAGACATATCCACTCTATGTACATAGTAGGCCTATAACTAGTCTAAATGAGTTGTCCTTTCAAAGATATTGACAGACTATTCGCCAACTACGAGGAACTACATTCCCTGCATTGCGTCTGTATCTTATCCCAATGGGTACAAAATGCATAAAGCATTGGCTATCTAGCTGAATGAATGCTCTCTCTTATCGTGCCACTACTAAAGACCAAATGAAGTTTTCGATGCATCATGCCAAGTAGGTATCATCAATTACTGTGCAGATTGTGCCATCATCATTGATCTCGGTGGTTTTACGTCAAAATGCCGATCAGCCGCAGCGGTTCGGCAGCCAATCTCAACTTGTGAGAGAATAGACTGCTTATCTGTGGGCGGCATGGCTTACTACAAACGAGTAAATCCACGCAGATTCGAAAGAGAAAACAAAGAGTGACGCTCATTGCAATCTTGATCGGAATGGTTGTTATTTATATCAGAAGAGTTCGTTGATTATCTAATTGTATCCATTCGTAAATCCCACCAAATACGAGGCATGAGACGAGTTGACAAGGGAGCGGATTAGCGAAGATCAGCACTGAAGAGCTGCGAAACAGCTGCGCGCTAGTGGTTACAGGGCGGACGTGGATCAAGACAAAAAATGACGGCAAAAACACATGTCTCGTTGGCGACGTGCATCGCCTTTTAGTCGAGACTTTGTGTGTTTGTAATAATTGTAAACGCAACAGGCAATTGCATACATATAACAACACCTCGTATCTATATAGTACCTCTCCTTTCTAGCCTCGTGTCGTATTTACCGTCAATACAATCAATTCGTCAGCCCCCTTTGCCCTTTGCACCAGCAGCCAGCCTTATCTCTCCAAGATCCCGTCTATCCGTCTCCTGAATCACCGGCGGGGCTCCCTTCGGGCAGTGCTAGATCGAGAAGCCTTCTATAACCAGGACCACCATTCCATCTGTCTGATGCCGCTAAAAGATTAGCAAGGGCCAACTGTCATTTTAATCTGCTAAAGAGGCAATGTACTACATACATGAGGTACGCAGAATGGATCTGATAGCGGGCAGGACGCAGATATGTAGTACGACAATGTACTCAATGCGATATTCGCTTCCGCGGTGCTGTCAAATGATGCGCAATGATGCCAGCGCAGACACAAGTAGTAGATACCTCGCACCAGCGCCTGTAGCCCCCCAGCACCGCGTACCTGCAACTCTTCCCTGCCCCCAGCCCTGGGCTCAGCTGCGTAATGCTGCGTACGCCATACTGCATCGCCTGCAGCTGCTAGCCTGCTCCTGGTACAATACGAGACACGCAAATAGCACTGGAGGATCAAACGACTGGCCATCCTTTTTCCTCGTCCTCCCGCTTCCCTTCCCACAATTCTGGACGGATACCCGCCTCAGCCCAAACAGCGCCTCCTTTTTCATCATCTTGTGTTTCAGGTTCTTGTTCGCATTGTCTGCTCAGTTTTGGTCCGCCGGCACAGCATTCATCGCTTGCGCTGCACTGCACGGCTCAGTGGCTGACCCGACCTAAACCTACTGCAGCGGGTGGCGCCAATCTCTCGCCGCACTCAAGCTTCCCTTCTGTCACGAACGAAATCGGCCATGGTCTGACGGCACTTCTCCACGATTCCAGTTGCTGCCGATCACCCCTGTCCCCTTTGGATTGTTTCCTCGATCCCTATAAACAGATCGTCCTCCTCCTTTTTCGATCGTATCCATCTCCTCTTGCACATCTCTCTTCCTTCTTCTTTTTCACTCTCTTGGCAATCGCTGCCACCCAGTCACCATCATGGCGTCTGGGAATGCGCGCTACGTGCGCTACGTGCTCTTCGCATTCTTTGTATGTGGCTCTGCAGAGATGGAATTGGAATTGTGTAATTTAATTTTTGCTAATCAATCTGTGGGCAAAGACTGTTTTAATCTTCTATTTCGTCACCAATACCAAGTACGAGGGCGTCGACATCAGCAAAGGCACATTTGCCACAGGCTCCAATCAACAGTCCCACGATGCATCCAAAGACACCAAACCTTCAACGCAAAAGGCGCTGACCGGCGATGCCAAAGATTTCCCTCTGGCCATGACACCCAACGATGCCGGATTCAACGATCTCGTCGGCCTTGCCCCCGGTCCTCGAATGAATGCCACTTTCGTCACTCTCGCCCGAAACAGCGATGTCTGGGAGATTGCTCGCTCCATCCGCCAGATTGAGGACCGCTTCAACCGACGATACAACTACGACTGGGTCTTTTTGAACGACAATCCCTTTGATGACACATTCAAAAAGGTCACCACATCTCTCGTTTCCGGCAAGACTTTCTATGGCGAGATCCCCAAGGAGCACTGGTCGTTCCCCGAATGGATTGACCAGGATAAGGCCAAAAAGGTTCGTGAGGACATGGCTGAGCGCAAAATCATCTACGGCGACTCGATTCCCTACCGTCACATGTGCCGCTTCGAGTCTGGCTTCTTCTTCCGCCAGCCACTAATGATGAACTACGAATACTACTGGCGAGTCGAGCCCTCCGTCGAGCTCTACTGCGACATCCACTACGACCCCTTCCGTCTGATGGCCGAGCAAGGCAAAAAGTACAGCTTCGTTCTCAGCCTGTACGAGTACCCGGCTACCATTCCTACCCTGTGGGAGAGCACCAAGAAATTCATGAAGAACCACCCCGAGCACATTGCTGCCGACAACACGATGAAGTTCCTTAGTGACGACGGTGGTGACACCTACAACAACTGCCATTTCGTACGCACTCCCCTCCCTTGCACAATCTGAGCGAGAGAATCACTAACGGGAAACAACAGTGGTCCAATTTTGAGATTGGCAGTTTGGATTGGCTCCGCAGCAAGCAGTACATTGATTATTTCGAGTCTCTGGACAAGGACGGTGGCTTTTTCTACGAGCGCTGGGGAGATGCGCCCGTCCACTCCATCGCGGCAGGCCTTATGCTCAACAAGAGCGAGATTCACTTCTTCAACGACATTGCTTATTGGCATGTGCCCTTTACACACTGTCCCACCGGAGAGAAGACGAGACTCGACCTGCGCTGCCACTGCGACCCCAAGGAGAACTTTGACTGGAAGGGCTACTCTTGTAAGGCTCCTGCCGATGACCCTTTAATGATAATTATGAGCAAGACTAACTCTTTTTCAAATAGGCACTTCCAAGTTCTTCGAGGCGAACGGCATGTCGAAGCCCGAGGGTTGGGAGAACCAAAAGGATTAGAGAGAGAAAAACGAAACTTGTTCACACTTGACCATTTATCAAGCTTTCAATGACCTTGGTCAGTTTCAACTTGGTTTTATTCGGTATACTTGGGTTTAATTCGCAGGCAGTGCCGGCATATTTTAAGCTGCATGGAACGGATGAAATAGGAGGCAACGAAAAGAGAAAAAAGGGAAATGAATTGTTTTTTTTTTACACTCCCGGGAGGTAAGGAAGGATTATAAAGGGGCGTCTGACTGGCTTGACACGATTTGGACAATCATTGCTCATGTAAATATACGGTGGAATTCCAAGAGATGTGGGCGAATGTTCTGACGTGAAAGTTTACTGGCTCCTTTTGTAAAACGCAAAATGTGTGATTGATATCGATTTTGGCCTGTTTGAAACGTAAAAAATGTGATTGATGTTGCTTTTGTCGGTAGGTATTGTACAGTTCTCATCCGTCTTTGCTCTATGGTTGTTTATACAGTGTCTAACCAATACTCCTCAGCTCCAGGAGGTTTAAAAAAGAGACATTTGTCTTGGATTTTTCGTTCTAATGCTCCTTAACCCACGGTGGCCTTCTTGGGCTTCTTGGTTCCGTATTTACTCCTGCTTGTCGTTCTGCTTGCAACACCACCCTAAAGCCGAAAGTGTCAGTATAAAGTCTTCTCCTTTAACAACTAACAAAGACAAGATTGAAAACATACCAGATCCAACGCTCCTCTCACCAAATGATATCTCACACCAGGACAATCCTGCGCCCTCCCTCCCCTCACAAGCACCACACTATGTTGTTGGATATTATGTCCCTCGCCAGGGATATACGCCGTGACCACCGCCCCCGAGGAAAGCTTCACACGCGCCGTCTTGCGCTCTCCAGAATTAGGCTTCTTCGGCCTCACGACGCCGACACGCAGACAAACGCCTTTCAGGGCCGGGCAGTGCGTGTTGGACAGCGCGGGGGAGACGGCGTGGCGCGCTCGCTTGCCCTTTCGGATGCCGCGCAGGACTTGGTTGAGGGTGGCTTGCGGGGCGGGAGTTGTTGAGAAGGCTGCGGCGGCGCGGAATGGCGAGAGGATGGTTGATGATGAGGATTGAGTTTGGAGGAGTCGAGAGATGGGCGATATTGAGGATGATGGGGCGGTGGCTGTGAGGGATTGCCGGAGGGCTGGCGAGAAGAAGCTGCGGAAGATTGGGGCGACCATGGTGGGCAGCGCAATTGGACTGCTGTCGGCAGTCTGGACGTTTTCCGATGCTGCGATGGATAGCTGAGTCGCTCTACATCAACGTCTCAAGGCCCATCGCCAAATCTTCCAACAAGGCAAGTGGGCTGGCTGAAAGAAATCATCACGTGATATCAAAATCTCGGAACCGCACATCTGCCGCATTCCGAACTTTAAGCTGCTTCTCGTCTCCAGCATGTGATAATCTAGAACCCCGCCATGAGCTCTCAGAAGCAAGCCATGGCTAAACTCCGGCTCGGAAAGCATCTCCCCACGTTCAAGTTCCTTCTGGGCTGTCTTCAGTTTCGGCCCCGCAGACCGAGCGGTCCATACCAAGGTCCAGCGGTAAAAATGGTTACCCTCGGCTTGATGGCGACACTCCACCGGGATTAAGAGACAGCCTGGGGTAAAGAAAAGGAAGAACCGCCAAAGCTAAGGAATAAAGGGATTGGATCGTGAATCTTCCCTTTTTTCTTTTTTACTTCTTTCTTCTCTTCGTTCACCTTCTTTTTCTTCTTTTCTCGTCATTTCTGCTTCTTACAGCCCAGCTCCTCTGTCTTGTGTTTCTCAAGAGCTCCTTTCACAGCTTCAACACCATGTCATCGTCATTTACACGAGCCCTCCGCCCTGCTCTCAGCAGCGGCCGGACCCTCGCCCAGCGCGCCGCAGCTGGCATTGCCCGTCCAGCCATGCGAAGCAGCATGTAATAATTTATACAATAACACCTGTATAATGATAACATCACGGCTAACATCACGACAGCCCCCTCCGCCACCTCTCCACCACAGCCATCAGACACTCCCCCATTGACATCTCCGACATCCCCCCCACGCCAATCACCCACCTCTCCGAAATCGAAGCCGCCATGACCGAGTCCGTCTCTAAATTCGCCGCCGACGTCGTCCTCCCCAAGGCCCGCGACATGGACGAAGCCGAAACCATGGACCCGGCCCTCGTCGAGCAGCTCTTCGAACAGGGCCTCATGGGCATCGAGATCCCCGAGGACTACGGCGGCGCGGGCATGAACTTCACGTCGGCCATCATCGCCATCGAGGAGCTCGCCCGCGCCGACCCCAGCGTCAGCGTCATGGTCGACGTGCACAACACGCTGTGCAACACGGCCATCTTGAAATGGGGCTCCGAGCACGTCAAGCGCACCTACTTGCCGCGCCTGGCCACCGACACCGTCGCCTCGTTCTGTCTCTCCGAGCCCGTCTCCGGCTCCGACGCCTTCGCCATGGCCGCCCGCGCCACCGAGACCGCCGACGGCTTCGTCCTCAACGGCTCCAAGATGTGGATCACAAACTCCATGGAGGCCGGCATCTTCCTCGTCTTTGCCAACCTCGACCCCTCCAAGGGCTACAAGGGCATCACCGCCTTCATCGTCGAAAAGGGCACCGAGGGCTTCTCCATTGCCAAAAAGGAAAAGAAGCTCGGCATCCGCGCCAGCAGCACCTGCGTCCTCAACTTCGACGACGTCCACATCCCCAAGGAGAACATCCTCGGCGAGCGCGGCCAGGGCTACAAGTACGCCATCAGCATCCTCAACGAGGGTCGCATCGGCATCGCCGCCCAGATGACCGGCCTCGCACTCGGCGCCTGGGAAAACGCCGTCAAGTACTGCTGGAACGACCGCAAGCAGTTCGGCTCCCTCATCGGCGAGTTCCAGGGCATGCAGCACCAGTTCGCCCAGGCCTACACCGAGATTGCCGCCGCCCGCGCCCTCGTCTTCAACGCTGCCCGCAAGAAGGAGGCCGGCGAGGACTTCATCAAGGACGCCGCCATGGCCAAGCTGTACGCCTCCCAGGTTGCCGGCCGTGTAAGTGGCCTCGGCGTCGAGTGGATGGGCGGCATGGGCTTTGTCCGCGAGGGTCTGGCCGAGAAGTATTTCCGTGACAGCAAGATTGGCGCCATTTACGAGGGTACCAGCAATATTCAGTAAGTGATGTCTTCTAAGCATGAAATCGATTTTGGCAAGAATCTATAAAGCTAATATGGTATCTAGGCTCAACACCATTGCCAAGCTGCTGCAAAAGGAGTACACCAACTAAACAAACTGTAAAAAGCAATGATGAGAAAAGAAGTAAACAACAAGAAAAAAAAAGGTAATAAATGATAGAAAGGGTACGGGAGTCTATGTTTTGTAAATATCCTCATATAGATGCCAGTCTCACCACCACCTTTTTTTAATCAAGCATAAAAAATGTCCCACTTCTCAGTACTCACTCACACTTAAACAATTACATGCTTGCAAACATCACTTAAAATCCATTCTTACCATCATCATCAATTATATGTCATTCTGGTAAAAGTTCAACCATAGCTCATATTCTCTATTAGTAGCTCTGTATATAAAATTCTTTCGCTGCAAACGTCCCCTCGACTTTTCAACCCCGGCTTCCACATATCAAACTAAACGAACGCAATATGAAAAAAAACATCAAACCGCGACAATCTTTTCAAAAGAAAGTACAGAGAAAAGATGTATCCCAATCCCCCAAAAAGAGATTTTGCTTTTTAATAAGAAACAACAGTCGCTGCTTTAAAAGACCTGCAGAAAGAAACGAATGGTGAAAGGCGCACAAACCGTAGCCTAAAAAGCGAGGTGTTCTTAGATATTATACCCCCTTGCCAGAAAATAAAGACACTCAAAAGCTCGCCAAATTTTTAAACCTCTTTGCCTCTCTGCCCCATCCAATAGGTATCACCAGTTGACTGTCGTATCGTCTCGCCGCCTTAGCCAGTAAGAAAGAAAAAAAATCCGCCGGAGGCATCTGCCGCGCCTTATCATGCTGGTTGCCCGAATAGCTAGGGCAAGGGTCGTCTTTAATGGAGCTTGCATCACCTCATCAACAACGATTGCATCGCCGTAGTAAGCTCTTGTTGAGCTAGGGCCACATCTTCTTCATCTTTGCTTAGATGGAATTCAGCTTTGGTCGTATCTACTTCAGCTTCGGTCGTATCTTCAGTTTCAGTCGTATCTTCTTCAGAATCGGTCACATATTCTTCATCATCCTACTCCAAATCTGCCGTGTAACTAAATCCGCGGAACTCTTCTTGCATCGCTTGAGATAGAACTATAATGGTAACGTTAGTATGCGTAAATAAAAAAGGCACAAGAGGGAGTAAGGTCTATCAAACTTACCAGACTGAACTGGTGTGAGAACAGGAGTAACGCTGGTAAACTCAGAGTCAAAGTTGCTCGTATCCGTGGCGCTCTTGATCTGTGGCAGGAAAGGTGGCTGCACCCTCTTGTGGTAAATGTCATCCCAGTTAATGTTGCGGAAGAAGGGTTGGCTCATGATTTCCTGGGCATCCGTAGGTCCACTTCCAAGACGCTGATCAGGCTCTCGGGTGAGGAGCTTTTGCAGAATAGACACCGAATCCCTAGGCATGTGGATAGGATACAGCGGCTCATCGGCGAGAATAGCATCGTAAATCTCGTCTTCATCTTCACCTCTAAACGGAGACTGCTGCAAAAGCATCTGATAAATCAAGACGCCAAATGCCCACCAGTCAACCGCACGGCCGTACTTTTTGTCTAGGAGAATCTAAGTTCATCAGTTAGCGTTTACGGTACTACAAGATATCTTCGTCTCTCTAGATTTATTTCACATACCTCTGGAGCCATAAATTCGGGAGTTCCACAGAAAGTGCTCGTTGTTGAGCCATACCACATGTCCTCCTTGCAAAGACCGTAGTCGGCAATCTTGATGTGTCCATCAAGCGTCAACATGATGTTGTCGAGCTTCAGATCACGGTAGATGACGCCGTTCTCATGGAAATACTTAAGAGCCAAGCAAACTTCGGCGGCATAAAACCTAGAATCAAACGTATCAGTTCATCTGCTCACTCAAAAAAGAAAGAAAAGAAAGAAAGAAAGAAAGAAAGAAAGAACATGCAGGCTGACTCACTGTGCTCGCTTAGTGCCAAACTGGCCGCGCTGAATATGAAGCATGAGATCACCACCGCTGATGTACTCCATAACAAAGTAAACACGCGTCTCCGTCTGGAAACAGGCGTGCAGGTTGGTCAAGAATGGGTGCCTTTCCCGGTTGGCAATGAGGAACACTCTCTTCTCCGACTTGATGCTCTCCACCTCGTCGTTTTCAATGATGAATTCCTTCTTGAGTACCTTGATGGCAAACAATCGCCTGGATCGCTTGGTCTCCGCCAACATGACCTTTCCAAAGTTACCCTTTCCAAGAACAGCAAGGAAATTGAAGTGATCAAGACCAATACGCGCTCCGGTACCAGGATCGGTAGCAGACGGCAGAGCCTTGCGCTGAGCGCCTCCGGGTCCTGTGGCAGCAGTTCCCTGGGAAGCAGCCGAGGGGGCAGGGGATTGCGGCTTGGGGGCAGCGGGCGGCTGCTGCTGCTGCTGGTACTGGGGCTGGCTCGGCTGCGCTGGCAGCGGCTGCTGGGGAGGAGGCTGCTGGGGAGGCATCTGGGGGGGAGGCATCGTCTGCTGCTGCTGCTGCTGCTGTTGGGGCGGAGGTCGTTGCTGAGCTGGCTGCTGAGAAGAAGCGAAACCCTGGTCTACATTGGCATAATCGGCCGGGTTGTACCTGTGGTGCGCTGGAGTCTGAGGGGCACCGCCATATTGTCCTCCCTGAGCATAAGGATCCTGCTGTGCCGAGTCATATCCAGTACGGTTTTGAGCGGCGGCCATGGCTGCAGAAGCTGCAGCGGCAGCAGAAAGGTCGGAAGGCGCGCGGCCTGGGTGATCGGGCCGCTGAGGCGACGTCTGGCTGGCATACATGAGTCGTGCTGCCTCTGTAGCTTCAGCAGAGGGAGTTCCAGGAGTCGAGCCTGCTCCGGCGCTCGAGAAAGAGCCTGATGAAGCGTGGCCGGTGATGGGGCTCTTGCTGGGGCCTGATCGCAGCGTCTTTTCCGACATGCGCTGCTTCTGAACTCTCATGCCTTCGAGAATTTGGTTGGCCACAGCCATGGACATGCCACAGAAATCCGGGACCAAGTGAACACAAGCGGCGTGACATGTGAGGCCACATTCTATGGAGTAAGTCAGACAAGCATGCTTTGAAAGTGAAAGAAAAGTGAATACAACGAGCACGGCGACTTACCTGAACACTTCCTGCAATTCTTCTTTCCAAACGGAAGTATGTAGCCGCAGTGGCAGCACCAATTGGCTGTGACGTTGGAGAAAGGCTGGAACCTGTGCGGAATGCGGTGATTGATCTTTTCTTCGTCCGGATCGGTTTCGGCATTGCTCTTGCTGATACATTTGGTGACGACGCTGGGATAGCACTTGTTGTGGCAAGTATACTTGCAGTCTTCGCACTGCATACCAGCAGAGTACTTGAGGAAATCTCCGCAAAGCGCACAGCGCATAATGTTGTAGAACTGGTGCTGCACAAATTTGTGGCCGTACATCTCGTGAACCTCTTCCTTGCGCTGTCGGACAGCGCCCTTTCGTCCCAGACCCAGATCCACCTGCCTCTGTCGGTTTTCTTTGACGAAGCTGAACTCGAGCTGGATCTGTCCAGCCGGCTCAAGGTTGAACCATCCATCGACAGGGCCAGTAACTACCTGCGGCTGGGGGCCCGGATCACCAAAGGGCGCACCTCCTTGACCCTGGCCGCCGCCGAGAGTTTGGGATGATGCTCCAAAAGAGCCAGACGTTGGGCTCATTGGGAATTGGCCAGGGCCAGAGCTGCCCATTCTGTCGGCGGACACCCAGCCGGAGCTGTTCATCTCGGCCTCGATCCTCTTGCGACGCATCTCCTCGACGATATCCGATATCCGGACCCAGAGCAAGCCGATGGGCATGGGGTGCTCGGCGGGCTTGTCGTAGATGGTCAGCTCAATTTCGTTGGCCTTGTCAACTTCTATGTTGTGATACTCGGCTTCCCAGCGGTCATTTCTCGACGTTCTTGTTCGGGCCATGACAGTGTCTTCGACCTTAACGGCAACGAAAGTTTCTGGGCCTCGAGCAAATCGCCCGGTAGTGGCGTGATCCACATCTTTGATGGCCACGACGCGAATGGAAAGCTGACCGCTTAGGGGCTTGCGAAGGTTGGGAGTGTTGATTGAGTCGTCTGGCAGTAACTTGGTTAGTACGAGGAAGCTTAAGTAGGTAGCTCATGAAATGCCATGTAACCATGCGTTACTTACCATCTTGGGCATCGCTAGTGTCCATGTCGACATGCAGTTCCTCGTATCTCTTCAACGCCTGCTTCAAGAGAAGAATCTTCTGCTTGCTTTCCACTCTACGAGCAGCGGCATCGGCTTTACTCTTCCGGTCGCCTTCCATGCCATACAGCTGAACCATTTTCTCAACGCCCTTGAGGTACTGCTCTTCGACGTTGAGCTTGAACTGGATCTGCGAGAGCATGTGCTGGATTCGAGGGCCAAGGTAAGGGGTATCGTATTTGATCAAGTCTGTGAGCAAGTGAATCGGGTTAGCAACAGCTTGCCATCTTGCAGGCAGGAGGGGAAAGAAGATCCAGATGGGGAGAACGCCGGACAGGGGGGGGGTAGCAACGAAGAGCGAGGCGGTGGGCAGCATCATCGTAGACATACCTAGCTTGGTGAAGTTGGGACGAGTCTTGGAGGCTGCTCCAGGGCCCGGAGCGCCAAACTTGGGATTCGGCGGCGGCAAATCGCTGGGAGGGCCATCTCGACTCATCGAGCCGTAGCCTTGGTCTCCAAACGACGACGAGTCCTTTGGCGGCGGAGGAGGGGCGCCGCCGTCGTCGCCGCCCAGCGACATGCCCTCGACGCCCTGGCCGACCTTTCGCAGCTGGATGTCCCGCAGCTTCTCCTCAAAGAACTGCAGGTTTCGGCGGCCGTCGCGCATCTGGGAGTCGAGTCGGGAGCGGACGGCCTCGTTGTTGGTCTGTGACCGCATGGCATTGGCGGCGTTGATGAGCGCCTTCTCCCGCTCAATCTTCTTGGTGATGTTCTGAATAGCCTCATCCTCATTCATGGTGCCGGTGGGGGGAGCGCGTTGCGTACGCGCAAGACGGTCTTTGTCTGTTTGGGAGGTGGGAGGTGAGGAGGAGGGAAAGGGTCGAAGAAGCCGAAGCTACTAAGGAATGAGGGGAGGTGGTGAGGAGAGGAGCACGGCTGGCGGAGAGAGAAAAAAACAAGCGGCTCCACGAGCAACGGGCTCCACGAGCGTGGCCAGAGAGGCGGGCGATAAGAAGCTGCTGGTGATGCCCGGAAGCAAAAGGCTGGGAGCGTCTCTGGCGGTGGGAAGGGGAGAGGGCAATAAAATAATAAGAGCCTGTCCGTGGCCACAAGGTGGTGTTTTGGGGTTGGTGGATGTCGTCAGTGATGGGGGGGGAGAGTCGCTAGGCCTGTGGCGGGGTTTGTTATCGAAAGTCGGGTGTTTTGCAGACGAGTATTACAGGCGCTGTAGGTTTAGGGGGGCACACGCCGACACTACTAGCACTAAAGCTCGGCCGTCTCCAGGGCTCTAGAGCCAGCTGCGATCCTCCAGAGCCAGCCACATACCAGGCCACCCACTCAGCATCGATCAAATGCTGTCAGCACTTTTACGATTTCATGTAGGGATGCGCAACAATCACGGCGTGGGGTGATTTGATTCTCAGGATTTACGGCCAGGATCGTCGTGCAGCTTCCGCAGGCTAGGCCAATTTTCAGCTCCGAGGCTTGTTGATACTGGTGCCTAGTCGGTATGCTACAGTGCTACTGCATGAATTCAGGCAACTAGACATTGATGTTGTTGTCAACAGGTCAACACTCCATGTTACAGCGATTTTTTAGGCTAGCAGATGGTTTGTAAGTATCTGCTCAGCCGAATATCACAAGCTTGTAGATACGGAGCTCTTGTTCAGTGCTCAATAAGCAATGAGTCGGACTTTATGCGTGATTCCACATCATCTCATTCATCACAGGCGGTGACATTTGCCGCTCACATGGACCTACCCTACATGATGAGCATGGAATCGCAATTTCTCATTATACGTGATTATCCTGGACAAAAGTCTACGACAGCAGTAGCCAGGAACCAAATTTGTATTTGAGACATTTCTAGTTCGTTGTTCAGGCAAATATTTGGTGCTGGGTGCCACCGTCTATATCCTTGTCCAACGCCGTATCGGTGATCATGAAAGAAGCTATCATCTGGCTGTAACCAAGCACCCCCGTGCATTTACGATGGGGATAGATATTGGAGACATCAACATCAACATGGCCATTACTACATTCGTATCACCTACTAGTGATATACGTATTGGCAGTTGGTTAAATCACAGCACCTCATCTCATCCCTAAGAAAACAACCTCTTGTATAAGCACGTGCGAATTCAACCACTCACATTCCACACCCGTGACTCCCGTAATATTGAACATTTACATCTAGTAGTATCCCTCGACCCAACTCAAGTAAAAACAATCGAGATCGGGCAACCAGGGAAATCTCGGCTCGTGAGAGCACAAAAAAGCTTGACCCAAAAGTTTATTTACCCGCCACAACCTCCGGCCCATCACAAGCAACCAACAAATGGACTCTAAAAACGGTGTGGTTTTCCTTTGTACGACTCGTTAGCAAGAAAAAAAAGGCAAAGCTTCCTCGGTTCCGGTATCGAGTGAAAAAGAAAAAGTCCTAGCTTGCTTTCACGTTGTACTTTGAACATGTACAAAGTCCTAGATCGTAGGGATGCCCCCCCCTGCAACTTGGGCTAGGACAAGCTAAACCGGCTGATCGGAGTGATTTGCCTCATTGGCTTTTTCCTATTTGCTACCTTGCTTATTATTTGTGGATTCGTTGATCCAAACGAGATCCGGAGATCAAGAAATGTGGCTGTGACAAGTCTGGGGAGCAGCGGGCTTGGTTGCGCCGTCGGTGAGCGTATTGCGCATCATCTTTGAGCAGAGAAGCGTATGGATATACGTATTGATATACGTGTTGATGTCAATTAATTCTCTGCCACCACCACCTCCTGAGGCTTGGACAAGCTTCGAATAATGAGTGAGAGAATCAAGGTCAAGTGATAGACATCATGAAACAAGACAAAACCTTGGCGAGCTCTACATGGTTTCAGTTGCTTCAACAGGTTTCAACAGCATCAACAGCAGTAGACAAGACTCAATCTGAATCATATATATGTATACAGAAGTAAACTAAAAAGTACTAATTCTTTTGCCCCGACATCTTCATTCATCGTGTTATATGCGTCTAATGTTTCTCCTTGTATATCCCTCAAGGTCCAATATGGTACTGTTTAGCTAGTGTCTATATTACATCATAGTCGAATCGTTACAATACATACATACGCACGCACGTTCTATGTCGCCGCTCCCTGCCATGCCAAAATCATTTTCGTCCAAACAGCGCTCCGATGCTCCAAGTGATTGCTATGCCAGTAATGAGGCCCTCGAGCACCAGGGCCGAGGCGTCCCGCATGCGCAGCTCCAGCGGGCGTATGCTTGTTAGGTCCTCGAACCCGGCCTTCCACACCTCCGGGTCGGTGATGAGGGCCTTCCATTGTGAAAAGAGTTGCTTGCATTCTTCAAAGTTGCGGATCCAGGCACCGGACAGGGCAAAGCGCCACGCCTCCTTGATGCGTTGCACGTTGAAGAGCCGTTCGGCGTCCCGGTCCGGTGTTCTTGCGGCCACGGTGGCGGCGGCCTCGGCCATGAGGTGCAGGTCGGCCTTGATGAGGGCCATCTCGGCCTGGACCTTTTCCAGGACTCGCTCCTCTTCGGCCACGACGCCCTTGATGAGTCGCTTCCTCCTCCAGGGCTCGGCAACGAACTGGAAGACGACAAAGAGGACAAAGTTCATGCCCATCAGGCCCCAGGTGCCCCACGTCGAGGCCCTTCGGATCCGGTCGCTCCAGATCTGCTCTTCGTGATACCGCTTCAGAATGCCGGCGTTGAGCTTCTGACTGAGCTTCTGCTCGTCTGACTCGGCCTCGGTCAAGTTTTCCTGCGCTGAGACGACCTCGCCCTCCAGGACGTGGTCTGTGCGGTACAATTCTGTGAAGCGTTCCAGGTCCAGCGGCGTCCATGTATCCTTGCGGGCGAGCAGCGTCGTCACCTCCCTCTGGGTCGACGCTCGCTTGTTATTCGATGTCTTGTATGCCTGTCTTGCTGACCGCACCCGGGCCTGGGCCGAGGCCAAGTCACGCTCCAGCTGCTCGTTGACCATTTTGATGGTTTCGATGCTTGTGTATCCGGTGATCTCGTTGAGCTTCTGCGAGGCATTGAGGATCCGTGACTGCATGTTATCCATGACGTCGCTGAATTTCTTATTCAGGGCACTTCGTCGTTCCTCTGATATGGACGGCAGCTCCAGCCAGCTCGGCCTGGACCACGAAGCGGCCGGCTCGGCATTCTCGCTTTTTGCCGTGGTCGAGGCCGGCTCGTCGACTTTGGGCTCGGCGGCTTTGGGTTCGGATTGGGGCGGGCTGACGGGCTTCTCAACCTTGTCTGATGGCGGCTTGGAGGAATAAAAGCGTGCAGGATAGGCAATGGCCTGGATCTGGCATCGCACGCAGGTGGCCGTCGAGGGCCATCGGGCTGCGGCCGTGATGCCGCTTTTCGGTGCTGGCCGCGGCCTCACAGCGAGCTCCAAGCCTATCCTGCCATGCCTCCAGACTGCGCGGCCAAAGGGCTGCATCTCTGCCCAGGCAGCCTCTGCACTGCGCGGTTGCTGTTTTCACGGGCCTGGACCGCCGGGCCTGTGCAAAGCGAGCAGCAGCGTCTCGGGGGCTGCGGTTTGTGTTGTCGAGATGCAATGGCTCGAGGTTGTTCGCAGCGAGGCCCTGGTCTCTTTTGGCACCCGAAGCCGTTGGTCACCTGTAGAGGGAAAAAAAAAAGCCGGGTCGCACCAGTAGTGCCAATTGAACTGACAGCAAAGCCGCCTAGCACGCGTGAGCGATAATGTACCCGAACCTCCACATTTTGTGCTAGAAAAAAAGAGAAGAAAAAAGAGAGCTTCCCCGTCGGTTGAGCCCGGGTCGTTGGGCCGATCTCGACGGCATCTTACTCCAGCTGCGAGGATTTTTCTTCTTCAGGTAGACCGCCTTTGCCAAAATTCGCGCGCTGGCAGCGGTGCCCGCGCATCAAGGCGGCTTAGTGAACAGCACATGCGGGTGCCAAAAGTACGCCCGAGATGGATATATTGGGAGCAATATGGCCATAAGTATACAATTGATGTCATATAATTATTGAAACTATAAAGCAGTTGGATCTAATCAAGCTACACACAGCTTGCCTCCGTTCTGCGAGGCTTGCCGTGGCTGAACTTGGACAGCTCAACGCTTCATTGTCCTCGGCAAAGAGACACCAGATTCCAGCCTAGCAGCCGCTGAGGCGCCGGTTCTAGTGCTGTGGCGGGGCATGCCGGCCCCTGTTGCCAGGCCGCTGCGGCGGGGCACTTCAGCGACTGAAGCCGCCAACGAAACCGCTTGGGTGACGACACGCCGGTTTTGACTCCCTGATCGGCGCCGTACCAGGAGGGATTTGCTGGATGCTGGGCGATTGCGAATCTTTCCCTAATCCAATTTGTGCAATTGGTGTAATTTTCTTCTATTGGGTTCTAGTATTTAGATTTTCGACTAAGCAATTAGCATCTGGGTCAGGCATTTTTTAGACGACCATCTCTTATTTTGTCTCGTTATCTTATCTATCTCCGCTGTCGCAATTGGATCTTGATCGCCATCGACTTTGCCCCTCCATCAATCTGCCCCTCCAACAATTTTGATCTTTGTTCCTCGTCCATCTCAAAGACGCGCTTCTCTATCTTGTCATATCCTTCAACGCACATTTCCTCAGAAACTTTAGCCAAGATGGGATCCGTATCAACCGACACGCCGGCCATGGCCACCAACCCCAAGTTCATCTTCTTCACCGACTTCGACGGCACCGTCACCACCGCCGACTCCAACGACTACATGACCGACAACCTGGGCTACGGCGCTGAGAAGCGCAAGCAGGGCAACGCCGACACGCTCTACGGCCGCATCAACTTCCGCGACTCGTTCCGCGACATGCTCGACAGCATCACCACGCCCTTCAACGAGTGCGTCGACATCCTGCTGGAGAACATCAAGCTCGACCCCGGCTTCAGGGACTTTTACAACTGGGCGCAGGACAACAACGTGCCGATTGTGATTCTCAGCGGCGGCATGGAGCCTGTCATCAGGGCGCTGCTGGATAAGCTGCTGGGCAAGGGCTGGAATATCCAGATTGTGAGCAACTTTGTGCGAGCGAGGGAAGGCAAGAGCCTCAACGACAAGGGCGGCTGGGAAATTATCTTCCGCGACGACAGGTAGGCTTATACTCTTGGCTTGGCTATGATTTTTTTTTTTTTTTTTTTTTTTTTTTTTTTTGATCTTTGGGCACTAACACAATTGCGCAGCATCCACGGCCATGACAAGTCCATTGAGATCCGCAAGTACTCCAGCCTTCCCAACAGACCAACCATGTTCTACGCTGGCGACGGCGTCTCAGACCTTTCTGCCGCCAAGGAGACGGATCTGCTGTTCGCAAAGGCTGGAAAGGGTAAGAAACCTGCTGCCCTTGTTTATTTCTTTATCGATGCTGACTTGAGGTGTGCGTAATACATAGATCTGGTTACTTGGTGCGAAAACGAAAAAGTTCCCTTTGTCACATTCAACGACTGGACAAGCATCACTCAGACGGTCAAGGATATCGTTGCTGGCAAGACTACTGTTCAGGAGGAGGCCAAGGGCCGCATTTAAGATTTACGATGACATGACTATGATACACAAAAAGGGGATACTATAGAGGCTCACTTGGATAATTGAGTCAAAGAGAAGGACTAATGGATAATGATAGATCTTGGGACAACTATTTTGGGTACCCTCAAGTGGTATAGATTTATCTGGAGATATAAAGGCAAAGGCAGGCTTGAACTCTCTATACAAAGCAAATCGGATAGACGAACAAAGCATATTATCGAACTTGTTTTCAATCTTCATTCACTTCACGCTGTACTTTTACTTTTCCTATAAACACAATTAACCATATACGCCATTTAGACATCATTTTCCTGTGCAACAATCAAATAACACCGTCTCCCAAATATCATCAATCATCCCTCACTGCTTTTTCTTCGAATCGGTCGGAATGCCATACCAGCACAGCAGCATCACCACAAACAGCCCAATAACAATCGGATGAAGCACCCAAGTGCCCACCGCCTGAGCCAGCAAGCCCGTCACAAACGGCCACACCGCACCACCCAAGCTGCCAAACGCCGTAATGGCCCCCATCCCGCTGAGCGTGTCGCGATGAGACAGGCCTCTCATGAACACCGCCACCGCGCACGGGTAGATGGGCCCCAGCAGCAATCCGACAATGGAGACGGCCACGGCATCGCCCACCACGTTGGGCACGAACCACACCAGCAGCTGGAAGGCAATGGCGCCGACAACGAGGCCGTACACAAAGGCCTTTTCGCCAATGCGCTGCGCCGGCGCCGTGAGGAAGAAGCGGCCCAGCGTGATGCCCGCCCAGAAACCGGCCGAGACGTAACCCACCGACGACGGGTCGCCGCCGCGGGAGTTGATGAGGAAGGAAATCACCCAGCCGGAGATGGACACCTCGGCGCCCTGGTAGGTGAAGATGAAGGTCGATCCGAGAAGCACGATCCGCAGCTTCACGGCGGCAAACATGCCCAGGAAGACCGAGTTGTCAGGCAGCGCCTCTCGCTCCCTCGCCGCGGGACTCTGCTCCCTCTCGAACCGCCAAAACGCCCACGCCGCCAGCGCCATGGTCAGCACGCACATGCCCAGCGTCAGGGTGTAGTAGTTGCTCCACGCCGTGTGCGCAACCGTCACCAGCGCCGTGGCAATCAGCGGGCCCGACGTGCCCCCGATGCCGTAGCTGCCGTGCAGCAGGCCCAGCAGCAGCGTGCTGTTCTGCAGGCTGCCGCAGAAGATGTTGCCCATGGCGACGTTCACCGCGATGCCGAAGCCGACGAAGAAGAAGGCCGCGATGACGACGCCAAAGGGCGCGGCGGCGACGAGCGGGATGTAGGCGCAGGCCATGAGCAGCTGGCCGAGGCCGATGAGCTTTGCGCGGCCGAGCTTGGCGCGGAGCGAGTCGAGGGCGAAGGCGGCGAAGACGAAGCCGAGGGCCTGGCCGACGAAGATGAGGGAGACGATGGCGTAGCCGATGTCATAGTGTCTGGGACAAGATGTTAGACGTCTTTCATGTGTATAAAGGAAACGAGGACTCACTTCTCCATGTAAGGAATCAAAGCACCAGCAGCGCTGTCACTCAAGGCATTGCCAAAGTTGGACAGACAAACAGCCAGCAGTCGGAACCGATTCATGTACGGATCCCATACGCTGGGCACCACTTCCACGGCATCAACTTCGAGCGCAGGACTGGCCGGGCGACTCCTCTCAAGATCCGGATCCAGCAATACATCTTCTGTGCCAGGAGTGGCTACACCGCCAGTAACATAGCTGTCATCTCGAGGCAGTGATGGCCGTCTCGCGTTGGAGGGCTCTTCTTGGCCTTGGTAAGAGTATGTTCTCTGGTAGGCGTAGGCCTTTTGAGGCGCTGTGAGTGGTCTGGATGTCTCGTTTGGAGAGGGTTGGGATTCGATCTCGACGAGGTTACGCAGGAGGATTGCGTCCATTGTGAGATGTGTGGACGTTGTCAACACAGAGTGAATTCGTCAACGCGGGCAGCAGATTCAAGTTTCAACTATATATCTGATGATGTTCATGAATGAATCATGAATGAATCATGAATTCAAAAATGCACGACTTGGGAGAACCACCAACTCGATCAACTTATAAGAGGTCCAGGACAGCTCGGCAAAGCTCCGCCAGCTTCACTCCCTCCCGCCCAGGAACCCAGACTCCCGCTGCTCCAAGGCCCAATTTTCCAGGTCTCGTGGACCGATAAGCTTGGACTAGTGGAATGCCCAGTTCCGGCTGATGGATAATTAACCCATATTGGCCATCGGGGAATGGCGATTGAACAAGAAACAAGAAAAAAGGCAGAATATGCGGGTCATGACGATATCGGCTGCTGTCCTCCGCCAGCCGGATCGGCTATGTGAGAGGTTGCTGTCTTTTTCTAGCTTGCTGGGATCCTGGTCTAGCATGGAAATTCTCCGCCGAGCTTTCGGACGAGTCCCCCGCCAAAACTGCCCCCCCGGTGTAGGAGGACGGCTTACACGGGTGGCTTGAGTTTGATGCGGTGGTGGTGTGCGTGATCCGGATAAGATTGGCGGTTCACCTGCAGCCATGTTTAGCTCCCTTTGCTGTGAGTCAAGGATTGATAAACGCCAAAAGACTAATTACGCAATAAAAGCTCTGTTCATCACATTGTCCGGTATTTCTCCCATTGGGGCGATTAAAGAATTCGTATTGAGTATGTAATAGCCTCTCAGCCTATGGACCCTGAAATCGGCCACGCCCAATAGGGGAATTCCGCGGCGGGTAAAGATGCCCCAAATCCAAAGCGCCCGAAAATTTGATCCTTATCGCGGGAATCTTATCGTACATGATGCCCCTCCATCCAAGCCCCGGTTTATTTCCATCCACCAAAAATCTAGAAACATTTTCTTGATACCAGAGGCGTCAGCTGGTCGCTAAACAGATATAGCAAAAATCGAACAAGCCACCGCCATGGGCAAACCAAAGCGCAACGTCCTCGCCGCCGCGCAAGAGGCGCTCTCTCCACCGGCCGAATTGGAGCCTACCCAGGTCATTGTGCGCGTGGTGAAGCCCGAAGGAAACAACTTGTACACCTGCGAAATGCCAAACACGAAGCCCGTGGTTCTCGAGCTTGCCCAGCGGTTTCGCAACACCATCTGGATCAAGCGTGGCGGATATGTCTTGGCCGAGAGTTATCCCGCGGGAACGCAGGATAGCAGGGCAATTGGCGAAATTGTAAATGTCGTGCGAGACGAGAAGTTGTGGCGAAAGCAGGCATACTGGTACGAGACAGACAGATCTCGCTGCGTCGATATTATACAGTGTATTAATGAGATATCATAGGCCGAAAGAGTTCGTCAAAGTGGTCGAGGAATTCAGCGACGAAGAGAGCGATTCCAACGTCGGAAAACTGCCGCCCAGCGACGACGAAGAAGAGGAAGAGTGAAAACAGCGCTTCTATGAAGAAAAACGAATCACAACTGCTTTGGCTTTGCTGTTCCAGGTTGGTACGCAGGCGAACTCGTCTTTGAACCGACAAACGCCGCGGCAACCGTAACGGCCAAAACACTCACGGCGACGCTTGAGCTGAGAGGCGTGCTGGGGAAGACATTCCACGCCCATTCTTGCGCCAGCCACAGCGGCACCACGACCAAGAGGTTTGGATAAGCCGTCCACAAGAGGAACGGAGTTGCCCATGCCAGATACGCATAGAACTGGTAATGCAGAGACCTGGCAAATAGCAGGCCAATCACATTGGCCGACAAGATGGTGGAAAGGACATATCTGGGCGTGACGACCTTTTTGGAAATTTTGGCTTCTTCTTGCTCAGTAAAGGGCGACTGGAATCGGACGGCGTACGTTATGATTCCAAGGAGGGATCGTTCTTGGAGCTTCAGCCATCGAGCTGTGATGAACACCAGGAGGGTGAGGACATGGAATGTCAGTAGCGTGATAGAGAAACCCCGGCTGAGGAACGTCTCCTCGCCCATCATCCGCCAATTGACTGTCCATTCAAACTTGAACTGCCTCGAGAGCTCGAAAGCGCGTCCTAGATAGCCGGCCCAATTTGTCGTGATGAATGGGATTGCAAGAACCAGTTGAACCTGTGCCATCAGCCAAACCAATCGCAGTGCGCCCTTGAATCCACGGCCGAGGAATAAGATGATGACGACGGCCGGTAGGACGAGAAGCAGTGACATTTTAACTCCAAGACCGAGGGTGTATGCCAGGGCACCGACGGTCCAGGCTCTGTTCTGGAAGCTGTAGATGCACAGCCATAAGAAAAAGGCAGCAAAGCAGTCGTTGAAGCATCTCAGGACGAAAACGCTGTGGAGACGCTTTGACAGAATCAACAGTGGGAAAATGTACGGCGGAACCTGCATCTCCAATTTAGCAAACTGAATCCCCTCATTGTAAAGGAGTTGTTCTCACCTTGGCCTTCCAGTAGCTCAACATGACCACCCCCAGCGTAGCCATATACAAGACCGCAAACAGCTGCTGCGCAAGCAAAATGTCCGTTCCCTTGTTCGTCAGATAGTACAGCCCCGTGTAAATGTACACATGAGCAGCGGGATAGACCAACGGGCCCGTGCCGCCCTCCATTTTGGGATAATCTCGCTCTCCGTTGACGAATTGCGTGACTTGCTCCATGTATGCTGTCCAGTCAATCTCTGTATCTAGAAATGCCTTTGTTAGCCTTGGAATGATACAACTTTTATTCTTCTCTGCAATCACGTTCACTTCGATAGGCATCATACACGGATTTGACTAACATGGCACTTTCCAGATAACCAACCCGCAGAGAACAGCATCTGCGAGAAAGAGTCCCACGGGGATCAACTTTGAGAGCGCATGGCGGCCATTAGCCACGTCGGATGCGAATTTAATGAGAGAAGCCATGGCCGTCTCTATACCGAGCAATTGAGCGTTTCGAGAAAATCTTTTCTCAATTCTCGACTTTAGTTTCTTGAGAATCGCTTCAATAATCAGGCATATCGTCGAGCCTTTCTCTGTCAAGAACACGTGAAAACGCCCTCATGTGTGTGTGTTGATATAGCGCCCTCTGCAACGTGTGAAATTTGAAGCTACCTACGTGAAGCAAGCCCCGGAAATTGCATAGACCCGCTTATCTTCCTCAACAACCGCCTTGTAAATTCCAGCATCATGAATGAGCCATGAGACATCATCTCACCCCAATCTAGTCATTATGTTATAATAAATCATAGAGAATCGACAAACTATAGTATGGACAAATCGGTTGAATGAACCAATGATTCACAATACACTCAATTCTTCCCCCTCTGAATCTCATCCACCAACTCCACAACCCTCTCAGCACATCCATACGATCCCTGATATCCCCAACCCGCATGCCCATAATTATGCACAACACTCGTCCCATCCTCCAAAACCTCGTCCTCAATCCTCACTCCGCCCTGTCTATACGGCCTCAGCCCAACGCCATGTCTAATGACGCTCAGGCCCTCAATGCCTCTTCCGCCCGCCAACTCCGGTGCAACCCTTACCGCTCTCTGCATAATCCGGTTCGCGATATTCGGATCCGGCACTGATTCCCAGTTGCCCATGTCGTATGTCCCCCCCAAGATGGTCCCTCCGCCGAGAGCTCGCTGCATAATATACGCCATCTCCGTCTCGCCGTCGTCAGTCCCCGACGTAGCGACCATGGGAGAGCATTCATTCCGCACGACGACTACTTGTCCGCGAGCTGGAATCATAGCTGTGTCTTTGACGCCTCCGAGCTTGAGAGAGCCCAAGGCTGTGGCGTTGATGATGATGTTTGCTGGCTGGCCTGTGTGGCTCAATAGTTTTGCCTCCTGGATTTTCGATAAGACGGCTCTTTTGAAGATGACGCCGTTTTTGACGCACTGGCCAAGAAGCCAGGGCAGATAGATGACCGTGTTGATGCACACACTTGTAAACTCGCATCCAGAATCGTGGCCTGGGATGACTTCCTCCTGGCTCAGCTCGCGATAATCTGGGAGCATAGACATGTACCAGGGGTTCGCGTGGAATAGAGTATCAGAGTAATTAGCTTCCTCATCCTTCACTCTTCTATAGACACGGGCTTCTGTAGAATGACAGTCAGAAGCTAGTTTCAAAAAGAATAAAAGAGAAAGAAAGACGAGGGGTCCAGACTCTGGAAGTGGATTCCTGCTTCAGGCACTTCTTCCGTCAAACGTTTCAACTCGGGCCATGTACGGCGCTCCCATCTGCTATTCTCATCGTCGGCCATACTATTTGACACTTAGCTAAAACTGTCATCACGAAACCCGTTTGATGGATCGTGTAAGCTGGACTCACGGCAACATATTGGCTCCAGCCCAAGGCGAGGCATATTCGATGTCATAGTCTCCAGGCATATGTTTCGCGACGACAGTGATCTTATTGGCCTTGTTCCTGGAAAGAAGGAGTGCGGAAGTGAGACCACTCACGCCGGCTCTATAACACACATCTTCTTTGTTAGTCAATGCATCTATCGTAGAAAGGCCTGAGGTTTGAAAGCTGGTTGAAATCTCACCCTACAACGACAATTACGTTCGCCATGTGTAAAAACTCATACAATCAATAACATAGACCTTGCTTAACTTTTAGAGCATATGAGCATCCAAACGCTCAATCATCTCAATTCTTGACAAGATTTATCCGTGGGTTCTCTTATAGAAGCAAGGTTTAGCAGCAGTCGGACCGCGTATAAGCGATTGCGGAACGGCGTGACTCCAGCGGCGTCTCCCCGCACTCGGCGAATCATCGACACACTTTAAATTAGTCTGGTCGTCGTGGATTACCCAATCTACACAGCTTACTATGGTAATTTTGGACTTTTGCCCAAAATATCAAGCATTTGGCTCCTGATTTTGCCATGGGCACAGAGCAAGCTCGGCTTGTAGTGCCAATGGAAATGATGGAAGCTTCTCTACAAAGTACACACGAGCTTGGCGTGTAAGTGGATAGCAAACGGATGCAGTCTATGCAAGCGTCGTTTCAGCAGGTGCCTTGTTCTCTTTGTTCTTTAGTCCCTCGTTGCTCTTAATTGAAAAGTATTGATAACAGCTGGTGAAACACCAAGTCAGCGATTGGATGAAATTTCTATCGCCGTCGGAATTCTAGGCTCAGCCCAACAAATCCTTCTAGCCATTCCGAGATGCAGGTTTGATCCTGGATCCTTGCATCCCGGAGCACTCTTCCAGATTGCCGCCCTGATGCTAGAACAGATATGGAGAGTACTTTCGATTAGTGAGCTTGTTCCGTTGCAAGTTGGAGCTTGTCGGGCACCGAGCATCTTGACGCAGAAAGATGGGGTTTGTTTTGAGAGCAGCAGCGGCATCTACCTAGTTCAACCAACCCACTCACTCGTCGATGACGCTGCCGTGGCGATTTATTTCAACATCCAATTTCTCATTGATGGCTTTTAAGTTCAATTGAGAAATAGCCACTTATTCAATAGCACAGCTCATTAGCTATTAGTGGCAATACCGATACGGCAAGCACAGATGCTTTCCGGCCTCCATTGGATCTGCTGGGTCGTTGATCCTCTCGCTGCTGGCCAGTGGAGGAGGCTGCGTAAAGAAGAGGCTGTATGACAAGGCCCCTTCAAGAAATCATATTGTTTCACGACGCCTTTGCACACTCATTACACGCCATGGCACCAATTGCATCTGCGGCGCACAGCGTCCCGTTGAGGTAATTCCAAAACCGATACAGTTCGGCATCCCTTCCGCAAGATTCCCCTCAAAGGATTCCACTTATTTCTATTGCGGAAACAAGATAGGGACCAAAAAGGGGGCATACTTGATAGATGGTTGAATCATCTACGACTTCTCCCGGTCTCCCGCGTGCTGCAAGACGGACCTTAGCCTGGGATTGTTGATGTGGCGTCGTCGAGACACAGTTGAGATTAAGTCGGGCCCTAATAGAAAGTGCGATCCCGTCCACGTGGTCATCCATCATCCGCCGAGATGGTTGCGAGATGGTTGCGAGATGGTTGGGAGATGGAAATTTTTGCTTGTCCCTGCAAGGCGGGTAGGGAGCATGCAGATTGAATGCTACTCGCCTGAAATTCCCGTATTGTTTGCTGTTCCCATCCATGCTCATTAGTGCCAAGTATGCCCAAAAAAGGCGAGGCACATTGCATCACCGACATTCGTACGACGTACCTGTACTTGTAGAATGATTGCGATAATAGCAAATGACAATGTGACGCAGCCGTGTTGGGATGCAGAGGACAAGTACTTATATGTACTTGTAGTCTGTGAAAGAGGATGATAATGTACCGCTACCACGACTGCTTCTTGGCCACCCCTTGGAGCTAAGCAAATCTCCCGCCTGGGCGTTTAACTGGTTGCACGACGTTGGGATGACGGGGGCAATTGCATTTACGGCCATTATGTGGTGGCACGGCCATCTTCCCGAACTCGCAGGTATACAAGTAGTCGCAGTAGTATGGATGCTCGGCCTGGTGACTCAAGGATTGGCGGAGAGCAGGTTGCTTAGGTTGCTTGCATGTTGCTTATCCAAAGCAGGCAAATAGTGGCTAGCGAAAGCTGCACTTGGAGGATAGCTCACAAGATGGCTCATAGCAAGGATATATGCACATCGGCTTTATCAGACTTCTTGGAATTCCGAGCACGCAGGCAAAGAGTTGAGATAGCGGCCGGTGGGTGATGGCTTGAATCGAAGAGGCAGAACAGCTTGTCACCTTTCTGGCACAACATGGCACGGGCAGGGCATGTCCAACGTGTCGTCGTACAGCTCAGCACGGAGCAATGAGGGGAGTTACAGCGCCAATGCAGCGATGACTTGTCGCCTGCAATCTCGGAACGTACGTGGGCGAGGCTCTCAGGCCTTTGCTGTGCCGGGTTGAAGTAGTAGTATCGGGTTGTTGAAGTCGGCCAAGTTGACAGGACAGGACAGGTACGCCGACTTTCAGCATCATCCCAGGCATGGACGGCAAAGATGGAACATGTTCCAGGAGACAAACACACATGAATAGCACATGGATCAAATTAACACGCTCTGCAAGGCTCACTCAGCCTGAGTGGCGAGCCCGTCTTAGCTCTTAGAGATCAAGATTCAAGGCCAGACTCGGCCACGATGACGTCTGGCCGGTTCCAAAATCTGGCAGAGGTTTTTAAGGATTGACTGTCCGTCGATGAAGTTGGTTTGGGTTGCAAGGCCCAAGGGCTTTATCAAGCCTGAAGGGCCGATCTTGCCAGGATGCCATCAGGTCATGACGCAAAGACGCCCAAGGAATCGAGCAGCAGGGGAGCTTTGAGCGGCAATCCCTGTCTAAAAGGGAAGCATGCCCTTAATGCTCTCCGTTGGGGTTGGATGGGGGACGGCTCACTGTACAAGCTCTCCCGGACGGAACCTGTTTTCCTATTCCTTGGTCTAGCTGATGAGCGGGCACTTGGCGTGGGGCGGCCTGTCGCGGGTATATTCTAGTCTCTGGGCGACTCCTAACTGCTCAACGGCCGAGTACATGCAAGGTACAAGGACTTGATGGTGGTCAGAGAAGGATCGGTGACCAACGGTGACATTTCCTCGAGGCAATCGACGCCTCTTGCTCGCTGGCTTTCTATTCTCCCGACTCGTCGTCTTGTGTCGCTTCTCTCCTATTTGCTTAGAATTGACTGACCAGGTAGCTTCGGGTAGCTATCTCAGTATCGCAGGTAACAGCTGCCATCTGACGAATACGAAGTCTACTGCGGGGACAATTCCTGGTTCCTCAGTGATACGAAGACGCGCATAACCAAGCGACAGACTGGGCATCTCGCAATCTCGCCCATGCATGTACATGTAGTCATGCCGTAGCGCACGCATAGGTAAACCGATATGGAGAGGCGACCCGTGCTGGCGATGAGCGGACAGACCACCGGCTTGCATGGGAGGCTTAAGACAATGACTAGGGGTCTGCTCCACTGCGGCGTCGAGGTTTGTTTTACCTGGATTCGCGGGCCTGTAGCGTGTGCTAGGCAATGGTGGCTGGCCTTTGTCAGCGGGTGGCATTGGGGTTTGACACCGTCTCTTGGTCCTCAGACCCCGGAATCACTCAATTAGCCAAGCCATCAATCAAGCCGAATCAGCGTAGTCAAAGCCATTAGCGGCGGCCATATTGAACCCGACTGACCTGAGCAAGCACATAGGCGTAGAAAGTACATGATGTATTGGGCATGTAGGGAGCTGCATCTGAGCGTCTGATGATCGGGATGGCGTCGAAATCGGGCTGTTCTTGAGAGCGGTCTCTGCTAAGAGGCCTGGTGTCTCCACTCGGCCGGTACCTGTTCGTTGAGGCCAGACGTCAGTCGAGCCACCAAAGAATGGAACTGATTGAGAGGATCCAGGCCAGACAAGAACCTGTCTCATTTGGGGATCGGGAGAAGCTATGCCAGTCTCACAAGCGGAGCCAATGGCGGGACGTTGTGCTTGTACGTACAAGGAGTTTGCTCACAATAAAGACGAGCAGCAAGTCTGTCAACGGCGCTCAAATTTCTGGCCGACGCAACACGGCCTTGGAGACGAGAAGAAGCCTGCGATGTGGTGTGGACGCAATCTGGAGGGGGCTGGATCGTGGCATGAGACCGCGGAACACGGAGCAAGGAGCAGCCGGGCTGATTTTCCGAGCCCTGGAGAAGCTGTACTGCGGCATGTACCCAACATTACCAGTTAGCACCAATATAATCAACGACATCACTTCTCTTCATTTACTTCACTTGGAACCAGTGTGGCTGCGCGGTGGCGAGCCCTATGTCCACGAGACTGCTCCTCCATTATGCCCGCGTCTTGTACATGTACGCAGCACACCTTTTTCTCTTGATCCCCAAGCGAGAGCCAGGCGGGCGTCGCTGTGAATGGACAGCGCCAGGCCATCTGATTTCTTTTTTCGCCTGGCCATGCATGCTAGTGGCAGAAATGCTCGGCTTGCCGGAGCCATTCGCAGGGCAAGGCCCGGGCATGACCGGCTGTCATTAGCCACTTGCTCTTGGTGGTGACAGGCCAGGCCTGGATACATGAGAGACCAAGGAGCTTGAATGGTGGGCTGCAAGTCGACTCGTCTCGGTGTAGTACCTTGCGAGAGACTGGCGTACCTGTACTGGAAGGTAGCTGAGACATTATCAGGGGCAAGGCAAAAGCAAAGAGCGGTGCAAGCAACCAACAAACAACCTGCCTAATAATAACACAAGCCGCATTTGATGCTGCTGTTGGGCGAAAAGGCACAGTCAAAAATGGAATCAATCAAGACGATGGAGTCCAACTGGAGTCGGCCTCGCAGCCTGTCAAGAGTCGCTGCGGCCGAGCTAGAAAGGCTGCGCGGGTAGGGCAGAAACTGCACTGCACTATAAACCGTCCGTCCATGTAGCACTGACCCCTCGACCCCTCTAAGCCCCAGGGCCCTTGGGGGCTCTAGGGGGCTCTAGGAAGGGCGATATGCTGGGGCCTGGCAGGGGACCTGGTGTTTGGTGCTTGTGCTTTGCCTTGCAGCAGTTGAGCCCCTGCCACCCCGCCACATTTTATTGTCTTTTTCTTTTCTCTTTTCTCTCTCTGTCATTCTATTTTCTAATCTGTCCCACTATGAGTATGGAATACGATGCGCTATTTGGAGCCTACATAGCCCCGAGTGCTGTATACATGCAAGTAGTTGTACATGCGCTTTGACGTGGGTACGCTATGAGAATGGACGGTAAACCCGACTTCTAGCGGACTTCTGATTCAGCGGAACAAGCAAGCGGCCCAAGCCCGCGACGACGACACAATTGAGTTGATTCTTGTCCTCCAAATTGAGAAAAGAAGCAACATGAATGCAACATTGCAATGCTACAGGTAGCATCAAAAATGCCATGGCTAGCCGCCGTGTCCTAGCACGTGCGCGCAGATGCAGCTGCAGATGCACCTACACGTACGTACAAGGTACAAGTCGAGTATAGAGCGAGCGCTGTAGGCACTGCACGCAGTCAGCAGGACCAAAGTACATGTCGTGCAGTCCATGCAGCAAGCGAGGTACATGTGCGCCAATGCGCCCGTGGCCGGCTCTTGATTGCAGCGCTAATAGTGAAAGGATTGATTGGAGGTGAAAGCAATCATTCATTGTGCAGTTTGATGCCAGCACTTGGCCGCAGGAATCGCCAGCTTGTCCAAGTTTAGCATCTTTTGCTGCGCCAGCGATTGCTGGATTTACGTTGACTTGGCACTGCGCACACGCACACGCGCACACGCACACACATACGCGGCGTTGACAGCGAATTGCTGGTATTGGGTACTTGCGCCTCCATGTACACGTCTGTGGCCAGGTGCGCCAAAGTATAGCCACCACGTGTGTGTGCCGGTACCGGTACCAGCGCCAGGAAATAGCGCTGTGGGAATGAATGTCGCTGGGGAACCCCATAGGGGCCTCTCCATCGGCCTGGAATGAATCGCCTCGATTCTCTCCATTTGCTTCTATTCTTATGTATGCACTCGTGCTAGCAGCGCTCTGCCGACTTGCCCAACTGGGACCCTCGACTCCGAGTTTTCGTCCAGTGGCGCTAAAACAGGCCCCGGCAGCAACCAGCGCACAGGCCGGCGGGTGCCACTGCGTACTCCAGGCCACGGCCTTGTACCTGTACCTGGCCCTTCTAGCGGCCGGATCAGCGCCCACAGGGACCCTCTGCAAGTGTGTGCCATCCGCTAAATTACGTCGCTGCCACCCACTCTCCTCCCTGCTTTTCTGCCTTTTTTTTTCTCCCAACCCTACCACTTGACGTCTTTTTTCCTTTTTCTCTCTTGACCCCAGTTGATTTCTTGCTTGTGCAAAAATGCTGGCCAAGTGCAAAACAATAGTCTGACGCCTTCCAACAAACGAAAAGGAAAATTCTCATCTCTTCATCATCACCTGAATAGTGCCTGGCCAGTAGAGGGAGACGGGCTTCTTCGCTCTTACATGCCTAGCTGCGGCGGGTCCGGCATCTCATCTCATTCCAATTCCTCCATCGTCGAATGCCACTTGTATTTGTGTTAGCATTTCGCATTCACAACAGCCCTGGTCCGTCCGCTTCACAAGGCGCCGCCGCATAAACTCCACGCCCTCGGTCGACGCGCCTCGTGGCATGTGTTTCGCATCCAGACCCCTTACTGCTTCATGCGCGGCTGCCGGCGGAGACTTAAACGACCACCATGCTGCTTCACGCCTCACTGGATCTGCACTTAGGGATTAAGACGACTCGCCAGTAAAGCAAAAGGGGGGCATCTCACCCGCGAGGTGAAGCAGCTAGCAAGAATGGCCCTGTGGCCGTTTCGCACCAGGGGCCACGACAAACGCTCTAGCGGCTCTGGCGCGGCCCTCTCCGCTGCCGGCGACGCTGGAGCGAGCAATGCCGCCAGGTCGGCTGCCTCCAGGCCCAGCCGCGATGCTGCGCCGAGATACAGCTTCTCGCCCGATCGCCCAGATGCCATCCACGTCGCCCGGGCCAATCGGGCGAACCCCAACGATCCTGTGACTGCGCCAATCCACTCCTTGGAGACCCGAGTCCCAACTCTACACCACAAACGAAGCGGCAACCAGCCCTCGCGGCGGAAGAGCAGCAAACGAAAGAGGCAGGATCCCACCAGAGAGGCCGAGATCAGGGCCATGACCGTGTACACGCCGGCACGAGCAACCACCGACACATTGGCCACGGCTCGCAGCGTCAAGCACGACAACAAGCGAGCAAAGACTCTGGCGACTTTGGGCGCCAGAGCCCCATGGGACAGTCCTACCTCTGACGCATCGCCACCGATGCCCATCTCAATCACCTCCCGCCTCTCGTCCGATTCCAATTACTCGTCATATCGAGTAACCGCCCTCGATGCTCTAGCACCGAGACCGACCCTGAAGTATCAGGGCAGCGCACGATTGCTTCCGTCGCACGCCTCTGTACCGACACGGTCCGAGTCTCAAAAGAAGAGGCTCGATGCCTTTCCCGAGGAGACGATCAAAGCGCACAAACGCATCGATGACCTGGCTGATGATTTCGACGCTGGCGAGCTGCGTGAGCTCATGGAAAGAGACAAAAGACGGCGCGAGAGGAGCCGGCAAAGCGAGCGAGACAAGGCCGAGAGGAGGCTAGCACGCAAGGCTGAGAAGCAAAAGAGGGAGGAAGAAAATGCCAGGCAAACTGGGACACCGCCGCCAGAAAATCTCGATCGTGGTGTCATGGGACGAGAGGTCGGCCTAGGCATAGATCCCCCGTCTACTGTAGTGACATCCTCCAAGCAGCGCACTTCTCCAGAACCAATGTCTGACGTAGAGGAATATTCACAGACACCCGACAAGGGCAAAACAAGGGAATCTCCCGAACCTTTGCAGACGTTTCACAGAATCGATACAGCACCGCGCGAAACAGAGTTGTCCTCAGCTGCTGGGAACCAAATCCAGGTTTCTCAGAAACCACAGGAGCGTCTTCCAGCCATTCCGCCTGCTATTAAGCGTGAAGGCATTTTTGTACCGAAGATATCTACATCCGGGTCGACTTTTGATTCGGACAAGGAAAAGACATCTTCTGCCATGGATGATAGCTCAACGCGCAAGGATTCTGAGTCCAGCAACAAGTCTAACCGCATCTCCTTCTCCATCTTCAGATGGGGAAAGAGTCGCCGCAGCCCTAGCGGTCCCTCGTCATTCGCAAACACTTCGCGCGAAGAAATGGGGGCAGCACAGGCGCAAGCTAGAAGCACCGCCGACTCCCCCGTTCCGTCATTTACTGGCAACTACCTATCTAAGCCGGCCTCAGGCCCACCGAAACGGATGCGATCTCGCTTCCGAGAAGATCTTCCAGAGCTCCCAATATCACCACCCCAGTCCCGCGTTCAGTCGCCTGAAGCAGAGGCCTCACTGCCCAGTGTGGCAGAGTACAGGTCTCCCAGCGCTGAACCCAACACCAATCCTCCCACTTTGCGAGACGATACACCAACTTCAGGCCATCGTTCCATTTCAATAGACATTCCTCAAGCGCATGTGTCGCGAGACAAAATGTACGGTAGCCACTCGGCCGAACCGCAACTATCAATGTCTTTGGCATCTGTCGACTCAGAAGGCTCTTGGCTCTCAGGCAGAGTCGGCAGCCAGCGGAGCAAGCGGATGTCATCTGTACGCGATAGCAGGACCCGGTCTCGACAGCAAGATTCCGAGCGTAGAGCCGATTCTCCCTCCAATAGCGCCCACGACGACCTTGAAATTACCGAAGACGACTACATGTCACGCCTCAGCCCTGACCCCACCACTCTGCATTTCAACACTCGGCTTTCGGGCGAGGGCCGTCCAAGCAGTGATGAGGACGAGCTGATGCGCGAAGGAGAAGTCAGGTGGGGTGCTGTTGGCGCCCAAGCGCAGTTTGTCCAGCGTAACCAGAATCGCGATACTGTCCGCAGTCGCGAAGGTCTGCTCAATATCGACTCAGGAGACGAGGAAGACCAGGAGCCTATCTCTCCCATTTCCCAGATAACCCCGAGCATCGAGAAGGCTGATTTGCAGCGGGCCTCGAGCGTGCGCGTGAACCGTCCGTCAAACGTGAAGTTGCTGAAGATACAGCCGCGGGCATCCACCGATGACAAGAGAAAGAGCCAAGAGAACCCAAACGGCGCATAAATTTGACCCATAATTGATACTACGACTACAACAATCGAAAGAGCCCACCGAACAGAAAAAAAAAAGGAAAAGGAAAACTAAAAAGAGCATTTTTCGTGGTCTGCAGCCGCGATGGTGCTTTATTGACGAATTTCCTTTGTTGCAGCTACCCGAAACTGACCCGAGTCACTCATTTATTTCCTTATCACACTCCTTAACTTGATGTCCGAAAATCAAAATCAAAATCACGAAAAACAATTGAAAAATCACATTACCTACAAGACATAGGACTGAAAAGCGAAAAAGACACTAAAAAAAAAAATGAAGCAAAATTAACGACTAAATCGGGAGGCTCTTTTGACTTTGTATCGCTGGGATCTGATGCGGCGGATTCTGCCCCTTTCGGACGTTTACTCTCGCGCAAACGTACTTGTTGTATATTACAACCTTTTGACGACATGACTGGCGTTGGATTGATTTTTATTTCTCTTTTTGATTCCCCAGAGTAATATTTTTTACTCTCATATTGTTACAGGCACATATACCAGATTTGATACCCACTCTGTCGAAAAGAGGTCTTGCTGTTTGACCTCTTTTCACAGCTTATCTTGTGTGTTTCAGGGAGGCGAGACTGCATCGTGCCGGGAAAAAAGTATTTATACCCAGTATCTGGCGAAGAGGATGGATGGCGATTTTAAAAGAAGAAGAAAAATGGGCGATTTTTGAAGAGGCGTGATTTGCTTTGCTTATTCTTCAAGCTTGAGGCTGAAGTAGAGTGATTTGTTTCTGATTGGAATTGGTTCCTGAAGGATAGGGGGAGAAGAAACCTGATTCGAAAAAAGAAAAGAAAAAAGAGAAGAATTTGAGTTTTATAGAGGCTTCATTCTTGTGGCGCAGGATTTGATATTAATTTGCTCTTTTTATCAGATTCTTTTTGCCCTGCTACCCTTTGGAATCTGGTGATTTCTTGGGTGGCGGGATTTGTATATAGTTTAATGTCATATTGTTGAGCATGTGACGAGCGAGATGGATCGGGATTGTGGTGAGATAATACATTATTGTGCCTTGATTCTGAACGTTTTGTCTTTTTGCTGTGCTTTGTCCAGACTAGAATGATAGTTGCAAGGTATATATTTTGATTTACAGACATATATACCTATATATGCGTATGTATGCTTAGGTTTTGTTTCTGCTAATTGAGATTTACAGAGTCTTCTTGTCTCAACGTCTATTCAAGTATAACCGTAGTCTCATGGTCTTCGATACCCTTAATCGCCTCCCCCTTCATGATTCCCGGAACAATCGCCGGCCCAATAACCTGATATCTTAATGCCTTCCCCTCCTCCATCTTCGGCCTCATCATAATCGGCATCCGACACCCAAATAGGACCCAAATCTCATCCCCGGCCCGGATATCGCTCGTCCGCGCCATGCTGCCCACGCGCGAACCCTCCGTGCCAAAAAGCACCACGGCATTGCTCTCCACATGCAGTGGGTGACACTCCTCGCGCACGTCTGATGCGATGATGTCCGTGGGCGTGTATCCGCCGCGGATAATGTCCCCTGTTGAAAGATCCTTTTGATCTGCCTTTTGGGCGGCGGCGAGGAGGCTGCGGATGAGGTGGATGCGGCGTTGGGGGCTGGGTTTGTCGAGCTTCCACATGTTTTTGTAGCGTTTGGGGCTGAGGCAGGGGAACATTAAGGAGGTGACATTGTCTCTTTCGTACAGGGGGGTGGAATCATCTGCGTCAGGCCATGTTTTGCGGCAAAAGGATTCTATCTGGTCGAGCCATTCGGGGATGGGCGTCCAGCCACGGTCGTCACCGTTGATTAGACAAACATGCTTTATGGCGTCGACTTTGATGCCTTGCGCATGTAGATATAGAGTCTCTAGGTCGATGAAGACACTGAAAGGAGTTGCGAGCAAATCACCACATGCTCTGCTGGCGTTGACGTAGCTCCAGACGATGTCGGCGTGGGGCATCCAGCTGGGGAATCCCTTGCGGGGAGTGTAACTGCCCCTGGGATTGCTCTTGTTGAAGCAGAGGAAGCTGAGACTCTTGTAGCGGTGGATGAAGTGGCGGAAGACTTGGGCGTAGACCCAGATGGCGGAATATTCGTAGCTGACTTCGAGATTGTAGTCTTGGGCAATGTCTGTGGCGAGGCCGAGGATGCCGTAGAGGCGGTCGCGGGGATCGGTCATCCTGACGCTGGAAGATTGGAGGAAGAGGTTTAGGAGAGAAGAAGCGAGCAGGCTTCTGGTGATTGTGAAGCCTTGGGCGGGAGATGGAGATTGGCCGCCTGAAGAAGGCGGTGGTGCTGAAGGAGCAGATGACGATGCCAACGACAATGAGTAGGCTTCCTGGGCTTTGCGTCCTTCATGCATGTTGATTCTCGCCTGGATGACGCCTCCGCCAAAGATCTCGGGCGTGGGATCAGCGCTGGTATTCCCATCGATATACCGCGAGAGTACAAACTCCGGCCCGCCCAGCCTCGTGCGCTGCGACTTGACGACATTGACCTTTTGCTGGAACTCTAGCAGCTGTTCGCCAGAAAAGACGTCTCTCCGACAGTACACGTCCACTTTAGTTGCCAGAATGAGCTCTTGCTGAACCCACAGCCTGCGCCAGTACTCGTTGCGAAAGATGTCCGCCACGGGGTACCAGTACGACGGATCGTGAAAGTCGTCCAGCTCTACGCCCTTGCCGAGAAGTTCCAGGTCGTCGAAGACGGAGGTTTTGGGCCGAACGTTGTGGTCGAGCCAGGCGCAGACAGTACTGGCGCGAGAGTAGATTTCGTGCATGAGCTGGATCTGGTAGCCCTTTTCGACGTTGTCCTTTTGGTTGATGCAGATGGCGTCGTTCCAGATCAGGCGAGGGTGGGATTGGTGGCGGAGGTCGTCGAGGGCTTTTCGGAGGTTACGGCCGACGGTGAAGGAGAATGGGGACTCGGCTGGTTGATCTGTTTTGTTGGCCTCATTGTTGTTGTGATTGTTGACGTGGATGAAGATTTCGTATGAGGGCTTGGGAGGACCCCAGCAGTAACTCAGGGCTTCATACTCGGGATTGTCGTTGAGGGAGACGGTGTGAAGTTTGATGGAGATGCGGCTGCCGGGCTTTCCTGGTAGTAGTTCCAGGAGTCTGATTTGCGGATGGAGGTGCTCTAGAGGCTCATAATGGTGGAATGAAGTAATCTTTTTTGCTCTTCTTGTGTGATTTGGCTGGGGCGAAGCTGTTGATGGAGAGCGGCGCTTTCTCAGTGCAGGCATGGCGTATTTCACAGGTTCAAATTGAATGAGACGAAGGTGGTATAAAACATGCAATAGAGTTCAAGTATCTTCAAATTGTATCTAGAAAGCAAAAAGTCAACAAGCTGCATAATCTGTAACAGATTGTGTTTATATAGCTTCATGGCCCCCTTGTCGCTGTTGCAGCCTTGAAGGGCCTCCCAAACCGGCCGGCGGCTGAAGGAGCGCTGACTGCGCCACTACTTGCATGGGTGCGACCAATAGGCGGAGACAAAACACTGGCATTAGACATCATGATAGAGAGTTGAAGAGTATGAATATTGAAAAATAGCTCTTTTGTATAGGTGTAGACAGCTGTGGTGTTGAAGCAAGTCGGGAGGCCCTTAGTCATGAGGTCAATTTAAGCCGTGGCTGGCCTCGGTGCATTTTATCGATACAGCGATTGATGCCGGCTTACCTCATAGAGCGACCCAGAATATTTTACTCATCCAGATTGCCACTAACAACTACAAAACACTGCTTCATCTTATTAATCATCATAACCGACACCTTTCTCATTCGTATATATAGCTCTTCAGTGGGTTGAATACCAGAAAACATGCCGTCAACACGCACATTCCGCCCGGCGCTCTCAATCGCCCGCCAAGGCGTCGCATCTCAGCGCCTCTTCCACGCCAGCCGCGCTGCTCAGGCCATTCACTTTGTCAAGACGTGAGTTGCGTCCCTCTAGAAATATGGTTGAAGCTATACGACCGCAACATATGCTAATGGAATAAAATGAAGCGCTGAAGAGTATAAGCAAGTCATCAAGGCGCAGGACAAGGTCATTGTGGACTGCTTCGCAACCTGGTGCGGGCCATGCAAGGCCATTGCTCCCATCCTGGAAAAGTGTGTTTAACTACTTGATATCACAAAAGATCTATGAAGATACTAATGGGAGCATGTTAAAAATATAGAGCCTCGGAGGAAGCAGAGTTCAAGGACAAGGTCCATTTTGTCAAGTTCGACGTGGATGAGCTGCCAGAGCTGAGCCAGGAGCTGGGCATCCGCGCCATGCCGACGTTTCTGTTCTACAAGGACGGACAAAAAGTTGACGAGATGATTGGCGCGAATCCGCCCATGTTGCTGCAGAATTTGAAGAAACTCAATGTCTAAAGATTCACAATGTATTACAAAAAAAGGCTGATAGGGGGGGTTTTAGATGTTTGTAAGATATGGTGACTATGCTAGATCTGGGATACAGGAGGATGCGCTTTGAGTGAATCGATATAAGCACATCGCATGTTTGATTGCCATTTTTCTTCGTGTTATATGTTATGCGGTGTCTTCTTTTTTCTTCGTCAGGGTTCGCTTCTGATCTATCTACCTGTTCTGCCATGAAGCAGTTCACTCATCTTCTCCAGCCTCGTGTAAAGTCTGGGTTTTCTAGTCATGTGTCTGTGGCTATGCATTTTCCCAGTGTGTTGTGGTTGTCGATCGTGAAACCAAGAAAGTCCAGCTAGGAAAGGTTTATCAGTCGGAGCATGGTATCATCGCTCTTTCGCGGTTTGACCCTTCTGAGTGACACTACACCGGCTGTAGCTATAAGGCTAGTTGCCGGCATGATGTATAAGTGTTCGAATTCAGACTATTCGTCGAGTTGCTCGATTTTCGCCTCAACATCTTTCTGTCTGCCCCAGTCGGACCACTTCTGGGCTTCCATCAATCGTGTGTCCTTGCACTTTTTAACGGAAGCGTCGTATACGAGCTTGTGTTCCCTCCAGTTTCTTTCCTGCCATAGCGAAGGTCATCTGAACCATTGGGTCGATATATTCGTCGAATTCCTTCTAGTGATTTCATTGACTGTGGTCTCGTTGAGGGGGTTGGCTACGGAGATTCGCTCACTCAGATTCGAGTGATACTTGCTCGTCGTGCCATTTGGTAAGGGAAAACAAAACCAGCTCACTGCGGGTGCTAGAGCCGTAGCGCTTACGTTGATGACCCGTCGTTGTTCGCTATGGGTTGGTGACTGGTAGAAACATGGGAAAGGGCAGCTTGTGAGTAATGCAGTCGGTTATAGACTTTATCTGGCTGTCTGGGTCTGCAACGTCGCCATTTGAGTTGGTGAGATGCAAATCGTTCAGCACCTATTCGTCAGAAGCGAAACACGAGGCCCATCACTTGCCTAAGTAAGCGATGATGACGCCGTCTCAGTGCCGTCGTGTGCCTGGCTCGAACCCTCGGCGGTTGCGAGGCTGTCCTCTACTTCCGAGTCCGAGTCAATGATGAGTGGGTTGAATTTGTTCTTGCCCTACTATTTTCGGCAAATCGGGTAGGGAAGAACAGGCCTGGGACACGAACCGGACTTTTCGGAAGACCAATGGTCTTTCATTGCATCAGGTTTGAGAGTTGCAAGAGTGAGTGCCTTTGGAAAATGAGATAACATATTCGTCCATTACGTTGAAGAGTTCTGTGTCGATCTGCTCATTTTTCACGTCCGAAACAGTTCTTTTGAGTGATTTGAGTGGAATCTCCCATTTCGAGGTTTTGATCGAGCAGTATGTATCAAGTCCGTCGTGCCAATCTCAAAAAGTTCAATATCGATCACACAAGAGGGAAGTGCACGGTTTATTTATTTGTCGTAACTTCAACAGTCTGGTGTGAGGTAACTCATGTCTTATGATTCTTCTGCTAGTTCGTGACAGCCTCTTGCAACTCGTTCAGGTTAAGCTGCTCGCTTGGTTGCGGCGCAAATTCGATTGTGAGAATCATTCCCTCCCATGGGAGTAAGTCTTGCCACATTCCTTGCACTGGGCATATATTTTGGGCGCATCTGGACTCTCATAGATCTGACGTTTCCTGAATGAATCAAAACATCTTGAAATCGCCAGGCAATTTGTTCCCTTCCAAAAGTGGGCCATATTCGTTGTGCCATAAGCCCTCCGGGCAACCAACCTTGGCGCTGATTTCCTCCAAGTCAGGGTCAAACTCCCTCCAGATGAGACCGAGACACTACACGATATATCGGAGCCTGCCCATAAGCGGAGCGCCCGTCACTCATAGAAGGTGGTCCCAGTTTAGAGTCTCAATGTGTGAAGTTTCCGTCTTCCTGTCTTCCATCTGTGCTTCGTCGATGATCAATAAAGTCCATCGGACCATGCCCAATTCTTTTCGTGTGAGCTTGTAATCCACAAGGTTTCCATCGGGCTGACTCCGGTGACTATCTGCCTCTTCATGCAAGGGCACAGACTCTATTCTTGCAGCCGGATATCGCCGCAGCTGCCTTAGCTTTGGCCAACCCAGGGCGTATTAAACATTCATCTCATCCATCATCCTGTACAGAAGGCACAAACAGAACAATATGAGCCCTCCCCAATCCGATAACGCAAAGCAGCTGACGAGTCCACTTTGTCGACAGGCTCGCTCTTGGTGGTCATTGAACGAGCTTTTGGCTGTTGCATTATGCCATGGGCAGTCATTGACTGCCCAAACCGTTAGAGCCCGCCGTGCATCTGCTTCATCGCCTTAGCATTGTAATGCAGGTTTGCAACAATACCTGTCGAACACGCGGTGTGCAGGCAAACACCCGTGGCTATGATGTTGACATTGGCGTGTTTTAACAGCGTCCGAGTGCTAGATGGTTTCTGTAACTGCCGTGCATTGATGTCCTCCATGCCGGCATTGAAGATTTCCTTATCCCTCAATATCGCCGCTCTAAATTCGTCTCCCTCTACAACTGAAACGTTCTTGAACTCTAGGGCAGCAAATGGCTTTCGACCTGCTTGGAACTGGCTCAGGTATGCCTTGTCGGCTCGAGCGACATGAGTTGATGAAACGGAGGTAGCTGAGGCAGAGGTAATTTCGCTCCCATGTGTGGCTGCCGGGCATGGGCACCGAAGTGCCTGATGCACCGGGTGACATAGCTATAGTCCCAGTTGGGCAACTATATGAGAGCCCTCGTGTCTGAAGTAAGGTCCTAAAAGCAAATAATAGCCTCGATCTTTGTGTTGGCCTTGTCCGTAGATCGGACAGTGAGCATTCGGGAACCAGCCATTATGAAAGGTGCAGATATGGTCCTACATATAGATTAGCTTAGAGTTCTCTTCCAATAAAGCGATTCACTTCAGCAAAGGCCTCGCCAATTTCCACTGAAGTCTAGTGAAATACGGCACAAGGAATCACTTACAGCTGTATCCATGGTGTATCCAGGGTGTATCGATGTACGCACACCATCATGCGCTCCCCCAATGAGAAGCCGCAGAAGGAGAAGAAGATAATAAAAACATATTCCGAAGTGATAATGATGCTGAAAAAGGTATCGGATCCTTTGCAGCCATTCCATATTTCTGTTGCAGTTTGAGTGGCATGTGAATAATATAGGAGACTGCGAAGGAACTCTTCGCTGGCTACAGTATGCCTTTTCTGATTTTTCCAGTAGGATGTGAGTTCGCAGCTTCCAAATGAATGCCAGCTAGTTTAACTGGCCTCCCCTTGTGCCGTTTCTCAACCACATTGAGGGAGATGGCGGGGGAGGTCAGACTTTCGAAATATTGTTGCCGAGACTGCCGCGTGATAAACCAATGATTATTAGCTCAGCGTTACTTGGCAGAGGGAAACTGTTGATGTCTTACCCTGTGTTAGCCTCACCGAACTCTTTTGATATTCGACAGCCATCTTTAAATATCTACCGGCTGTATCATCTCTCTCAATCGCCAATGAAGAACCCTTGTGCGCCTCAGCGACTTCAAGCCTCTACTTCAACCGCTGACCAATGCCTTCAAACTGAAGCTGAAAGGTAACATTTGACACTATTCTGATCTTGAGATCTTGAGATAATACCGCCACCTTCGAGTGTTTATATGTCGATAAATCTGTAAATTCGATAAGTACGGTGGGATATTATGTTCTGTCATTCGAGCATTACCCCGCGTATCTGGCACATGACGTGTGCCTGGGAGTGACAGCAAGAGTGGTAGGGAATCTGTTGAACAGACTGAGAGTCCATCATCTGATGAGACTGCTGCGTCTGGGGAGAAGTGAGCTGTTGAAATGCCTGCTGGGAAGGCTGAGTGGATATCAACAGGGATGTCGTAGGAGTTGGCGATGGAATGAGGCGTACTGTCATCCTTGCCCGTCACGGTACAGGCCAAGGCGACGATGTTATATCCAATTTTGCCAGTCAACCAGATGTGTGGCATGATCAAGATTTTGCGCAGCTCCCCATGGCCCGAGAGAGTGACGTTCAACTGTCCGGCTAGGCTCAACCAAAACCAATAAATCTCACCAACTACATGAATGGGCCAGTGTGCCTCTTCGGTCATATGTTGGATCACCTCCTCGTGGCAAAAGAATTGTTGGCTCCGCAGGTGTAACATTCGTCGAGCGGTCCATGGATGACTGCTGGATGTTGCGATGACATGCTAACAGATGGGTTGGCGAAGGCAAAGGAGACTAGATGGCTCAGAATGGTCAGCTAAGTGAAGTCTAAGTGAAGTGCGTTTAAGGGCACAAAAATATTTGTGAAGACTTACCAAAATAAATAGAGGAGACTTCGAAGGAAAAGGGAAACAATGAAATCCTGGGATAATCCACACGACAACGAGGTGGGATTGTTGACCAGCCGTGGCTATCATTGGAGACGCCATAATAAGCAGCCTACCATTGGGCTGCTAAACAAGAAGTATTAGCTCTGTAAGCCAAAATAGAGAGTGTTCCATTGAATTACTTGGTATGAAAAGTTCTGCAGTAATCAAGAAAAGAGCAGAGGAGGCGAAAGCAAATCGAGACGTTAGCCGTGTGACGATAAACGAACACTACCAGCCGTCAGCAATAGTCATTATTCATACCAAGCCATGCTTGCATACCCCATGCTGGTAGTAGAGAATATGTCTTCCGGCCATAAACAGTAAACAATATGATAAAGATGCAGCCAGTGCTGTAATTCAGCATAGATTGCAAACGTTCAAATTGTATAGCTAATCCATAGCGGCGTCACCAATATAACGAGACAAAAGGAATGAAAAGAAGATGAATGAAAAGAATGAAGGAGAATTAAAAAAAGAGCTCCCCTGGTATAAATACTGGCTAACCATCCAGCTACACGTGCTGGTTCATACGTATCTACAACTACTGCCTATGCGTTGTGATACTCAGACAACTCACTTGCGTTCCACTCAGTCTCGCAACTGACGAATAGCATACTCAATCTCTCATCACGAGTGACGTTTGTTGGGAATCTACTTCGAAATTTGCTGAGAATCTCTCACTCCTTGAGCCTTTACCGCTGCGGAAATGCACCCATCCGCGAATTGTGGATTGAAAGAGGCGATACCGGGCCGTGATGACGCTGTTTATGTGGGATTTTCATCTATTTACTTTTTCTATTCCGATAAGACGTAATAATTTGCTCCAATAACTTGTACAGGAGCTGATATGCGTATACATCTTCCGATATCATGTTGCGCACCGCAGGTCTACTTCGTCATAGAGAATATAAGTCGAAATTGATAACGAGTGTAATATCCACTTTATGTAACCGACTGCGAGGTGGTTGGGAATAATATCTTACCTGAGATAATTGAAAATCGCATAGATTCCAAATTGTTCAAATAGACTTTTAGAATACTAAGCAGAAAGATTAATTTGCTGGTGATAATGCTTTAGATATGTGTATGAAGATTGTCGTGTTCAAGTCATCTGAGAGTAGCATCACGTGACCTGTATAGAGTTTCTGCGGCAACCCCATTTGGCGTATTTACATCACTGCATTTAGCACATTTACCCCACGACACGAATCATGATTTTTGTACAAGCCGCCGATTGATTGCGTTTTCAACAGCAACAAGCTCGATCCGCGCATGTTGCGCTCTCAACCATCAGAATGGCGTACAATCCTCGAATGAGCATCATTCCCCCCTCGCAGCAACAGTCTCGGTCGAGGAAAAAGGAAGAAGAGGCCGACGCGTTTATGCGACTGCCCGACCGCGAGATCGTGGGATGCATCACCGACATTGGCATCAACTTCACCATCGCCGACCTCCAGAAACCGAACCCGGCGCATGTGCAGCAGATTTTTGAGTGGTTCGCCGAGCTTCTTCTAAATGCGACTCGTGAGACGGTCGAGCCGGCGATGCGCGCGGCGGCCGAGGACATTTGCGGCGAGTTTGCCGATGTTGTTTCACCAGATACGCGCAACCTGATGGGCTTTTTTATCTCGCTGCGGCGGCTGCTGGTGGAGTGCGGCATCCAGGATTTCAGCTTCAATGATCTATACAAGCCAACATACGAGCGCCTGGTCAAAATCTTTAGCTACCTTATCAACTTTGTCCGGTTTCGAGAATCTCAGACAAGCGTCATTGACGAGCACTATAACAAGGCTGAATCGACAAAGACGAGAATAGAGGCTCTCTACGGCCAGAACCAAGATAACGAGTCGAGGTTGGAGGACATGAAGAACAACCGACAGGCCATGGAGGCTCAGGTGCGGGAGAAGACAATGCGAAACGAAGAGCTGAAAAGGCGCTTGCTGGAGCTGCGACGAAGCCAAGAGAAAGTTGCGGCACGACTGGAGGAAGCGAAGCAGAAAAAGGGCGAGTTGACAACGCTGCTGGAGCAGAGGACGCAAGAAAAGATCACGATGAAGCAAGAGAGCGCCAAGCTGCGGCCTTATGTGCTACAGAGCCCGTCCGCTCTCCAACAGAACCTCACAGAGTTACGAGACATTCTCAACAACGACAAGACCCGCATCGATGCGTTAGATCGACGGGCACGAGCGCTGCAAACGTCGGCAGATTCGTTTGGCGTAGTGGGAGGCGATGTGGCATCTTGCATCAAAATCCTGGAAGAGATTGCCATGGAAATGGCTAAAGAAGATGAAGAAATGGCCAAGAACACAAAACAGCGCGAGGCTCTATCAGAACGAGGAAACAATGCGCGCGAGGTGGAGCGAGCAGAGCAAATGCTGAAGCGACAGCTTGCCAAATGGAATGAGCGGACAGAGAAGCTGCGCGAGCAGAGCAACCAAAAGGCGCAAGATGCCAAGGAGAAGATGCACGAGCTGCGAGCCACGCACAAGAAGCTCACGGAGGAACAAACAAACAAGGGCAAAGAAATGGAAATTCGAAGAGTGAGGATCGAACAGACGGAGAAGAAGGTATGCAACCCCCCTTTACGCTGGATTCAGTGCTGGAACGAGATGCTAACAGCGGCTAGATGCTTGATTTGAAGGAAAATATCGAGAATGAGGTTCATTCGGCATATGACGAATATCTCAAAATGGAAGCCCACATCAAACTATACATTACTGAGATGGAGCAAACAGTCGGCTAAACGAGTTTGAGAGAGAGTAACATTTGGTCCTTTTTATTTTGAAGCCCGATGGGCTGAATGCATATGTTGGAATGTGGCGACAAAATGGCGGGTTCACAGGCGTATATATATAAGTGACAGAGATAGAGATACCACGGTTAGGGCGTTGCGGTTGTCAAGGGAATCTATTTATGTATGGGATGGTTGGTTGACGATGATGCGGGCATGATTATTGATTTGGTGGGAGCCGGCCATTGCCTTTTCTGTAAATGGGGCTGCTAACTTGGCGCTAGAATCAGCTGAAATATTTTTTGAAATACCACGTTCTACAAACACACACGCCGCTCCTTAAACAGTGAATATTTTGAAGTTACCGAATCAAGCCACCGGTTGAACAGCTTTACAACAAGAAGATGACGCTCTATCCCGGACTTGGCCTGCCCCTGAGGCATTATCCTCTAGAATATGATCCTCGAGAAGATCACAAGTTTTACCCGCTGGGTCAACACGCGCATTGTTGTGACTCGCACTCCGCTCTGCTTCCCGTGCGTGAAGTTGCTATGATGAACATTATGGAACAGTTGACCGACAAGGAAAACTGGCACAACCTGGTCTTCAACGATGAGATTGTGAATGAGTGGCGGAAAGAAGCACTCGAGAAACCGAATCGAGTTTACTGGAAAGAAGCTACTGATAAAGGACCGGATGCTCGTGACTGGGAGGTGCGACGGCCGCGTGGGATTGTGGATGCCGCTACTTTCGACTATGTTTGTCTCGCTATTGGAACCCTCTGATGTGCGATATGCTAACCATACCAGTGCGTCAAAGAGCTTCGAAATAAAGCCAGTTACTACGTGGAGACGGGCATTATCCCTACTCTCGACGCATCTGCAGCCATCGCAAAGTCAGACGTATTGGTTGCAGTAAGCCTCCGGGCTGAATTACAGGAAGCCTTCAACAAGCTCAAGTTGGATCAAAGATCGAAACCCAACTGGCACCCTAGATCCAATGAGCAGGTGTTGGATCTGGTGCATCCTTCCATGTATCCTCTAGTATACGGACGAACTAGGGTGCTTCAGGACGAAGTTGTCGGCGTTACTGATGCGATCCATAGGTGGGCGGGAAAAGGAGAACCCATCGCCAAGGACATCAGTAATCCTAGTCGCGACCGTTGGGGAATGGCTTCGCTGGACTCGTATTGGTCTAACACGTACCAATGGCTTCCTGCCAATGTGGAATTCATGGAGGACGGCACTGTCAAGTTTGCGAGCTACATCAACAACTTGCATCCTCAGAAATATCCGCAAATCTACCGCACCATCGAAAAGCTTATTGAAGCCGCCCTCCCGACTTGGGATCAGTGCTTATCCCTGCGACTCAAAGATGGAAAGAAGAATGGTGCTGGACGCACCGGATCTCGGTTTCCGTTGCAGGATATCAAGTAAAATCTCCGACTTTTCCTCGTAAACTGTCTTCTTTTCTGCCATGACTGACAGCTTATCTAGTGACGAAGTCGCGGGCATTTGGGATCCCTCAAGCCCCCAGCCGTTGGATGAAGTTGATGAAGATGACGGTGAAGACGATGGTAGAGCTAGTGAAGACGACGACGAAGATGAAGACGACGTTGAATTTGCAGAAGAAGAGGAAGATCCAGCTATTGTTGAGTGGAAAGAAACGCGAAATCCAATACACCCCCGCGTGCCCGAGTTCGAGGACATAGAATATGCCCAGCGTGAGACAGCTCGCCTAGCCCACAAGTTCAAGAAGACGGGCCTTCAAGTCATAGTCAAAATGACATCTATTGAGCTCACGCCGGAGAAACCAGAATTTCCCGCTGGTGAGTGGGACATAACTAAGGAGTGGCACGTAAGTAAGGAGTGTAATTGCTCACGTTTCCCGCCCACAGACTTGAGAGTCTCGAATTGTATACTGACATGGCAAACGTTAGGTTGATGGACAGATGAACGAACACATCTGCGCCACAGCGCTATATTGCGTGGATAGCGAAAATGTCGCTCCTAGCAGTATCCTTTTTTGTATGCAAACAGAGCAAGGTCTTGGTGGAGTCTATGAGTCAGTTACGAACTTTACATGCTCCTGGTTGGAGCGCACCCACGGAACGAGCCTCGAGGACGGCGGCACAAGACGGCAGATGTACGGAGCCGTGCAAATGCAGGAGGGTCGTTTGTTGGCGTTTCCAAATGTGTTGTGAGTCAGAATATGTCTTCCTTCCAGCGATCCATCTTCATTGATGCTTACAATTAGTCCAGCCAGCATAAAGAGTCTTCGATCAAGCTAAAGGACCCCAGCAAGCCAGGAACCAGACACCTCATTTCACTACGACTTGTTGACCCCAGTATGCGAATCATCTCTACGGCCAACGTTCCGCCACAGCAGCGTGACTGGTGGCTTGGCGCAGTTTTGAGACAACCTCTTCAGTCCGACGGCTCTACGCTGGCAAACCTCCCGCCGGATCTTGTCGCGATACTGGAACAGAAGAACATGTCTGGCGGTGAGCTGCCTGTTGAAATCTTGGACATGGTACGAGCCCACTTACACAACGACGAGTCTTTTCTGCCGATGACCGAGGAAGAAGCCAGAAAACATCGGGCTGAGCTATTGCAAGAGCGTATCGAACACCATACTCGAGCCTGGCTTTCGTGGGCAGATAGCGCGTATGTTCTTTGAGATGTAATCCATAATGAAAGAGGACGAGACTTCTACGAACTTACGATGCATGCTCTTTTGCTATTGTTATAAATATAGTCATTTGTTTCTGCAACTTTTAAATTTTATGATGTATTTGAGTGTGCTTCCGGTCACCAAATACAGTAACTTGGACTTCATCCCTTGTCCTGCCGCTCAAACTCAAACCATCGAGCGAGCACTCTTCTCACAGCAACTGTGCGTCCACTCCACGGTTCATCACTCTTCATAGCAGTGCCGCTTAAAACGGGCAACTTTTCCTCTAGAAATTCGTTCAGAGCTTCAAATCCCATTGCCCCTCTTGGTTCTACCACGGCTGCTCTGAAGGAGTTTCTCGCAGCAGCCTCAATAAGGTAGGTTGCCGTGGTGCCGATGCCTTGAGCCGACCACTCGACGCTGTCGCGGTGGATTTCCAAGAGGCCGTAGACAATGAGCATTGGCGGGCCAGAATCATTCTTGTTTGGCGATGATGATGATGGTGGTGGAGGTGGAATCTTGGAATCTGAGGCGGAAAAAGTACCGAGGAATGCACGGAGATGAGTGCTGCTGGGGACGAATAAGAGGCGGATGTGGCGTGAGACGGCGGTTTGGAGGAGGGTTTTGCGCTGTAGAGGGTGGATTTGAGGTGGTTTGGTCGATGAATAGTCTTCTTCTATTTTTTTAGTAGTATTTTCGTTACTATCTGCTGCTGCTTGCGCTTGGAGATAGAGCTGCAGGCTGACGTCCTCGGTGAGAGCTTCGATGAATGTGTGCTTGGGCCAGCCGATGAGGATCGTGGTTGGGTATCTGTGGTGAGTGACGATGTATTGGAGGAGTTCGGATGGAGTATATGGGGAGAGGACGATGGGATTGGAAGAAGATGATGATGACATGATGAGTTGTTGAAATGCGGCTGTGAGTTGTGAAGAGCATCAGCCATGTAAGTGAATTGTGTAGTTTATGACGGCGGATAATCTTCCCGAAGTTTTCCCGTGGCACATTCTTATAACCTCACCATTATCACAAATTGGACGTTTCCGGATACATGTTGTTAGAATATATGTGGTAAACTATTGACAGTCAGTTCTGCATCTAATTATACGAGTTATAGTACTCCTATTCATGTCACAAATTGCTTTGATTGTTCAGCGAAAATATACCCAATGAATGTTGTTACGGACGTCCAGCGCTACGGGGCTTGGTTAGCCATCTCTATATTTGGCATGATGTTCTATCTTTCCATTACATAGCAGATTTGAGCTGTATGTAACGAGTAGGGGCGGCAACTTTTTTTTTCTAGAACAAGCATCTAAATAGAAAAAAGTAATAAGACGCTCGAAGGTGGTGGAACACAAACAGCTTATCTATATAGGTATCCGGGGTTTCAACGATACATTTGGTGCTGTTTCTTGGCTCAGCTAGTTTTTTGTAGTTATGGCCCATAAGGGTGCCAACATATGTGGTTCATTTCAATTGCCTTGGTACCATCGGTTCCTATAGATATACTGGACATATAAGATGAAAGCCACGCACTTATTACCCAGGTTACAGTCAGGTACGTGCACCTGCAAATACACTTACTGATGGTTATATAGGTAATGGATTAGAGGTTGACAAGTAATATGTATTCCAGATTTATTGATACATTCTATTACTCTCTACATATGTAAATTCTATTACTCTCTATGTTTAACTCTAGTCATGAGTGCTTTATACTACAATCCCCGACGGTATGTGTCTTGCGATATCTCGCTCAAAAATATGTACTTGGGTACAGTTATTATATAATCCAATACAACGAGAAAACAATGTACTCGGATGAAGTTATAACACAATCCAGTCAACTGCACACTCTTCCGGAAGCTCGAATAGGGTACCGGCCTTTGTCTGTAACGTCATGTAAAAAGATCCTTCAGGAATCAACAGTCGTGATCCTCGAGTTTCTTCAGACTTTTGCCCCACGGCGCGAAGCATTATACCTTGGATCCGCACTTGAGAAGACGGCACACCAAATCCAGGAGCATAGTTTGCGTTTTCGAAAAGGCTTGATATAACAACAAAGTATGTCCCGAACTCCCCCCTGCCAAATTGAGGCAGGTCGGCCAAATTAATTGGTTTCTTCTTTTTAAAAAGGGGCATTTTTTTCTTGAGACGTTTGTCGTCGAAAGCACTTTGAATAGTTGCGTTGGTTATGCCCTGGGTTTTGGAGACTGCAATGCGGCTTGGAGCTAGTATACAAGCCCTTTTGATCATAACTCGGCCAAGTTCATCGATGGCCCATGAAGAAACCGAGTCGTGTGCCTGCTGGTTGCCTAGCCAAAGAGCCGCGTTTGTCCCAAAGCATTCACCGGCTGTTCCGAATGGCATCAGAGAGCCACTTGTTCCAGACGAGCCCGAGGCTGAATAGTCGCGTACGGTGCCTTTGCCATCGAAGCAGGTAAAAGTGTGCGCTGCCTTCATCCGACCCTCTTCATATATGGACACATGTTTCGTATAGCCCATGTAAAACTCAGTCGGAATCAAGCGTTTTACCTCGCTGATGAACGCTCTGCAGTACTTATTAAGAATCAAATCCGACTCCGGACTGTATTGACCCGCGACAACTCGATCGTACCACCGGCTGGCACCAACAACCGACATTATGGCCTCTGACCTCCCTTCTTTGCAGTACCGCAGGTCTTTAAGCCGAATAATGTCAATCTGTCGGAGGCTCAGGAGCTCGCTGAGGCCGGTCAACGTTTCCCACTTGCGCAACTCCTATATTGCGTCAAGCAGGTGTGGTTCCGTGATGCTTCCGGGAGTAAGGCTCTTTTCATACTTCTGGAGGATACACAAAGCCCCATTTAAAGGTATCCGAGTGTTTCCTCCCAAACAAAGAAACTTCCAATCCCATGTCGCAAGCCACATGTCGGGTCTTAGACACAGTTCTTGTAGCGTCCATAGGGAAGTGAACCAGAAGTTTATAGGTTGGCTCGTTTCTTCCCCATGTCCCATCTGTTGCTTGCTCCATTGCTGGAACTCCGGCCCTTTGGGCGTATCCTCCGGCTTTGAAGAGAGCTCTGTTAACCCATCCTCCATCTGCGACAATGCTCCAGCCATTCTCCGCTCTCGCTCATGCTGCGACTCCTCCTTGAGCGTCTCGTCTATGCCGATCATTGACAAGGCAGCGAATTCGATGAGCCCTCCAAGGCAAGAAAAATCATCGACGTCATGGAACCAAGCAATTGCACGCTTAGCATTGCGGAATATTGAGCCTTGTCGTGATATTTCTTGCCTTTTGAGAATGCTATGCTCTTTGTCTAACGCTTCGCCCTTGCATCCCTGTGGTATACAGACTAGATCTAACCAGGCGTAATCGGTATCAATCTTGGTACCAAGGCGATGTAGGCTTTGCGGTAGAGATTTTATATCGAACATGGCATTTTGAGGGACACGATACTTCATGCCGTTTGGTATGTAGTATCCATCGTTTTCGCTCATCCATCTGCCCCATGTATGACTGATCGCAGTATAGGCAGGACGCTTTGGGCCCAAGTCCCGAGTTCGGACCAAGCATCTGTTATTTAGATGCCACAGATACTCGGGCCATCCACCAAGGCCAAAGGAATCCTCCTGCTTGTCCTTGAGCCATGGACATGCTGCGATACGAGGGCCACAATCAAGTGTCGGGGGGGGGCATAGACTGGACGCTTCGACTGGACGAACCCAGGAACACTCGTGTGTGAATCCAGTCCCATTTCTGCTGGCAAGCATAGGACTAAAGGATCCAGGCCGAGTATCAGAACTCCGGTCGCTTATTTGCGAACAATGCAACGAGGCTTGCCGGTAATAGGCCTCTCTTGCCGCATGTATCCTATGAGCGCGCAGTGTAGAGTAGCCTTCGCTGGCTTCATCGACGCATGTGCGAAAGTCGCCGAATTCAGCCACGAAGAGTCGATATAAGGCCTTGTCGTAATCGGAATGTCCTGCCTCTCTGGACTGCAAGTCGCTCAGTGTCTCTGAAAGGTTGCTCTGTATGCAGATCCACAGCTCTTTGTATCTATCGGTGAAGCGTCTCAAGCGTGGTGTCTGATGAACAAGAAACTGTAACTGAGAGCAGTATAAGAGAGGAGTCGAAGGGCGACCGTAGGCTGCTGTCCACCAGTCAAAGAGCAGCCGGTATGAGTTTCGCTGCTCTTCTCCTAGTAGATCAGCATGGCTGATGGAGACGAAGTGCTGGAGACGAAACCAGTTGATCAACGATCGGGAACTCTGCATTATATAACTTTTCAAGGCTCCTGGCTTTGATGTCACTTCCCAGTCTAGAGGTGCGTAGACATCTTCAATCAGGGACATCAGCGGGCGGGCTTTCGACTTTCTTTGAGCGCTTCGGGGTTCAAAAATGTTTCGAATGTTCTTTGTGGCATTATCTAAATACGCCGGAAATAGTAAGTACCTTGATCACGAATGTCACTCGTCTCCACTAAGGATGAGGCGCATAAAGAAATGTCCACCACCAACGTACCGCATTTGCCCATCAGCAGGGGCATGTAGACGGTCACAAATAGCACTCGTTTCAGATGCAATCTGTTCAAAGAAGGTGTCTTTCGTACTGTAAAGTTGTTGTACAGACTTTGTTCAAGCCACGGACAGGCGATACATGCAGGGAGCGAGCGAAGGGAGTAGAGGCGTCTTGGATCGTTCATCTTTGCCAGTTCACGAGTATGTCGAAGAGAAGAAATTGAAAATAGCCATGTGAACAAACTCAGTTTATACACAAAGAAAAGGAAACCCACGGTACTACTACATATTCTGCAAACTTTGAACGCTGCGGACACTGTGGATTCTTTGAACACTTTGGGTTCTTTGAGCCCTTTGTACGTGCGGCTGTCCCGTTTCCGAACTGCGCCCTCCAAGATTCTTTGAACATGCCGCCCTTCTATTTTCGGGATGACCCTTTGAAAGAAAACTCCGCCTACTATGCGTCATACCATAGTAAATCAGTCTAGATAGCTATTGAACAGAATCTGGTTCACACTTCATCGCCCGCGCAAACGAATAGATATCTTGGATGCGTAGTATATAGTACATTGGGTACTTTTCTGGTCACTTGGAGCATATATTTCGCTGGCCACCTGTTAGCGATGGTTTCTACACATTCTCCGAAGTGGCAAGTAATAGGTCTAGTCGATGTATCCGCGAGAAGTAAAGCTTTACAATAACAAAAGGGCCGAGATGGTGAAAAGAATGCGAAAGAACGTCCAAAAGTGGAAAGAGTACACTGGGACATTAGCTTTCTGATTGCTTCTAGAGTTAGATGATGATACAGAAGCTGAACTGCATCGGGTAGAATCTACATACGTACATGTAGTTACCACAGGGACAAAAGATGCAAAGCGACAAAGGCTACCAACTATCCGCATGAGGGCAGAAATAAACCGAGTCCTTTGATGGGACCTAGCTGCCATACACAAGTGTTTGATGAAACCTAATTGTTGTCCAGATGTGGCATCAAAGACACTTTAACACCACTGGATCCTCTCGATATTCTTTCAGTCCTGACATCTTACCCCAGTATTTCGCATTCGCGCTCGAGAGATGCTCTCTTCTCAAGTCAAGCTCGATGATACAAGTGCTCTTCATATTTTCTAACTTCATGTTGTCCAGCGAGTTACCCAGACACATAGCCTACCAACTTTAAGTGTGTCAGAGTACACATCTTACAACTCACGTGGGAGGAATCTGGCGAGAGTACCTACGCGTCGGCTACCTTGATGAACTGCGCAGCACATGTTACGATACATTTTGCCTTTTGTAAACATGTATTCTATGCCTTTCCGAGAGGCGCAGCTAGACAGTTGATTGTTAGGTCTTTGGAATCAGGTACATTACACTGAATCAATGCACGCGCATCAACCTGGTCTTTCCCCTGTATGCTGTACCCGCGCATTGAGCAATGTTGCCCCGCCACTCGTATCAAACGGAGTCCAGTCATAGCCATCGTGTAACTCTAGCGTCATGTCGTTTGTTTATTTGTTCCTTCATTTTCCAACGCCCACTGATTCAATGGTGTATTGAACGCCATGACTGCGGAGGAGGGCAATAGAAACCGCTGGTTCCGATCCCGCTTTCGCTGATCTTGCAAACAAACGAAAGACATCCCATCCCATTGAGCATCGACCTATGCTTGGGGGGAAGTGGAGCTCTAAAGATTGGTGTCCATCACTGCTTCAAGAATGTCTTTGTTACCCCTAAGCCCTGCCATCTAAGGTAGCTATGAGGCAGAGCTGTATATATGCAGTTACACGTCCATACCTCTTATGGGGCTGATGATGAATAGGTAGATACAGTACCTATATACATTGTGTAGGAAAGTTAGGTACCTATCCAGAACCCCAGTCCCGCTATCTAACACTTACTAGTTGGTCTACATGTAAATATTCACATGTACCTTACCTAGGTAGGTAGGTACCTGTAGTTATTGGGAATGTACATGGACAACTACCTACGCGCCCCAGGGGTGTTTCTGAACAGAGATCCGTTGAGGATCACTCCTCCGATAAGTCGTCTGGAAGCCTTTCAGACACACACACGTATCTATACGTAGAGTGCTGAACAACAGAATCAATGCGTTGCTTTTCCCCTATCAAAGCACCTACCTAGGTATGCCTGACGCCTGTCATGTCTGTTCTGCCCACATGAACAAAGTCAGGCTAAGGACACAGGTATTTTACTAGAGGTTAGGTAGGTCAGGTACCTACTAGTAGTGAACTGTGTAAACTACAAAGTGCATGCAGCTTCGCGTTCATATATAACCCGGTCCCGTCGCTGTGTGACCATATCGCTTACACTTTTCATTACCCTCACTTCATGTTCTCTGCACCAAACGCAACGACGACACGGCATCTATTGCATTAAAATACAGTCATGGAACGCTCATCAACCAGTGTCTGGGGGTTCTTTCGTCCCCAGACGCTCCTCTCGCTTTTAGAATCGCCATTTTTCTCACTTCTAGATTCTCCATCTTCCACCTCGCCATATGCCAGCAAAATGGCCAACCCTGATACGGGAGTCTTTGGTGCTATCGGTGCTGTCCTCGGATATGTCGGTGCTGAGGTAGCTACTGGCCAGATCTTTGAGCGTCTGCTATGGCCCCAGCGCTCCTACGCAAACGTTACGCTGAAATCGATCCCTATCATGGCCATTTTGATGCCCATGGGCGGGCCGCTACACATCATCGCGCTCAAGACCCTGGATGTCATGTCCTCTCACGGCTTATTTAAAGGGGCACGGGTTGGCCACATGCTCGGAACTGCTTTCTATCCAGACCAAGATTGGACTTACACCAGCTGGACGAGCAATGGCCAAAAGATCAAGACGGAGTCAGTGCGTAACTGTCTCTGGGTTCGCGCACTGAGTTACATTCCGATCCCCAAACTCGGCTGCGATACACAGCAAGCAACTGATCAGACTCATGGAAAACCCGTTCTCAGATCAGACCAGGTCCGGGCCAAGGTGGCTGTCAGTCATCTGACCTTGACCAGAGCCACAAAGCAAGACACGGAGTCCAAGATACCGTTTGTTGACGCAGACGTTGGAAGGCCGGCGTTTCAGGTCTTTCTGGCAATATTCATCACAGAGTCGTCAGCGATACTCACAGCCGTCGGCGTAGCTGTCTATTTCAAATCACTATGGGCGCTATGGTGGCTCACTCCCCTGCTTCTCCGTCTTGTCAGTGCCGTGTTTTCAGTAGACCGGAAGCCTCTCGAACCTCTGGATCTCACATCTCCCAATGAAGACTTTTGTGATTACGAGATTCACTGTCCTCAGTCTGAAGGAAACTTTATGCTTCTCACAGGCCCCAAGTCTGTCGTCCAACAGTTTTTCGTCCATTACGGGCACCCAGTGCGCAACCGGTTTCGAGAAGCAGTACAGCTCGCAATGGTGGCCCTCTTTGGATTGCTCTTCCTCTTCGGTTTGTTCTTTTCGGTCATTTGGATGCCCATCGCGGTCCAGAAAGTCTGGGTATGCTATCATTTCTACTCTGGCTTTGCCATGATCGTCATGCGTTACACTTCTAATGGCACATCTACGGAGGCCATAATTGCAAAGCACTTCAGAAAACAAGAGAAAAATGTGGTCACTGTGGACAGTGAGAAAAAGGAAACAGCCATCCTTTTTGGACACTCTCGAGACGGCAACGAGACTATTAAAGTCAGCTTTGTCCCAACTTACCGTAATCGCTTCTTGGAGGGGCAAGCATGCATGGATAAACTTTTGCGACGCAAATCGTGATATCTTCTACTGCTGATGCTGATGCTGTTTTTACGGTTGTTATTGCTTTTGCTGCTTTTATTGTTTTTATCGTTTCTACCACTTCTAGGGCTCTTAGTGCCACCCCTAAGCACCTAGGTTTATAGGTCAATTTAACCGTTTTTGTTTTGTAAATGGGCTGTACAATAAATAGAATTTCTTCTGAACTGGCAGTCTAGCTACGTTCAAGATTACCATCATCTTCAAATCCAGATTGCAAAGAGAAAGAACAGTAGCTAACTACTAATGTCCATTCCACTCTCTTCTTCCTCCGAAAAAACGCCCTCTTCGTTTTCTTCATCGTATTCTACCTCTCCACAGATGCCATGAACCAAGTCATGTTCGGCCTGCAAGATTCCATCCCAAGTAGAAGGACACTCTCTAGCCGAAATCGTGACGGTGCTTCCAACGCCAAAGTGTTGCTAGATCAAAGTCAGAAAGGATATAAGTGAAAAGTGTGTAAGAAACCTACAGCCATCGCCGCAAAGGTAGAAGACAAGGAGTGAAGGGAGTTTGCAATATCAAGCTTGATTTGAGAAGAAATAATCTCTCGGGCACGAAAGGGAGTTACTCCCGGAGTGGAATCGGAAGCAGTCGGTGATGTTTTCTCTTGGGCTGTGGTTCGTGCCCTTGACTTTCCTTTCTCGCTCTGTTTCTTCTCTCGGCCTTTGTACTCTTGCAGAAACTTGCGGCAAAGGACCTGCAAACGTCGCACCTCGGCCTAGAAGTCGATTAACAATGAGTCTTCTAAGAGTTTAATCGAATAACTCGCCATATTCGGGAATCGCTCGGCAATTTCTGTTTCCAGTCGTCGACAAATAGACCGGTGGCCAGGGTCCATGTAAACGCAGGGCTTTCCGCCCTTATAGTTCTTATTTTCGCGAACGCAGCGACCGCATTTATTGCTAGCCGCTATGATGATGTCAGAGACTGCTTGTATCAATCGATGGGAGAAGATATAGGTATATACTTGGGGTTGTGGTGCAAGAGGGCTTTACCATGCCCTCCTTCCAACGGCCTAAATGATAACAACATCTCTGACAAGGGCCTTGGCTGCTACAGCTTAGCTGAGAATCTGTTGGAAGAGAACTGATATTGACTTACCGCAGTGAATTTGAAGGACGGCTAGCTGAGACTGCAGGATTGGCAGAAAGGGTTTGCGGGACGTCTTGCCCGGAGTCTGGTTCAGGAGAAGGCCTGAACGGTGCCATCTCCGCGAGCCAGGTAGTATGAGAAGTTGTGAACAACACAAGAGTGAAGATCAGCTTAACAAACTAGTGATCTCTTCTTTCGGGATATCCCTCCCAAACCCTTAGGGCACAACAGACGGAAACACTGCGCAGGCTGTGGGGGTTGGCTTGCCAACTGCCATTGAACCAAGGTCACCTGACACTCGACAGCTGTCAAAGGATTGCTGCAGATGCAGAAGAGAGAAGATGATTTTGAATTGCGATAAGAATGGAGCGCTCTTCGTTATCTGATTCTCTGACGTGCTCGCTGCTCATGCGTTTATCCAGCCTATGCTCTTGCGGTGGGTTGTATGAAGTTACTTGCGCGAAAAGGCAGCATTCACAAAGAAAGAATACAAATTTTGCTCTTTGATTACTTGCGTGTCCTGTATGGCTTCACGTATGCCAAAGACTTGGATAAAATATCAAGGAATTGGGTTGCAAGACTGGAAAGAGCTGTATCATCACCATGCAATTGAATGCTTTAGGGAAAGCTATCTCGCAGTCTTCATTTCCGCCTACCTTTCCGTGACATGAGTGAGGTTCTGGCTAGCATTCACGAATACTATTCCAAAGAAGATAGGTAGGCATATGCTAAGATTGTTTGGCTAATATGCGATATATGCATGGAAACGATGAGAACTAAGGGGCTTCAAGTATACAGTTGGAAGCGTGAGATAGCACATTACGAGGCTTGATTCCGAACGACTCTTATACAGCGTATACCAAATCTAGAGATTCTCATTTTCGTGATGATTGTATTCCTTTTGCAAGCGCCAATGACGAAGAGTTTATGCCCAGCTATCATGGTATAGGCTCCCATGACATGAGCGGCTCTGTCACACCATTTACTAAAACGGGCGCCGTGGCACTCAAGACAGCTTGGGTCCGGCTGTAATGGATCCGGTATATAGCCAGCGTTTCCAAATGCTCCTCTACATACTAGGGATTGCATTCATTTTAGAAAGAGACAATTAAGGTAGATGGTTATTTTCTTTTCTCAACTTCTGATACTTGGACGTAGAAGAAGCTAAGACGAATACTGTGAACAAGCAACTATGTAGGTGTTATTCTTCTCGGCCCAGGCCTGCAGTGCTGAGCTATGAAGAGCTATGCTGAGGGACATCTCGAACGAGAGACTTTTTGTCAGGATTATCCTTCAGCTTACCACAAGGCTGCCAATTGTATTGATCCCTTGTGAGAAGTTATCCGCTGCCTCGCCATTTGGTACCTACTAGTAGCTAATGCGCAGCAAACGCCGTTAGTGGGCTGCCCGCGCTAAACCTCAGCTGGCCCCTTCTGTAGATCCAGCGCCAACCACGTCATCTCGACCGTCTTCCCAGCTGCATGCTCAATCCTGACATCTACTGCTTCTTCCCGCCAATCCCAGCAATCCCAGCGATCAACCACGAGGCTCATCCGTCGCCAGCTTCAAGAAGAGCTGCAAGGGGCCACTACGCCTCGTCCTTAGGCCCTATCAGGCACAATGGAGTCAATATCGAGAATCTCCGGCCTGCTGGAGGCTGGTGAGTTGCAAGCCCCGCGCCGATTACGATTCGACTGGACAAAAGAGCTGACCGAAATCTGCCCAACTCGCAGCCAGAGAGCTCACGCTCGATGCTGCCCAGGCCACGCGCGGCATGCGAACGAGCTCCAAGCCGCTGGATCGCAACCAAATGCGCAAGCTGCTCGACAGCCGCAATGAAAGAGAAGTGCTGGAAGGACTGCGGCGTGTCATCGCGGTGCGTTACGCTCGCTGTTTGAAGCTCCTTGTGGACGGTTACTGACGAGCTGGTGCTGCTGTAGATGATGTACCGAAATCACAAAACGCTCCCCTTCTTCTCCTCCGTCGTCAAAAACGTCGCCTCGCCGAATCTCGAAATCAAGAAACTCGTCTACATCTACCTCATTCGCCATGCCGAACAGGAGCCCGATCTTGCTCTGCTCTCCATCAACACAATCCAAAAGTCGCTCTCGGATACGAATCCACAAGTCCGAGCCCTCGCACTCAAAACAATGTCGGGCATTCGTGTACCTGTCATCAGCCAGATTGTGTCGTTAGCGATCAAGAAGGGCGTCGCCGACATGAGCCCTCTAGTGCGCAAAGCCGCTGCTCTTTCGATCCCCAAATGCTACAGGCTAGATCCAAGCCAGTCTCCCCAATTGCTGGAATATTTGGCCACACTACTAGGTGACAAGCAATACTACGTTGCTGGTGCCGCGGTGTCGGCCTTTTTAGAAATCTGCCCTGAGAGAATCGATCTGATACACAAACATTACCGCGGACTGGTCAAGAAGATTGTTGATATGGATGAGTGGAGTCAGCTAGCAACGCTGAAGTTGATGACCTATTATGCACGAAAGTGCTTCCCTCGATGGGCTCAGCCAGTTGCCGCATCTGATACTTCCCAAGCTCAGACGCAGAGCAGCAACATTGACGACTTTTACGCCGAATCTACTTCGTCAAAGCCTTCTACTCAGCCGACATCACTCGATCCTGATCTAGCTTTATTGCTGAACGGTATCAGGCCTCTGCTGCAGAGTCGAAACTCGGGCGTTGTTGTTGCAGTCACAAGGTGCTATGTCGATGTTGGAACTCTAGATCATCTGAAGCACGCCATTGGCCCACTAGTTGCCCTCTTGAGAGGGGCTCAAGACATTCAACAAATCGCCTTATACAACATTGTTTCGGTCTGTCTTGTGCGCCCACATGATTTTGTCAAATATGCCAGCCACTTTTTAGTTCGAGCGACAGACAGTGCTCCGATTTGGGAGCTAAAGCTTGAGGTGTTGACGCTCATCTTCCCTCATAGCCCAGTTCATGTCAAGAGCCTTATTTTAAAGGAACTGGAACATTTCTCTCAGGGGTCCAATAAAGCTCTTGTACGCGAAGCGGTCAGAGCTATTGGTCGATGCGCGCAGGGCGACGCTGCTACAGCTCCTAGGTGTCTAAAGCTCCTCCTGAGTCAGATCACCAGCTTAGACGGAACGTTGGCCGCAGAATCTCTCACGGTCATTCGGCACTTGATTCAACAAGATGCAGAAGCACACGCCGGGACTGTCGTGCGCCTGGCCAAGAATCTCGACTCGGCGACTGACCCTCAAGCGAGGGCAACAATCATCTGGCTGGTGGGCGAGTTTTCCGGCCTAAACGAGGAAGACAACATCGCGCCGGACGTTTTCCGCATTCTCCTCAAAGACTTTGCGAGCGAATCCGAGGCTGCCAAGCGTCAGATTTTATTACTAGGTGCAAAAGTCTATCTTCATCATTTGAATCGCAAGAGCGAGGCGGAAAAGAACAGAGTTGGAGAGGATGATCCGCCTATGGAGGAAGAGAAGCACCCCATTGAAAGACTATGGGATTATGTCCTACTTCTTGTCCGATACGATGTGTCGTTTGACCTGAGAGACCGAGCACGCATGTATCGCGCCGTTCTCGCCGTGCCACAGCTTGCTACCTTGATGCTCCTCGCACCGAAGCCGGCTCCCCAAGCTCCTAGTCCCTCTGAGTCCAGAAAAGGATTCTTGCTAGGCTCTTCGACTCTTGTCTTGGCTGGAGGTGGCGGTCTGCACGGTCTAAGAGGTTATGAGACTCTTCCGGACTGGGTCGAACCTGGCAAAGAGCCCGATCCTCGTTTGCGTGAGCCTGATCGAGATGCTGCTGCATCACGCTATGATAGTGATAGACCTGCGGTAGCGGCAGCTGATAAGCTGGATGAGGCTGTTAGGTCGGCACCTGCTGCCAGATCGAACGGGCTTGGAGAGAGTCGCAGGACGAAGACATTGGATGATTGGCTTGCTGAGGAAGAAGGAGACGAGGAAGAGGAAGAGGAGGAAGAGACTGAAGAGGAAGAAAGTGAAGAGGAGGAGGAGGAAGAGGAAGAGGACGACGATGACGAAGAGGAAGAAGAGGAAAGCGATGATGATGGTGAGGCGGATAGATTAGTCAAGGCATGATGGAATTAAACTAGACACATATTTGAATAGAAGACATGTGGTCTTGTATAAAGCAGGGTGATATAGCATTTTCAATTGTCTATTCAATCACATGTGGGTAGAACTCAGATATAAAGAGTGAAAAAGATTCTTTTTAGCAAAGGGGAATCTATGATATGTCTTGCTGGGCACCCAAAATCCGTTTTTTTTAAATCAGTAAGCCCTCTTGCCGTATTTTCAGGAGCCAAAGCGAGGTAACCAAACTTGAAGTAAACGCCATATCTAAAAATCAAGATGCAAGTAATGGAACGGTTTATGAAAAGGACGTCCCGAAAAAAATGGTATCTTCTAACCGTTCATCATCGTCACTCCGCCCATCGTCAATTCAACTTCTTCGCAAAACGTAAGGAGAAAAACGAGCTTTAGGCAGCCACTTTGATGCCTTCGGTGGATGACAAGCCATTCTCCATCTTAATCTCCTCGGTAGGTCGCATAGACTTTTGGCGGTCTCGGCGCATGTGCGGGAAGTAAATGCCCGGGTGGAAGAAGACGAGCAGGAAAGTGGCGACGAAGATGAGGGTGCTGTCGAGGACGAGGAAGCTGGGCTGGTCTTGCATGATTTTGTTGCCCCAGCCGCCGGCCATTTCAGCGATACTGTGATCAGATGTGCGTTAGCTATTGATTCTAGGGTATAAATTTATGGTGGCAAGATTGAGGAGAGAGATCATACCGGTAGATGCATCGGATCAAGATGACAATGTAAGCAGTGGACATGGCGTAGCGGAATTTCTTAAAGTTGCTGTCGTGCCAGAGCCTCCATCCATCCGTGTTCTGGGCCTCCGGGAGAGTCATGTACTTCCTCACTCGAACATAGTAATCCGTGCTGAGGACTCCAAAGGCGATGAGCACGACAACCTGCAGCGCAACACCGGCAATAATTGCACGGTTTCCAGACTGGGTCAGTTTGGGGTTGGTGTCGCCGCCAGCAGCTGCGATGCCTCCACCGATGGCCTGGACGATGAGGCAGCTCAAGTCGGCGGGGAGGAAGATGATGGGGTACCAGCGGGGCTTGATGCGAGAGACGGAGGAGTTGAGGTTGATGGCGACATGCTTGAGGGTGAGATAGATGGAGACACAGATGAAAGTGGGTGCGAGGATGATGGCGCAGATCTGCAGTTGGAAAGCGCCGCTATTCCAGGGGTTGGAGTTGAGCTGGATGCGACCAATGTAGCCTATTTAGAGTGTGTAAGTAAGCTGAGCTAGTATCAGACTCATATATAGGCACGTATACATGAATGAATTTGAATATGAAAAGAAATGGCGAAATGATGACGCTGTGTAACAAGACAGATATATCACGTACCAAGCATTTCGAGTAGCAGACCAATGGACAGGCCGATGGCATATGTATATGTCTTCTTCCATATTCCCAGAACAAGAGAGCCGACAGTCAAGATGCCAAACAAAATGGCGAAAAAGATGCCCGATCCCAGATTGGGATAATATCCCAGGACTGTGGCGCTGACCGGGCACAGCGCCGATACCTCTGTGCAGTCTCCGTGCGCCATTGTGTGTGAGTCGATATACTGCCTCCTTGCTGACTCTATGAAGCTCTCGCGACGATAAGATGGATGCCGCTTCCAGATGAAGTAATCGGATTAGTAACCCTCTTTTTTTCTCTTCTGTCCTTCTGCCTGCTTTCCCCTTATGATGGACCTCTTTGTCGTCGGGTTTCGGGATCCGGAAGCTTCGGTCTCTTTAAGCGTGTCCCGTTATGAACTGGAGAACCAACTGGAGATGTCGACCGAGGGCCAAATTATCGAACTAACAACCAGTGACCTTGACCAAGATAAAAACCCAAAGAGAGAGAGAGAAAGAAAGAGGATGCGCATGGGGGAATGGGCTGAATCCGATATATACGGAATATGCACCTGCGCGCCTTATTAAACATGGGGTTCAGGCCAAACCCGAATTCCCAAATCAGCGGCTCCATCCACTCCAAAACAGCTAAAAAAGGGCCAGAGGGATTTCGTATGCAACCGGCCCCTCCCTCCAATCGAATCCATCCAACAGATAATCCTTGCCCTGCCGCTGCTGCATCGTCAGCCAGTTCTTTAGCTCCTTGAGCCGCGCTAGAAGAGGGCGGATAGATTGGCCGAGCGCAAGACAAAAGGATCGGCTTTGCCTGCTTGATTGATGCTAAGTCGTTCGGATGGTCCCCCTTCCGGACCAACCTTTTTTCGTGTCTTTCTATTTTTCCTTCTTTGAGGAGCCCACATGGCAGCGTTTCTTCTGGCCGACGGGGGGTTTGTTGGTTGCTTCACCGGCAGGGCTGCACAAACCTTAAACAAAGCTACCTAATCTGCTGAACCGCAGCTTTTTCCATTCTCGGTGTAGAGCTTGTCGAGATATCGTATCGAGCCGTCATGCATCAGAGAAGGATTGCATGCCTAGATCCTATCATTCGTACCCCTTGTTTATCGCCTCACAGACCCCGTTGTCTCCCAACTTTCCCCAGAACGCTCGAGCATCGATGACGGCACGTCCGAATAGCCATTGTGCACGTCGATCATGGAGGTCAACAATAAGTTGAATGGCTTGTGCGTACCTGTCAGCATCTTCGTCACGGATCACCAGGCGAAACGGCAGCAACAAGCCACGAACCGTAAGTCATCCCGTGCGCCGAACCGTCGCAATAAAGTCCCCTTAGCTACGACCACCTAGGGAAATGGAAGACGCCACCCGTTGGTAGCGAAGAGGTAAAAAATAGGCTCCACAGAGGCAAAACCGCCATACGCGTGTGTGGAGGTGCAAAACGGCCGCCCTGCAAAAAGTAAGCACTCGCAAATGACTAGCAAAAAGCTGCAGATGCAGATGTTGCTTGGGAAGAGATAGAGGGACTGCCAAGTCCGCAGGAGTTCGGGTTCGGGCTAATTCTATAGTCCACCTGTAAGAAGGGCTTCTGCGGCCGCCAAGAGGTGACTAAGCAGGCGGCTAAAGCATTGAATTTGATAAATGCTGTAATCAAATGTAAAGTTGTAATCAAAGAAAATACCTAAGGATCCAGCTGAATACCTCATGGAATCGTGTGCAGACTGTGATAGAAAAATGAGCTGATTTCAGCTTAGCTGCCAGCCATAATGCTACACATCATCTGCGTTTCAAGTACGTGTATGGCCCCGATAATGAGGCTGTGTGATCCGTATATGTACGAATCTCGATCTAGCCAGGATCTGCAGTTTTGCCAGCAGAGCCAGCAGAACAAGGCTACATGAATCCCATGCCAGCAAGACGTCCACCGCGTCTTTCTCATCTCCAAACGGATCATGCATCCGAGAGATAAAGTCAGCTCAGCGTGAGCTTGAACAATGCATTTGTTGGGTCATTGCGCAACTCTTAACTCCCTAGTCCGTGCTATCACTCACACCGCCGTAAATCACCATTTTTCAGCACAACACGATTCTTTGAGATTAATTTTCATTAATTCATTACTTGTTCCTTTTTAAGTTTACTCCTCCTTGCCTCCCAAATATCTATAAACAACCGAAAAATCCCGGTCTTTGCAGTCCTCTCGCTGCGCCGCCTTATCATACATGCCAAAGCCCACCGTTCCCAGCTCCGTCTTCGCCTGAGCCGCCTCAGCAGCCACCAGCGCCAGCCGAAGATCCTTTCGCATCAACGATATTCCAAATCCACCGCGGTAGTCACGGCTGGCGGGGGCATTCTCGAGAACGCCCTTGACGGGGTTGTTGATCTCGCTCGGCCAGCATCTGCCCGTGCTCACATTCAGCACGTTGGCGAGCACTTTAGGATCCAGGCCGCATCGAATTCCGAGATTCATCGCCTCTGCTGTGGCAATGTTGTTGAGGGCTAGGAGGTAGTTGTTGGCCAGCTTTGCTGACAGGCCGGCGCCTTGGTCGCCGCAATGAAGCACCTTCTTGCCCATGAGGAACAGAGTAGGCTCGACGCGAGGCAAGATGGTGGACTCGGCGCCCAGCATAAAGGTCAGAGTACCGGCTGTGGCACCGACAACGCCTCCGGACATGGGCGCGTCCACAAACGTGCCCTGTCCAGCATCTGTAACGGTTTGGGCCACTTGCCGTGATGTTGTCGGGTCAATTGTGGAGCAGTCGATGAAGAGGCGATCTTTCTTGGGGAGGGAGCTCGTCAGGATGGAATCGTAGACGCCCCGTACGTGCTGAGGTTCTGGCAGGCAGGTGATGACTGTGTCCTATTATTGGATCTCATGTCAGCGCAATTCCAAGGGACGTGAAGCGTATAAACACGGAGGAATTGAAAGCAGCAGAGAGTAATAGGTGAGTATCAACAATGGTGAGCATTGAGATTTTCAGAGATCAATGGCTTATCATGCTGCGTTGCGGCCGCCAAGGGGCCGACAGAAGCCGCTCAGCCTCTGCTGCCATTACAGAATACGGGGAGAAAACGTTATTCAAAGAGCCACTGGCGATGACTTACAGCTTCTTTAGACGCATCATGCGCACTCGCTGCAACCTCAACAGCGGCTCCCGACGACGCAGCCTTCATCTCTGCCGAAAGGCTCTCCAAAGCCGTCGGATTGACGTCAAAGATGGCGACCTTGTCTGAAGGCTTGAGCTTGGACTGTAGATTCTTGGCCATTTGGTAGCCCTATAAGAAGCCCATGTCAGTATGTCGTTCTGTCATGGACAATGAATGCCATGGCTTATAGCCCAGCAGCGCCAAAGAGGCCATGCAATTGCAATGATAAGCTCACCATCTGGCCAAGACCAATAAAGGCATAATTGTCCAGCCTCCTCGACGTGCTCGCAAAGCCTCTCCTCTGCACCAGACCTCCCAACCGTGTGACTACGACTCTCATACTGGGCAATCAATCAATTTCTCGCGAAAAGTAAAGCAAAGGAGGGAAAAAAGAACAGAAAGAGATGAAATCAAGCTGCAGTATAAATGAGACAGATAGAAAAAGATCCAAGACCGAGGATAACACATCCGAAGTAGGAACAATGTGGGGGTGGATCAAGCTCCCCCGCGAAAGCCGCCCATTGCCGGTGCCAGCCATTCCGGGGATGCTTAGTTCCGAGTACCTGCGGTTGGTATGGGGAAGAGATGCATGGCCTGGGTACTCCCTTGTTGCGCTGCTTATGCGCAGGAGCGCTAACTTGATGCTGCATTCCAGCCGGAAAGCTACCCTATGAAAGAAGCATGAAAAGAAGAGAAAGGGATCAATACTTTATTCGGCCATTATAGCTTGGGCAATGATAGTAGCATAAATACATGCCGCAACATGCTCGTTGCTGTTGTGCCCAGAATGTAGAAAGAGCAGCCTGCTGTGTCGGATATTATAAAGCTCACCATCTTTGTAGAGACGCCACAATATTTACTTACCTTCCTGAGTCAGGTCAAGTCTCCAATATCAAGCTTCACAGCACCGAGGTTACACAACACTCCAACCCCCAGCCAACGTTAACTCACACAAACGTGCTTCCTTTAACGTGAGATTTCCATTTCCTCTTTTAATTCTGTATTACACCAGCCATTTCTTCTTTCAAATCACCTCCTTCCCCCCACCCCCCTCCTCCTCTCTCTCGCTTTCTCCGTTCTTCCCGTAAACTTCCCATGCATTTATCCTTCCGCCATATATGTGAGCAACACAAAAAACCCTCATGGGACGACAAAAGACTCTGTCATATCGACAAAAGACAGAGACAAATCCATCATCAGATCCACACGCGCCCACACCACACACATACTCCCTCCGTTCGTTATACCGTCTGCTCAACCAAGAAGCGAAATACCGTCAATCTTTCTTTCCTTCTTTCTTCGATCCCTTTCTGTTTCTTTGTTTCTTTCTTTAATCTCACACAGAAGAGTAAAGAGGTTTATGATCTCGCGACCTTATCATACTCTGCCAATATGAAGGCAGAGAAAAAAAAGCAAAGCTTTCAACTAGGGTCGAATTCCAACGAGAGTTGTAGAGAATAATGTTATGTCCAACGAAAGAGAATTCTCGCACAAGGAAAAAAAAGCAGAAAAAATGATAAGGAGGTAAGGAAATATGTTTCGGCTTTAGGAGAGGATTAGCTCCTCTCCCCATGGTGTGGAAAAAGAGAAATGAAAAGAAAAGGGAAAAAAAAGATAATCACAGACAAATTAAAGGATGACAGATAAAAAAAAAAGGAACAAAACGTTATAAAAAAACCAAACCCGCGCCGTTCCCATCCTCATTCAGCCGCCATAAAGATCAAGTTATCGTTCTTTCAGAGTCAGATTTCACAGGACACAAAAACACATGGCCACATTTCTTTCCGTTTGTTTTATAGGAAGTTTGCAAGCCAGGGTACAAGCGCTCTGCAACACCATTAGTAAATAACAATCAAGAGGGACAAAGTGTGAGGAGAAGGAGAAAACATACCCTACTGCTACTGTGGCGCCAATGCCAAACAGGGCCCTCTTCTGTATCCTGCCCTTGCGAACCTCGACCTCAGTCTTAATCTTCTTCGGACGGGGCGCATCTCCAGCCTTGTCCTCTCCTTCGGCGGCCTCGTCCTCTTCGCCAGTGTCGGTAGCCTTCCGCTTGCTCTTTGAGAGAGCCTTGGTCTGAGCAGCTGCTTCTTTAGCAGCTTCACCGGCCTTGGCTGCCAAGTCTTTATCTTCCTGCACCATCGCCTTGGCGGTGGCCATCATCTGTGCAATCTCATCTGCGCTGGGGGGCTGGCCTGCCGTGAAGGGGAGCTGAGCAGAGGCTTCGGCAATCTCGGCCTTGGCCAAGGCCGGCTCGAATTCGGTCGACTTCAAAACAGCCTCTTCTGTCTCTTCTACAACCTCGCTTGCGACCACTTCTGGGATTGGTGTTGTCTCAACAGGCGTAGCCTTTTGCCTGGAGGAGCGCTTTCGTGGAGACGCGGTTGAGCGTCGGGTAGTCGTGGTCTTTGTTGGGCTGGCCGACCGACGGCTACGACCGCTTCGCGTGGTCGGAGTGGGAGAAATAAGCTGCGCAGGCGCCTTAAGACGATCGAACTTGGGCGGCGCAGTAATGCTCTTGGGCGAGGCATCAGCGGGCTGGGTGGTGGAAATCTTGGCCGCGTCGAGCAGGGCCTGAATCCAGATGCCAATGTTGTACTCTTCCGCGAGGGTGAGAGCAGCTTCCGGGGGGATCCAGATGTTGCCGGCAGTCTCCTCGGGGCTCGTAGTCGCCTGGGCCTTGATGTATTTACGCTCCGTCTCCTCCTCCGCAGCCGTGGCGTAGGGAAACGTGGCCTTGAACATGCCGGTGGCGGAGATGTATCCGTCAAAGCTGCGGCGCATCAGGAAGTAGCTGTTGGGGCTGGACTTGAAGATGCCCGACACAATGCCCTTGGGCAGCGGCGCACGCAGATGGGCGTAGTCAAAGAAGCCCAGGGCGCCCGAGTCGGCGTCTTCGCTGCCGACCATCTTAGGAGTCAGCTTGGTCTGGCCGAGGCGGCGGCGCGACACGAGCTCGGAATCTGCATGTTCAACGTCAGTTCTCGACATCTTCTCGGGCGCATCGGCAGCCGGAGTCTACATACACGGAGGCACATCGTCGATGAGAAGCGGGTTGCGCTTCGCCGGTAATGATCTTCCTGCGGCGGGGGCCATTGTGAGATTTCCGCTTTGGGCGCTGCGAGCCAGGAAAGAGATAAGCCTTGTGTCGATTGTCACGGCGCAATGCGTTCGAAACCAGTAACTCCTTACAGCCGCTAGAGTCAATGCAAGACAATTAGGCGCGCGAAAAGCTGCTGCAGGTCGAAGGTCTGATGCGACGAATATCTGTCAGTCTTCAAAAGCCCTAGCCATTGGATGGGGGTGTTTTTTTTTTTTTTTCCAACGTCGCGCAGGACGAGAGTTTCGCATACATGAAAAAAAGCAGCTAAGAGAGACAGATGCGCGCGGCGCGTCGGGCCACAAAGGTCAATGCACCCAGGGAAAAATAAAGACAAGAGATGAAGTCGAAAGCCGGGGAAGCGCCTCGGCGATTGAAGCCTGATCAAGACGCAGAGGCAGCGCAGAGAGGCCAATGAGCGGGATCGGTGCTGGTCGGGCTGGCAAATAAAAAAGGGTGAAGAGAAAGATTCCCTCGCGATGGTGGGTGAGGCCAGACGTCGCGCAAATTGCCAGGTGCGCCTGATCTGGCCTGGCCCCGGGGTGCACTGCACCTCCACTGCTAAGGCATGTACAGGGTACCACTTTTTGCTCGGTCGGGTACATTGGTAAGGGTCTTTGCGTGAGGGGCCCTCGCTGAGAACACGGTAGCGTCCAGCACAGGCGCAAGCACTTGAGCGTAGCTGCCCGCTGTGCACTAGAGCCGACCACAGCACCACTAAAGAGGGCCGCTAGAAGCCACGGTGCTGGTACCGCTGACAGCCCGCTTCAACTTGTTGGGATGCTAACCGTCGGTTAGCGGCGTGGCGTGGAGGGTAAACGTGAGTACCGAGCCGTGTGTTTTGTACATTGTAAACAATGAGGCGTTGTCATTAGCGAGCAGCAGCATTGCTGTTCTATTGCTAGATACAGCTGAGCTTCAGCTCGCTGCTTTTCTCCTCGTGGGCCGGCACATCAACGAAGGGCCACAGCAAGTGCCGCTGCTGCTAACACCGCTCGATAACCCGGTACGAGCATTTTTGCCGCCGCAATAGTGTGCCCTTGGTGTACCGCGCTAGTGCCTGGCAATAACATGATCACTTGACAACCCCATCTGGCCCGTTTCCAGGGTAATGCCATCGCCTGCTGAAGCGTCTCCCAAGCCCAGTGCCTCAACCCCTGACGACGACCCCCCTCAAAATTCCCTAGAGCTGTCGCCGAGCCGCTGCGGCCAATCAGCCGCCAGCCATCGCCGTCGACCCCACCTGCCGCCCGGCCTGCCCCTCCATTATGGCAGTGCCACTATCACCACTTGACCGACATGTTTTCTTCTCCTTTCGATCCCCATCAGCAGCGCCGTGTAGAATAGCATCCTTTGTTCCCTCTCTTTCGTTTCTTTGCTTCTCTTTGGCCGTTTTCGCGCAGCCTTCGAAATCTCTGTCAAGATGGCTTCCCACCACGACGATGATACCATGCCCGAGCAGACTGAGGGCTACAAGCTCTCCCAGCCCAAGCAGAGCTTAGCGGAGTACCACCAGATGGGTATGTTGAGCTCTTCTTTTCCTTTGGTGCAGCTGCCTTGAGGTGGAGAAGAAGGCTGAGGGGGACGGAAAAGCTTCGAGAGCTTTCTGCTTCCTGGAGACTGCTCTGTTGCGTTGCTCGATTACATGTCTGGGTGCGCGAGGATGACTTTGTATGACGAAACATACCTCAGAAGCAGCATCTCCTGAACACAGAATCCACCTCTATCGTCCTCTTTGCTCTCAAACATCTTCACCACCATTGTCGCCGCTTATACTTACTTTCAAATTCAAAAGATGCCGGTGACGAGTCCCTCCAGCGATACAAGCAGTCCCTTGGCCTCGGCGGCGGCACCGATCTCTCCGACCCCAGCGACCCCCGAGTCTGCATCATCCTCTCCCTGACCATGAGCTCTCCTGGCCGCGACCCCGTTACCATCGAGCTCTCTACCCCTGGCAGCGAGAAGACGCTCAAGGACAAGCCCTTCCAGATCAAAGAGGGCGCCAAGTTCACCATGAGCGCCGAGTTCAAGGTCCAGCACGAGATTCTCAGCGGTCTGCACTACGTCCAGGTCGTTAAGCGAAAGGGCATCAAGGTCTCCAAGGATTCGGAGATGATTGTTAGTTGGAACATGTCCAAGTCTTCAAAAGGGGCTTCTGCTGGAATGGTGTGCTGACAGACGAATACAGGGAAGCTACGCTCCCAACACCGACAAGCAGACCACCTACGTCAAGAAGTGTATGTATCAGTCCCTCTTTAATATGGAAGAGAAGAGGAATCTTGCTTACAATATCCAACAGTCCAAGAGGAGGAGGCTCCTTCCGGAATGCTCGCCCGTGGCCACTACAACGCCATCTCCAGCTTCGTTGACGACGATAAGAAGAAGCACCTCGAATTTGAGTGGAGTTTCGATATCGGCAAGGACTGGTAAATTTTGGGTTTATCAGCAATTCGAAAGCGTTTGAAAATGGGCATTTGTTGTTGTCGCTGTCTCCTTGTTTCTTGGTGCATTCGTTTTTTTTCTTTACCACGCCCCTCATCCTACCTCTGCTATCTCACGAGATATGAAACATCTGATCTACCTATACATAAAACAACAAACAATCACACACATCAAAATGCAGGATACCGAAGCTGCGGTTCCCTGATGGAAAAAAGAGAGCTTAGCATAAATTCTCAATCAAATACATAACATTTTGAACATGGGACTAGTAGATGTCACAACATCTGCCTTCATGCTCTAGTGCAACACGCAATTCTATATATGGTGACAAAAACTGAGTATGATTGGTTGCATGGTACAGTGAATGGTATATTGGTGGTACATGTATTTGGCGGCAATTATGACGATGAATATGATGAAACATGGCGAGGATGGCTGTGAAAGATCCAACGACTTTCTCTTTCTGTTATAAGAAGTAGTCGGGTAGCGAGTTTCCATCCGCGGCTTTCTCGAGCCCCTGCTGCATATCCTTGTGCTGGTCATTCTCGGGAGCCGCAGCAAAGACGTTGAAGAACCTCTCGCCCTGCGTATTGACCTCCAACACGCTGGCCATGTTGCCACACCTGTAGCAGTAATTAGGGGCGCTCCAGACGGTGCTCAGACGATCGTCGTAGAGCACCTGGTATCCTTCCTGGCAGAGCTGGTGGGCCCGGAGGATGTGAGACATGTTGTTTACGGCCAGGAACTTCTTGACGACCTGTGCGCCAAATGTATATCCCGCGCCTCGCGGGGAGAGGGAGAATTCGTCTCGGTCGGGATCTGGGTCTGACCAGACGAGATCAGCCATGGGGCCCTCGTGGGGGATTTCTCTGAATCGGTCTATGATTTTAATTTGGTCGATGGAGTGAATTGAAGGGGAGAGACCTAGAAGATTTCGGTGTTAGTAATGCTGAACAGCTTTGTCTTTCTCCCTTCTTCTCCAAGTTGCTGGCGGGGCTGAGCTTCTGAGACCTACCTCCGTGTACGCAGAATATCTGGTTGTCGATGACGACGCTGAGCGTCAAAAAGTCAAACATGTCTGTGAAATAGTGCCATACATTGGCATTGCCGTATTTGCGTGAACATTCGGTGTAGAAGCCGTAGGATTGGGTGACGCCGCGCGATTCGTGGTTGCCGCGGATCAGGTGTACACGTTCGGGGTATCGCAGTTTGAGGCAGACGAGCAGCGATATTGTCTCTACGCTGAACATTCCGCGATCGACGTAGTCGCCTACACCTCGTCTGTCAGTCCAAATGACTTTTTTTCTTCTCCATACTTATGCAGTCGCTGTGTACGAACCTAGGAACAGGTAGTTTGTGTCGGGGCAGTAGCCGCCGATTTTGAATATCTCAATGAGGTCGTAAAACTGGCCGTGGATGTCGCCGACAACGGTGATTGGAGCCTTGACGTGCACCACGTTGCTCTCGCGCATGAGCAGCTCCTTTGTCTTGGCACATACTGCCTCGATGACGGACTCGGCGAGCAGTTCTTTCTTATAGAGGCGCGAGATGCACTCGTCCAGGTCGACGGAGGCTATGAGGGGAGAGTCATGTGTCAGAGCCGCTGCTGGAAAAAAGAAGGCTGCCAGGGACTCGCTCACCTGGTAAAGACGGCATGGTGGTGAGGAGATTATATCGACAAGCAAACAGAGGTCGAAGAAGCTGTTTTTACAATTAAGCGGATGGTCGCACCAGGCTGCACGTCGACTATACGGGGCTGGCACTCTCGAAGCTCATCCAGGTAATAGTCGGCGCCGTGCGATGGTGGTGGATGGAGGGGCAGTGGCCAGGTGCTGCACCAACATGATCGAGGGGGAAACAAGTCCGCACGCGATCTTTCCAGATGCAAGGCTGGGCCAGGGGAACGGACGATCGCTCCGTGCAGCGCAGGTTGGCGATGGCGACGGCGATGCGAAGGTGGCCACAATGACGAGGTTTGGTTCGCAGCCAGGCAAATGAAAATGCGACCTGGGCTGGGTCCATGGCATTTCGCACTTAGCAGCCTTGCCTTGCTGAGAAATTGCGGATTGACAGCGCTTCCCGCCGCTAGCGCTGCCGATTGTACAGCGGTTGGTACTTGGGGTTACGTAGGGGCTGCCATATAGATGCTCGGTATCTCGGTATCTTGATTGGAGCTTAACACAGTACCTGTGCTGTAACAGCTCTCACTCGGTTCTAGGCCACTACAGCTGCAAGGACATGCACAGTGAGACACTTCATTCAGCAGGATTGCCGTTGCTGGTATTGGCGGTTAACTCTTTTTACCAACACTCTGCTCGGCAAAAACGCTTCTTCGTGTCTCTCGCCTAATCTAACACGATTCATCAGCAGTTGCCTGGCTTGAACGTCGCACAGTCTATGCTGTGTAATATCTACAGCCAATGCTCGAGTTACACTGAACAAAGCTGCAGCACTGTTCTCTCCTAATGGCTTAAAGCTGAGAATTTCCATCTCTCTCTTCGGTGCTACACTTTGATCGCTTGCCGCAGCTTTTATACGGCTCATCAGACACCTGAGCGAGGGTTGGGTTATGGTTCTCTAGAAGAGCGAATTATCAACCCATTTGGCGCCCTTTGCGCGCCGTCCAAATTGACTAATTGTCTCGGGTACTTGTTTTGAGGGCTCTGTTAACGTGCTAGGCGCAGTACTGGCGTCCTTGCGAGCCGCTGGATTAAGTTTCATGCTCAAGCCCAGCCACAGTAAGTCCTAATTGCTATGACAATCTCTTGCAAGACCCAATTTTGGTTCCCGCTTCTTTAAACCTTTTCCATTCCGTCCTATCTCTTATTCAATACAAATCGCAACACAGCCGCTCTTTCAGAGTATCTAATTCATGCAACAGAACGCAAAGCTGAAGCTCTCCTCTCAACTACGTTGATACAGCCGCGGCTAAAATTCGGAACTCCAGCTCCATCTGCAAGATCGGTGGCCTGTGCGCAGCCTCACGTGGCGGCTGATCCAACGCGACTCTCTCTCAATCCGATTGCCTGTCTGCCAAACGGCTGGCTCAGCGGCTCTCGTTTCCAGGCTGATCATTCGATACTCTCTTTTGTTTCTGCAGGAGCCTCGGGCCTCTGACGCTGTGGATGAGACATTTTATCCGTGCGTCTCGAAACGGCTTGGGGAGGGGGTTCTGTTCATAAAGGGGGTTCAAGGCATCTGGGCCGTCTTGTCCAATACAAGGTCATCCAGGTATGGTGCCTCGCCTGCGCCTTGTGTAATGTGACGAGATTCTGATCTGGTTTGGCGCTCAAGCGACAAGGACTCTAATCTTCTGTGTGAGTCCTTGGCGAAGGATCAGTGAGAGCTCCCATTTCCTTGGTTTCAACCTTCTCTTTTTGTCACCAACTATACAACCTCCAGTCGTTGTCGGTTCCGCAGCCCATCTAAAGCGTCTACGGCCGACAACTCACCTCACAACCTAACCAATTTCCCCCATTCTAACACATCGCCCTTCATCGCCAAAGAAATGGCTGAGCCTGCGCAGGGCTATCTAGGGTCTGATGACCCGTCATGCTACAACTGCGGTCTTGGAGGCCACTGGGCCGTTGCTTGTCCGGAACCGACAAGAAGGACTCCTGCGTAAGCTCACTGCCCCTTGTTCTGATATATCGTTACTGTCTAATCTCCGGCCTATTCCTCTTCTTGATTACAATTACCCTGTGTCTAACATATGCAATCTACAGTGGCCTTGCCAAGGCCAATGCCTTGAGGAACTCTCCAAACACCCCTCAAGGCAATGTTCAACATTCTCACAGAGGCCCCAAGAGGTCAAATAAGGGACCTATCATCACAAAATATGCTCCTCCTCCGCCACCACCTTCGCTGCCTCATTCATCCATAGGACATGGTGCGCCGCCATATCCACCACCCGCTGGACCAGCATATCAGCAGCCGAGCCCTCAGTTCCAGAACTCTTTTCCGCATCATCCGCCTCCTATTCACTACTCAGCCAGCTACGGTCCTCCAACATATCAGCCACCGCAGTACCTTCCACCATCTTACGGTGCTCCTCCTGGTCCCCCAATAGGATACGCAGCTCACCCTCCTGTGCCACCAGCACCAGCACCGGCTTCATATCCTCCCTCTTATGGCCCATATCCACCACATGTTGGGCCAGCTGGCTCGCCTGGCTATCCTCCCCCAGCTGCGTATCCTCCTTCTTATCCGCAGCCACCATATGGACCGCCTCCTGTTCATTATCCTCCTCGTGGCGCGCCTGCACATCATTCTCCCTCGGCAGCAACGCCTCCCAAGCCGCCGCGTTCATCTCATACACACTCTTCATTGAAAGAGCCCATGAACGCCTCTCTTCCACCCAAACCCCCCAAGAGCATCCATACACAACATGAGCCGCAACGCGATCATAGGAATAAACGAAAACACGACCGCCAAAACAACAAGCATCGTGATAACAGACGTAAAGACCAAGGGGGCCGGCGTCGCTCTAACCAGAAGATGCAAAACAAGGCCAATCACTCTGGCTCAGCTGCTGGATCTTCACGGAAGACACCGGCGCCGGCTAACACAAACGGCCCCAAAGATCCCAACCTTTCATCAGCCTCTGGCTTGGGAAAGAATGCTAGGGCTGAATCTGAAGCATCAACAAACACAGTTGAGATGCTGCCGTCCAACAATAGAGAGGAGTCTCACCAGGATGATGACCAGTCTCCCCAATCTCATGCTAGGGAGCTTGATGAAGAATCTGTAGCTGTCGACGAGGTATGTGCAATGAACTAACTGAGACATTGAAATTGTACCACTCCTTTGAGCGAATGCTAATTATGCTGAATCACAGCATTTCGAGAATCAGAATGGAGACGAGTCGGAAATTACAACTCAAGGACTTGTCACCAAGACTGGAGCAGTGTCAGCAGGAGACAACGAATCGTTTTCTCAGAACCCTCAAGACAGCGGATATGACAATATCTCAACTCCAAGTAGTCATCAATCTGACAAGCCCCGTCTAAACGGTAAACACAAGCGCTTGGATGACGAGTCGGGAGACGAGAAACGGCCAAAAAAAGCAAAGTCCTCCGAGTCCTTGATAGATGGTCAAAATGGCGCTAAAGAGGGCAGTCGGCAAGAAACGCATAATGATGCAAGACAAGCTCAGGGCGATCATAGCTCACCGACGCGAGACGAAGAGGATGATCAAATTTTGCCCACGCTAGAATCTCGTTCTCGTTCTCGTTCTCGCTCAAGGGAACGATATCAGAAACCAGGGTCCAAATCGAGGAATTCGTCGGTCTCTAGTCGATCCTCCGACTTGAATTCTCTCGAGGCTGAGCTTTTAGGGCGACCAGACAAGAGGTCCTCTACAGAACCGAGCCCTCGTCAACGGCGGGATAGCCTGACGATACCAAAGATGCAACGTCGCCGCCAACGGAATTCAGATTCTGCATACAGGTAAGAGCAGAAAACTTGCTCTATGGGTTGACATGATATAAGTGCTGACCTGAATATAGTCGCCGCTGGTGATGAGCCACCCTGCCATTTATCCAAATGCCAACTATAGTAAATGAGCAACACGTCTATTGGCTCATTCATAACTGCCCATCTCTTTTCTAACCTGAAATTAGAGACATTTCTTCTTAATTTCAATGACAACAGCGCTTGCTTATTGTTTTTAGAAGCTCTACTCGTACCTGTTCCAGAGGCGGTACGCTGTATTTTCTTCCCTTTTTCCCCTCCTCCTTTGTATTTTCCGATCCTCATGGCAATGTGGTCTTTCTCCGGAATAGCTGCGATAAACTATCGCTGGCTTCTATTTCTTTTCGTACTACTACTAGTAAGGCTACTTATTAGTTTGCATGGCTGGCGTTTTGTTAGAATTCACGAGGTATGAGTGAGCTATTATCATTGAATTTTTTTTTTTCTCTTCTTCCTTTTCCACAACAAACCTCGAAACCTTTGTTCTGCAGAAAATCGGATCCTGGATATGGATATATGTTGTCTCATTAAATTAGAGAAAAGTGCAACACTTGCTTGAAAATATTTGAAATCTCATCAATCTCTTTCCTCTGTTTCAAAATGATTTATTTGCACGCTCTATCTTGAGTTTGTCATTTTACTCTGTCGGAATTGTTTCTTCATGAACTTATGTCGGGATCACGGCTACCGAAAGCTCCTCTTTCAGTACCTACATTGTTCAGAGGCTTAGAGTTACAGGCCACTCTATTTATTTTATTTGCCTGTTTATTAATAATAGTATATAGAATAAAAAGGTATACATATCAAATACAAGAATCATGTCAAGATAAAGCCAGCTGATTCTGGTTGTAAGTTGAATCAAATCTTGTTGCGTAAGGTACACCACTACCCTGCAACCTGAGCCCAGCTACCGGCGACTTGTAATTGAATGAAACAACGACCAGGTCTCCCTAAGTCGTCAGTCAATGACATCGGATGAAAATTGACCAAGAGACAAGAATGGGAAAATCTGGTTGGATAGGACAACTCCGTTAAAATGTCTGCATGTCTCGTGATGCCGATGCAAGAGACGTCTCACTTATCACACCCGATGCGGCAATGCGCAATACAGCACACTTTTTACGTCTTCGTGCCTGGAACAGCCCGCCGCTATGGGGCATCGTAGTATTTTACAAGTACATACATGTATGTAGCATGTAATAGCTGCATTGCAGCAGTCCATGCAGAAGAACCCTTGAACAATGCTGCCGCACCGGACATACAAATGCTTGGCGTTTATTGGTGAGAAGAAAAAAAAGCTTTTCTGCGGATGGCGGTTTTTGAGTCAGTGATCGGCAGTTGAGAGCCGCTATTCTGGTCAAGGGTCGGTGTTTAGGCGCAGATGCAGGCTGGGGGTTGGATTTTAGGCCCGGCATTAGGGTCGCATTTTAGGGGGAGGATTTCATATATTTTAGCGCTAGAGGGTGCAGTAGCTCCCGCTTTATGTTGCAGCACCCCGTTGCGTCCTTTGGGTCTGCTTTCTGGGCGGATTCTGGTTATCGCAGCGTTTCATTGATATGTGGATGCCTGAAGGGGCGAATTCAATGGGAATTCTCCTTTCTATAGCAGGAATACATGCAGATACATATCTTTTTCTTTTGAGCCGTTTGGGGTAGTCTGCAAGACGGGAATAGCTAGCCCGACACAAGCAGGACTACAGCAGAGCCCATTGAATAGGTACTATTGGAGTTTACTACTATTGGAGTTTGCTAACCGCCAGACTTTGTTAGACTGTGCCCTATGGCTGATGGCTTTTACAAGTTATGATACAGTTTGACCCAATAGTTGATTTGCTAAGTACATAAGCTTTTACTGCTACTGCTATGGTGGTGGTTGTACATACGAAATACTGCTATCAAAAAGAATCCAAATCAAAACCAAATGTCGCTTCAAATCAACACAGCTCGCTATTTGATGAAAACGACAAACAAAAAGAAGGGAAAAAAGGCATATATGGGGAATAATACATGTCAGGCCAATAAATGCTGATACAAAACGGAAAAGCGTGGTAGTTGCTACAGGACGCTCGGTACCTGAGGCAGACAGATGAAGCACAGCCACGACCTTCTGAAGACCTTCGTCTTGAACATCGTGTTAGCTTCGGCCATTACACAATAAGATACTCGAAACCTCTCTCCTTTAAGCCCTGCAGCCAGTTGGAGCCAATCTCGCCATTGGAGCCTTGGCTGTCTTGCAACTCCCAGGCTGCTTTCAACAGCTCAATGGCCGTGAACAGATAGCCCCATGGGCAAGTCTCCCAGATGCCCAGCAGACGCTTCATCGCCCACGTGCGCTTCTCGTTATCACGGGTTTCTGCTCCAGCAATAAAGGTAGGCCAAGACGTGGCCTTGTAGTACGGATCATCCACACTAATCTGACCCAGATTGCCAAGAATGTCCCCAACAAGGAATTCAGTATCCACTGGCCGGACGGCCCGCACCAGCGGCAATGCCTGCAAGATGTACAAGCAAACAGCGGACCTGTGTGCAGAGGCGATGTGTATACGGCTTTCGATGTCTTGGACCTGGGGATTTTGCCGCAGCTTGTCTGCCCAAGCGGGTATGTCAAATGCAAGCGCCTCATCAATAAGCGTGAGAGCCTCGTTCGCGGCAGACAATGACCAATCTGTGAAAGGTGTTTCGTAAGAAAGCTTGGACGCCACCAGGATGATGCGAAGAAGTTCTGGGGGGCACGAGAGATAACTGTTCACTTCGACGCGCTTCATGACTGGTAGCAATTCGAAAGCGTAACGTGCGATATTGGCGGCAAGACTCCCCGAGGCAAGCGTTGATCCTAATATGTGATATCTGCGAGTTGGTGAAGCAAAATAGTGTCAGTGGTGTTCCGCACAAAAATCTAGGATGCAGTGATTTGTTCGCTAGCATCCCAGTGAGACCAGACAGTCATCACTCACATGAAACAATCAGCCACAACACAGTCACGCAGCATCCTATTGGCCTCACTTCCACCAGCTCCTGGTGTGAGTAATGCCAGAATATTGCTTGCCCCCTCCAGATGCGTCCTCCACCCCTTTGCATCATTCTTCTCCAGGTCGATCAAGTCAAATTTAATAAAGAAATGCATAGCAGCAAGAGCAACCTCACTTCCTCCAGGATCCAAGGAGTCGAGCACCTCCTGCAGGTGGCCCATGGCCTTTTGCTTCGCGGTCAAGGCATCGATAAGTGCTTGCCTGGAAACCAGGTCTTTTGATCGCAGCTGAGCCAGATACCCCCCCGGATCGGTAAGACCTGTGGGAATGGCAGTAATTGGGCGAAAGATGTTGGCCCAGTGTATGGCTGAAGTGGCAACGAGGATTTGAAGCAGCAAAGGATGTCGGTTGGTCAACGGGATAAGATCTCGAAAAGGATTGACCCCTGGCCCGTCTCGGGCCACCAAGTCTTTACAGACACGATCGGCAACTTGGGATGCATTAGCACAAAACCTCGCTCCAATTTTCGACCTACTAGCCTGAATCGTCCCGGGTTGGAGGTCTCTTACAGTGAAATAGATAGTATCGCGAGTTGCGATCGAGGTCCTGGAAAATGGGATCTGTCAGGCTGCCAAGCGCTGCCGGCCTCCACTTCTGAAGCTCCAACGGTGAGTCCTGGATTGGGCTTGAGGCTGCATCTCTTGTTGGCTCCGGTGTAGCCGACATCGCTGCGGCGCTCCTGTTGCGTTTGAGTAGCGGCGAGGGGCGGCGAACAACCGGGATAGATCTGCCCTCGCTGACAGACGCATCATGTGCTGCTTGGTTACCGGGATCAACACCATCGGGGCGGTGGCCAGACGTTGGATCTGGGAAGAGCGGGAAATAGCTGTTGGTGACTGATGATGAGACCTGTCCAGAGCCTGAGCTGAGAGGTCCGCCAAGCGGCGTTCTGCGACTTGGTGATGGCTTCGGATTCCCATGAGCGTCAATCGCCTCCGTCCAGATAAAGACCTTGCCGTAGCCAAGGCACTCCTGCCCTGAGACCGCACATTTGTGGCAGGTCGGCCACGAGCGATCGCAGCGCAGTCGTCGACGGCGGCAGTTGTGACACGGCTTGCTATTGCTTGGCATATATGCCGATAATGAGTGGTCCGGTGGCGGAAACTGTGGATGGTTTTCAAGCTGATATCGAACAAAGAGCCTTTGTCCTGCCTCACTCACTCACTCGCTCGCGTTTAGTCGGTCTAGCAGCGGTCTAGCGACGCGCAACCAGGCCAGCGGACGAGAGCAGCGGTGGTGGAGAGTCGTTCTCACTAGGCGGGCCTTGTTACGCCGTTTGTGGTATGAACATGGCGAGAGTCTTGGGCTGTCTCCAGAATATGACCTCCTTACGCTTAGCAAGAACACGGGCGCACGTGGGCGAAGGGGTAGACGCGGCGCCGGCAGAGATGATGCCTGGAGAGCTCCATGATTCTGAGGCAGTCTTTGAAGGCAGCGTGATGTGGCACGCCATCAGTCCAGCCAGTCGCTATCCACCGGGCAAAGCATGCGGCCCACCATTGTCGCTAGCTACACGACAGTATGATGTTTCCGTCTCCAGTGGCCATGCCGCCGCCCCCGAGCCTAGCTAAGGGTCGTACCAGAGACAAGCTTTCTTCTAGCACAAGCGCACCTAAACGGGAAAGCTCTTGACATTCTCTGCGTCCGATGCGCGGCGACCGTTACGCGGGACCTGCAGGACTGGTCAGCGTTGGAAGCCACCCTGGTCATAGGTCCCGAAGCTTGTTGGCCTGGTCTGCCGCCTATTGTCCATCCAGAGATCACACAAGCGCCCAATACGGAAATCCCTTTACCCTTGGTGCAGCGTCTCGATTTCGGATGTGGGATGGGATTGTGACTTTGAAAGAGGAAACAAACATTACCCTTGCAGAACCTTACGACTAACGATTAGTCTTCCACCGTTCAGCTGTTCAACTGAGGGTAAGATGAATTACTCTTCAGCAGTCACGCTGGGCTTTTAGTACTAGTATTACCTAGTTAACAATATTTTCCGTATATACCCTGCAAACTCTGTGTACTCTGTTATGACCGCCCAAGTCCGGTAACGATCTCCAGCGAATTGGATGGAGCTGAAAGGGTAATTGTAAGAAAAAATTTCTTCTTTTCTTCTGGATCGGAAGAAGACGCAGCCAAAAGGATGCCATGCCGGCGGCTCCTGAGTCCTGTATCCGTCCGTGCCGCCAAAGCAGAGTTACCCCTGCAACATAGTCACGATGTCTTCACAAACTAGCTTCTACAGACCCATTTGGGCTGCTGCTACCGGGATTAACAACTGCCCAACTCTTATCATCCCCACCGGCACTTAATTGCGTCGGTTCTGGAACGAGGTCTATGACACATCAAAATCTTTGCTCGACTCGATATTGAATGACACGACAATGCGAAAGAGCCATGGGTATCGTGAGTATGGGATTAGGAACCATGGGTAGCTACTCTCTACCGTGCACTCGGCTTTCCTCCCGGGCAGAATAGAGTGGACCCCTTTTCAGATCCATAGACCCTATTCTTGTACTGGACTTCCCCAACTGGGAAACCTCCAGACAACTTTTGCGTTTCTTACCATTGTGGCTGGAGGGAGCATGACGAGGCGTGAGAATTTGCAGGCTCATGAAAAGCAAAGCTACGCGGACCGACAACGGAATGTTGTTAATGAGACTGTTCACACCATGGAACTGACCGACGGATGACGATAGCGCATAGCTAAGGCGTATCATCTGGCAGAACATGATTCGGGGCGTGTAAATTCTGCTTGGTGGTGGCCCCGTGTCCGTACGAAGGCGAGAAGACTATAAAAGAGGATGATGGCTCTTGGTTCAAAGCTCAAGACACTGGTATTAGTATCAGTGGACGGATATACTCTGCTAAAGAGTGCTTGAATAGCTCTTGGCTTGCACTTTTTGAGAGTATCATACCCTTTTTATATCTGTCCAATTGCTTGTCTGTTGCAATGGCAGAAAATGAGAACCAACCTGTCCAAGATGCCGTCGTCCTTGCTGCAGAGACGGACGATGAGCTTTCTCAAACCATCGACGTTGAGAAGCTAGGAAGACAGCGTCCTGCAGCGTTTTCTTCTGCTTGGATGGAAATCGCCTTTGTCGTCTCTATCCTGGGCTCCCTTTCTATGGCGGTGGGTCATCTATCATCAACAAATACGGGCAAGACAAGTCACATTCCTTCGTTCACGGGGAACTAGCACATGTCTTGCGATCTCCTGCAGCCCTATACGAGAAGTAGAGAAGAGCTAATCAGTGCCTCATTCATCTAGGACTTTGTCATTAGCGGTTTCCAAGTCGTCTTGCCTAACTTGGTTGAGCCACTCGACATCCCCTTCGAAGCACAAACATGGCCCTCGAGCGTCTTGACTCTGACGGCGGGTGCATTCCTGTTCCCCCTTGGGCGGCTGGCGGACATGTATGGAGGATATCTGCTCTTCAACGGAGGTATAGCGTGGTTCGCGGTGTGGTCCATCATTGGTGGCTTCACCCGCAACTTCATCATGCTGGTCATCTGCCGTGCCATGCTGGGCATTGGCGCAGCGGCGTTCCTCCCTGCTGGTATTTCCCTGCTTGGTCGTATCTACAGGCCCGGGCCGAGGAAGAACATCGTGTTTAGTCTGTATGGCGCTCTTGCTCCTTTGGGCTTCTTCGCGGGCATCATTGTCGGTGGCATGGCCCAAGACTTGCTCTCCTGGCGATGGTTCTTCTGGCTGGGCGGCATACTATCAGCCGTTTTTGGAGTGGGAACCCTTTTGACTGCTCCACGCGACTATGAGGAGGCACGAAAGATGAATGTCAAGATGGACTGGTGGGGAGTGTTTACGACTGTGCCGGGGTTGATGCTGCTCATTTATGCATTGACTGACAGCGCTAATGCTCCCGGTGGATGGGCCTCTCCTCGGATCCTGGTTACACTCATTCTTGGCCTCATCTTCCTTGGTGCGGCTGTGTATGTTGAAGGCTGGGTTGCTGAGTCACCACTTATTCCGGCAGACATCTTCCGCGTCAAGTGCATGAAGAGAATGTTGCTTTGCCTATTCATCACATGGGGAGTGTTCAACATCTATCTCTTCTATGCCAACTTCTAGTAAGCTTTCTCTTGGTGCCTCATTTACAAAGGCGTGTTAACTAACAGAGATGACAGCATCGAGACGATTTTGAAGAAGTCTCCACTGATCACTGCGGTTTACTTTGCCCCCTGGGCAGCAGGCGGCCTTGTTCTAGCCACGACAAGCGGCCTCATCCTTCATATGCTCTCCGGCAAAGTGCTCATCATCATATCTGGCATCTCAAAGGTTATTGCGGTGCTCCTGTTTGCACTTATTCCTGATGATCCCAACTACTGGGCGTGGATCTTCCCGGCTATGCTTTGCGAAGCCGCCTGCGTTGACGTTTTGTGGACTGTGAGCAACGTCTTTCTGACGACAAGTCTGCCAAAGAACCGTCAGGGATTAGCTGGTGCGCTCATTAGCGTGATGCTCTTCCTTGGAGGAGCCTTTTTCTTGGCTATTGCCGATGTCGCCAAGGAGCAGTTTGTGTTGAACGGGCTGGATCTTAAACACCAATACAAGAGCGTCTTCTGGATCGGTGTGGGGCTTGCCGGCTTAGCCCTTGTCATTTGTTTCTTTATGGACTTGGACAAGGCTGGTGGTGACTTGACGGTTGATGAAAAGGAAATTCGAAAATTGAGCAATGCCTCTTCGGAAGTGTCGTCAGTTTCTGAATCTGCTACTGGCGGCGCTCGAGTTGAGCCGATGACAGGTGTGATTGTTGATTCAACTGAGCAGACTGAAGAGAAGGAAAGCAAAGCGGCTGCTTGATGGATGGTTTGTTAAAGAATTTGAGATTCTAAGGGTATCGCATTTAGCGTGGATTTGATGGGAAGCAAGGCGTTTGGATATCAAAAATTGGGAGCGTTTTGTATAGGATTTATGGATAAGGCAGAAAGGTATTGTCACCAAAAGAGCATCGGATAGTTAACAATAGGCGACATTTAACATAAGAATTTCATTTATTGGAATAATTGATGCTTGAATGATCAAGGTCATTTCATGGAAACATTACAGTAGTGTGAATGAAATGCAACTGACGTTTTGATACTCTCTCCGCACACGGGAAACTGCTGCAGAAGATGTGCAGAGCTAAATAAAAGTGCGCCATGAGTCTCCGGATGGAGCTTTGGAGACAGCGATCAGCGTAAACGGAGGCATATGTCATTAATACCCAAGTGCTCTGTAAACTATTGAACTTTAATTCTGCCAAAGCTGCTGATGACTTGCGCAATTCTTGTATCATGTTGACCCGTCGAGGTAGGTCGACCAAATCGATACTGAGGCTGGCAGAGGAACCAATGCGCTCTATTCATAAATCTAAAAGTGGAGGGAGCTTTCCAATAACCGTACCTGCCCGCTTGGCTAAGCGGTATAGCGTGTCACTAGTACTTCTGTGATATGACAAGGTGATCAGTTCGACTCTGATAGTGGGCATTCTTTTTTTGGCTTTTTTAGTATTCATATGTCTTTAGTACTTCTGTGATATGACAAGGGACTCTGATAGTGGGCAGTCGTTTTTGTATTGTTTTTTGCATCCATTCTTTCATGAGTTATTAGAATCAGAGAGCAAATTGTTTCAGTTATACTGACGTTCGGCAGCTTAAGACAATTCTTTTCTAAACCTTGTTGCTGAAAATGCAATACACTTGGTTGTGAGTACACTTGGTTGTGATACGAGACATGCTTTTTCCTTGGTAAATAGTCTCTTTTTAACCAAGAACCTTGATACTCTTTTGTAGATCACAGTTCTACTTTCGTTTCATTCCTATCTGCCTTTGAATGGTGCAAACAATACCGAGCCTACATCTACCTCTAAGTTGTGCGAGACCGCTGCTGGTGCGATTGGATGCCCGCGATGATCCTCGAGTATCTGTTGACATTTGTCCCTCGTTATATCCCAGAGCCCAACAATATTATCCCATGACCCTGATGCAACTAGGTTTACCAAGTGAGGAAAGGCTGTTGGAAAACTATAGCTGTTTACCTCTAGTGTTTGTTGGCTTTTACCCGTTGCTGTATCCCAGAGCTTGACAGCCTTATCCAATGACGCTGATGCTTCGAGCGTTTGTTGGCGTTTGCCTGTTGTTACATCCCAGAGTTTGATAGTCCTGTCCCCCCATGATCCTGATGTCAATAGCTTTGAGTCGTTCGAAAATGCCACTGAACTGATCCGACCGTTATGGTCCTCAAATATTTGTTGACGATGGCTCCCCACCGCACCCTTTTTAAGTAGTAAATTGACGACATCCTGATGACCCTTCTCGGTAGCCACCTCCAGCGCCGTCTGGCCGTTATTATCCACGGAGTCAACTCGTACTTTGCCCATATCGATCAACACTCCAACTACATCAACGTAGCCCTTAGTTGCAGCTGCATGCAACGGTAACCATCCATCCTCATTCGTGATAGTTGCATCAGTACCTCCGCAGAGAAGAAGCTCAACTATTTTCGCATAGCCATCCTCGACAGCCCAGCGAAATAGTATTGAATCTCTTATTTTCTCCAATTCCTCTTTGTTTTCATGTTTGTAACCATCAATGTGACGGAGTTGGTCCAACTCGATTTGCGTATCTATCCATTTATTGGATAACTGCTGGTGCTTTCCCCCATCGTTTGCTAGCAGTTTAGATAGACTGGTCCTTTCTTCAACTTTGCAACCTTTTTCTTTATTCAATTCTTCTTTTTCCCTTTGGAGCTTTGCCAGCTCAACGTCTATTTCATCTTGTCGAAGTTTGATTTGATCTAATCGGATGTTGATAGCTTTAGATATCTGGGATAGTCGTTGCCACTCTTCGTCCTTTTTTCTGCCATCTTTAATCATTTGAACTGAGTCCTTCATTAGATTGAATTTCTGCAGCTGCCTTCTTGCTGCTTTAGCTATGTCCTCCAGCTGCAATTTGCTGCCTGTGTCGAGTAGCCGCACAATTGTCTCATGCCCGCTCATAGCGGCCCAAGAAAGTGGCGTCAGACTCGAATAGTCTTTCGCCCGTGAATTGGCGCCCTTGTGAAGCAGCAGTCGCACTAATACCTCATGCCCATTTTCAGCAGCCCATGAAAGTGGTGTCCGGCCGGAGTCATCCTTAGGGTCCCAGCCAAGTGAGTCGAGCGGAGATTGTATTACTTGCTCGATTCCGAAATAGGCCGCCAAGTGAAGCCCCCTCGCTCGCTTTGGAACATCTTGGCTATAACCAGGCTTTCCCGACTCTTTGACGGCGAACAATGCTTGGCTTGACGCTTGCATTTTTGCTTCCTTCATGAGAAAATCTAAAACTAGATGACCAAGGGTAGATGACTCTCGAGCATGGTGGCCCCAATTATGAGCTGCATAATCATAAAAGGGATATGAGTGAAGCCGCTGTTCAAACGCGCTATCTGTTGATGAAACTCCAGTTTCAAAGATATCGAATGAGAGATAGGTGATGCAAACCCTTGCAATTTCGTTGTTGGCATCTGGAAACCATTCATTTTGCGTCTTCTCGAAGTATTCCCGAGCCGTATAATGCGACAGCCGAATGACATTGCTGTCTTCGTCGACCGTCACAAGTCCAGCGCAAACAGATATTAGATCTTGAAAATGTGGAACGTCCTTTTCGTCGAATTCGCAGCTATCAATGCAGATGGCAAGAGCATGCTGGAGCTCTGATATAATCAAAGGCCGTTTGGCGCGAGTGACCCATGACAGAACAGACTTGGCAAACTTGAAAGATTTTGGGCCTTGATGCTCTACTCTCTTCATAATTTGCTGATATGCGATGTTGTACGCTTCTGAGCCTTTGGGAAGATTCTTCAACCTTTTTCTAACATCGTGGGGTAATTTGGCATCTAAGAGGGAATCCAAGTCCAACTTTGCTAATAGAAACCTGGAGAGCTGATTAGCTGATGTAAACTCGCGCAGTTAGATCATACGTACATGCCATCGGCGGCTATTGCTATTCCATTAGAGGCTTCTGTTCGCATCTCGAGCAAAGTCTTTGACCGTCCTTGTGAGATTTGGCTGTCTATATATGTACGTATGTCATCATCGCTTGCGCGGATTTCCAACCAAGTGCTCCTGTCGAATCTCTCCATGATATCTGTGATGCGCCTCGAAGTCGCCAAGATTTTTGCTCCACACTGTTGAAGAAAAAATAGACCTTCAATAAATCTCATCTGGCAATTGTTGGATGCTTGACACTCGTCGAGGGCGTCTGCAACGATGAATACCTGTTTATAGCTCATTTTGATTATAGATTGGAGGATACTCGAGACCGTCTCAAATGTGGGGCGCACCCCCTTTCTCTCAAGATCACAATAGAGAATTTTGATATTGAGTGGTAGAGAAGATAGGCCACCAGCTAATTGCTTTAGCAGACTCGCAAACAAGCCTTCAATGTTGTGCTCTTCTTGTTGCCAGAAGTTGAGGTATATGTAAGCAATACCAACTTTTGAATCGTTTGCGAAGCGTGAAAGGAGATAGTCAATCACAATAGCTGCGAGAATCGTTTTACCTGCTCCAGGTATCCCTGGGCAGAATAGCATCTGCTTGTCAGCCTCGACCCATTCCCTGAACTTGGCGCTATTTAGAAACCATTGGCCAGTTCCTTCTTGACGCGCTCCCATATGTATATGATGCTGGATACTATAATCTTTTGGCGTTAACCAGTTCAGAATTTCTCGATTTTCATTCCCTTGAGCTATCGAGGCAATCTTGGTAATATTTGCTTCACTTGTGGATACTATTTTATGGACTGTATAATGCCAAATATTAATTACATTTAGTGGACTTTGCCTTGGCTTTGAACTCTCAACTTACCGTCAGCAATCATGTCCTGGATAAACATTTCTCTTTGAATATCGCCTGACTGTACGTATTGCAAAAGATCCTTCGCAAAAGCCGCCGCTACAACAGCTGCGTATTCCTGCCAAGTATCATTCTTGTGTGAATCAGCGTAGTCACATACGCCCCGGATGACGACGCAAGGAAAATTATTCATTAGTCCCGCTGCTTCCATATCAACACAAAGGACCTGTCCACCAAGATCCTTGTTGAGCTGATTTCTGAAACTGGCATCACGGATGACGCGATTTCCCGACGCAATAAGGCCATAATGCACGGATGGATTTCTAGGTTTCCTTTTCACAGTCTGAGCTTTGTCGCAATGCGCGCAATCGTCTTCCTCGTCTTCCTCATCCTCATCAACTCCCCTCTCTTTGATGACGTGGGCGTAAGTTGATTTGAATAGCACATCTTGGTGAGATTTTGGTACCAAATATTTCGAAGCCAAGTCCGGCCAGTCTCTTTGTAAGGCCTGTAGGAATGCTGGTATTTTATTACCACCAAGAGCATGTGCAGTCTGAATTTTCCCCAAGGCTGTAAGGAGTGAGGTGGGTGGATTGCTCAAGGCTCCAGTACGTTCAAAGAGTTTTCCATGTTCTTTTCCCATGTCCCATTGGACGACGCCGGGAAATTGTCCTGTAGGAGAGCTCACAACCACATCTCCGAGTCTGACGTTGGGAGGAACACCACCCCCGATGCCGACCAATAAGCCAATTTTGATCCGCGAAAAGGTGGAGATCATCCAAGTGGCGATAGTTGCCGCAGAGTTGGCGCCAATCTGCCCTAGAGGTAGACAAGCAATGACAATATTGTGCTCGCCTATGGATCCGAGAGTATAACTGTTAGGGTCGCCAGGAGGGTTCTGAAGATCGGGATGCCGTTTGTCTAGCATAACCGTCGCTGCTGTTTGTTCCTTTGGCAATGCACAGACCCATCCTATGGTATAATCATTGTAGGATCTGGACTTTGTGGTTGCCATGGCAGATAATGAGGCAATCCAAGTCATGGTTTCGTTGTAGGAAAGTAGAGACTATGGTGCTACCTTTGCTTCGGTCGGATATATATGGCCTCTCGCGAATGCGGTTGGCAATTTAACCCGCCCAAGGACTAGATAAGCACAAGAGATTATTGAAGAAGATAGAACGAGAACAAAAGCTCTCATTACGACACATGAATTGCCGATGCAATAGCCAATATGTATTTCTTTTAATGCGCCCAAATCTTTACAACTAGTGAGCCGTAGAATGAAGCTTTCTTGCGGCCCAATCCTGAGCCTGATTTTGCCGCGTGATCCTATCTGGGGAGCCCACATGTAGCTGTGCCACGCTGGTAGGCATCTAATAGGCATCCGATGTTGAATACATGCACCCTGTTCTTCCAGGCTGCGATAGCTGCATGAAAAAAAAAATTGGACCAATAAGGTCAGCTTTCGGTGAAGTATGCTGCAGCTATCGCACCATGTCGGGCTTCAATTCCATCAACTGGCAGGGGATTGGTCTGAAATCGAGAAACTTCGGGTCATTTAGGAGACAGTAAGTAGGTTCCTCCGCAGGCAGTACCCGTAGCTCTGGAAATTGTGATTTCAACGACTTTGGAAGTTACTTTCCCGGAAAGCGCACTTGGCAGTATGACGGTAGCTGTAAGCACTTGGGATTGTTCATTAGAAACTCTTTCTTAGAGCAAAGGGTGGTCGATCAGAGTCTCCTCTGAAGATTTGCCTACTATTGAAAGTCCTTCCGGCTTTTCAGATGATCTTGACGACTGAACACTGGTTTATCGTCTATTTTCTTAAGAGTTCTTGCATATATTAGTAATTGAAAATACGGTATCAGGCCGAAGCTACTTGGGTTCGAGCATTTTGAAAGGCATTCGGCCAAGGCATCGAGAAGGTCGGTAGTGTCTTCTCTTATCTTTGACCTTTGCCGAATCTTGAAATACAATGAAGACGGCAGCAATGAAAAGCGTTGAGGCCCAAAGACCAAACCTTGAATTCATATATTGTAGTCCGAAGCCACTCTTGTCTTTTCAGCTTTGGATGTGCGTAGCATGCACAAAATTTGTATTTGCATATTCCGATCTCATCCCGTATGCCAGAGGTGAAAAGATTCAAATTCTGAGCCATTTTTTGTATTGATGCTGCATCGAAATAGCGAATAAGGCAAATCATATATTGTAGAATATCGATGATACGAGCCAGGATAGACAGCTCTAGTATAGAAATGTCATGACTGGGCTCCGCAGGAAGAGTGTTTAATAGATGACCGACAAGTCTAGATAGCAGCTGGACAAAGAGTATCTGCTAGTCATCTTTACTTGGGCAAGGCGAATTTGATAGAAATTCTTAGTAATACAGAGCTGCCTAAGGCCCTGGTGAATAAATCTAATCCACTCTAACCATATAATCACAACGCCCATTGAACATACATGGTTCTCACCAAGAAACAAGATTATCAGGTTGCCTATCATAGATGAAGGGGGCGGTGCAAATAGTGTAACCGCTAACTTTAATTCTTCATTCTTGCTCGCTGAACTGCTAAGTGCACTTGCGTGCATAAAAGAAATGATGACTTCAAGGAAAGTTGTATTTGCATCTGCCTCTACCTACGTTAAGAAGAAACCCTTACCCTGTATTAATCATTTCTGCTTTACAGCAACAAAATCAGAGCTACAGGCGTAAAACATGCTTGTATCCGGACATGAAACAACAAAAGATCACCGAAATCTTAAAACGTAACACGCTTTGTAGGATGGAGACTACACAAAACTAATAGTATTCAATGCATAGCTGCTTGAAAAAACGTTAAGTGTTTGAGAAATGCGCAGGTGGTGCAGGCGTTCATAGAACATTCTTTATCTCGAGGAGAAACTGGATTTCCCGGCTGCCTCTGATAGATGAAGGGGGCGGTGTAAATTGTTCAATCGCCGACGTCGATACATTGCTTTCGCTTACTGAGCGGGTGGTTGTTCAACTTATACGTGTGTACGTGGTAGAAATGACGAATGCTATTAATAGATAGCCAGCACTGCCCAAGTTCCTTTTAAATCCTTTCTGCGTCGAGAGTGAGCTTTTGAACTGAGCCTGGGACGCAACCACAGTCATACACGTCCTGCGAGCAATTTTATTGAATTATTCTGTGAAACTCAAGCATGATAGAGAAATACTGGTTTATCCTGAATCAGAGTCATTATCCGCCTCCTCACCTTCCAAAGAGCGGTTTCGGTATTGGGAACAGGGCGATTTGCTTGGGACACATCATTCTGGATCTCACTATTCCAGACGGAGTCATCAACTGGAGCGAGAAAGGTATAGAATTTACGTCGTCCGTTGAAGCCTACACACAGAATCCTGGGACCTGGACTGGGAACGAGACACGGGCCTAGAGCCTGGACAGGCTGCAAGTCTAAGAGCGCCGATCAGAGCTAGAACGCTACCTTCTGCGAAACAGCAGACTCAACTTGCTTTTGAGCGCACCGTGAAGAACTATGAAGAGTTCGATACTCTGGATCAATATATTATTCAGGTGGATCCTGAGTTCATTGGGACGATTCTCGGAGCCGAGGCGGTGGCTGCTCGTATAGAACAAACCAAAAGTGTTCAGCTGCTTGGGCTTAGTGATAGTTGGAGCGTATTCATGATCACAGGCATTATTGTTGTAAGAGGCGCCTAAAAGAAACCTGAAGAGAGCGGAATATCTGAAGCAATGTCTCATCAACCGCCAGGTAGTCCACCACCTTTGCATAGGAAGATCCCGTTGCTGATAATAAGCCAACTCATTATGAATAAGAAACGTTGCCGAACTAGCGTCAATTAGCGCAGCAGCGAACTTTGCGAATCAAAACAGCACCTCTTGTTGAACAGAAAAGACAGCCGACTTCGTTTGGGCCGTGAGGCTCAAGAAGATATGGAAAGATGCCACGGAACAAGATTGGAATGCTAGAAGAGTGAGTAAAGGGGCCGTCGCCTCTCTCAGACCATGGAGGCACAAACTTCAAAGCGTACTTTAATGAGAGTTGTTCGCCGTTGGAACGTTCTAGACCCTTGACCTACCTGATGAAGAGGGCATGATGTGCACCTGCATCCTCATACACCTGCAGAACGTGATCGGACGTTACTTACGAATGGCTGCGTATAGTTGCGCGATCATGCTCTCTTGTATATTTACCTACGACATTGGGTGGGAATGAATGGTCATTCTATCGCTTCGAACGAGTCCTTGTCACGAGTGCTGGAGTGCGCATACTCTGCTGAGCTATATTTTGAATTATATTCATTTGTCGAACGGTATTAATTAGCAAAAAGGAAACTGCAAATGATGGACTAGGTACGAATGCTTGTTGATGCACTTAAAAACTCAGTACTTGATTCAAAATTGTACATTTGCTATTTACAATATCCCACACTCCACTATGTGAATCATTTGAGAGCTTTTGACTTGAGTAATAGTATTTGAACATTGGAATGACGATGAACATTTCTGAGAAAATGCCCCTACCGTTTAAAAAGTATAACTATGCGACCCATCTGGGCTCGCTGGTACCCACCAGCTTCCTGTTCAATCTCGTATAATGCCACCATAACGAAAAGCTCAAGACAGTTCCCATAGCTAGAAACCCAGCATTAATGCCATGTCCTAAGCGGTAGAATGGCGCATCTTGCGCTCGATAGATCCAAACACCTATGATCTGACCAGGTCCCGTAAAAGCAATGTTAAGTCCCGTAGCCAGAGATCCAGCGGTGGTAGTTCGCACATTATCTGAGATCCAGGCGCATAGTGGAGGCAGACCTGCAAAGACACCGGCGGTACTAATGCAAAGCATAGCATAACGGGCAGCAAAAAGATGGCCGGGTAAACAAGCTGTAAAGGATGTGTTAGCTTGAAGCCCATTATGGATTTGCGATAGAAACAGCCTGACCTTGAATGATGAAAGCAACAGTGCCAAAAAGAAAGCATCCGCCAGCCACAAGGCCTCTTGTCCTCTGGCGATCGGATATCATGGCTAAGACGAGAGTCACGACATATGCGACTGCATATGGAGGGATAGTGAAAAGCTGGGCCTGAAGGTTCTTGTACCCAAGCCCAGCGACAATCGTAGGGGCAAAGAGCGAGAGAGATGAGACGCCGACACCGATGCACAGATAAGTCACATAGTGCACATACAATCTGACATCCTTGAGAGTTGCTTTTGCATCTTCCCAGTTGAGTTTTGCGGCCCTGTAGGAGATTAGTACATCTTCATGCCGATGAAAAGAATATCTGCGTACCCGTGGGACGAGTTTACGCCAAGGCGTAGCACTTGGATGGCCTTTTCCTCTTCGGTAAGCCAGTTGGCTTTTTCTGGATAACTCGGCATAAAAAGGAATGTCAAGATTCCCAGAGCAACTGTATAAAGGGTACAAAACATTAGACGGCTCATGTATACGAGACAAAGAGGTAAGGGACTGATGCTTACTGGAGGGAACGCCTTCGACGATGAATAGCCAGCGCCAACCTTCTAGCCCAGCTCTGCCATCCAGATGTCCAACACCAAAGGCGATAGCACTATTGAAGAACAGCCACTATTAGCTATCTTCATAACCTGCCATCATCGCAGTGATAGACTTACCCGCCAAAGGCACCAGCCAGTGTAGCGCTGCAAAGGAACAAAGCGATTCGAGTCGCTCTCTCCTCTGCTTTATACCAGAAACTCATGAAGAAGACCATTCCAGGAAATATACCAGCCTCAAAAGCACCAAGGAAGAATCGAAGTGCAGATGTGCTAGCAAAGCTTTTCGCTCCGGCAATGGCTGTGCAGAAGGCTCCGAAGCCAATGACCAAGAAGCCTAGCCAACTATTTGATAAAGAAGACGTTGTTAGCCCACGAGCAACTTAATGATGCATATGGAATATCGTACTAATTAGGCTGGAGGGCCTTTGCGGCGAGATTGCTCGGCGCCTCGAAGATGGAATATGCCACCAAAAAGACCATGAGGGCAATGGTGTACTCTTTGGTGGTCATGTGTGTTGAATCCAGTAAATCGTGGCCCTTGTCGGCATTGAGAATCTTTGCATTACCTGTTTTTGTAAATACTTAGCTGATACAATGTATGTTTTCCAAAGAGAGATTGCTGGGGCATACCGATATTGGATCTATCCATGTAGCAAAGGAGGTAGATTAAAACGGTAAAAGGCATTAAACGCGTGTCAATTTTGCGTACGATTCTAAGTAGTAAAACGCCATGTCAGCTTCTTTCTGCATGAAACCATTAATTTTAGGGACTTGCCTCTTCTCAATGGACGGATCAATGTCTTGAGCACGCTCAAAGTGAGAGCTGACGCCATCTTCAATGGTCTTTGGTAGCTTTTCATCTTCCATGGCTTCCAAAAATGATAACTTGAGATCTATAAACAGATGGTTGTACCACAGCGTCAGAGGTAAAAGTAGATATGAACTAACGCATCTAAGCTGCAGCCCTGGAAAGAGACTGTGAATCAGCTAAAGGGGGAGAGAATTGGACAGCATATATAATCGAAATAAACGGAAAGAACGGCAAAAGAGGGGATAGCAAGACAATATTGGAGTCGATATCCCTTCACAGTCTCAAAAGCCGCCAAAATGTTGAGATGAAGTCTTGGTCATGCACCCTCCGTTGACAGAAAGGTAAGACATGCAGGCCCTTCACAGTCCCCCTCCCCGCCCTTGCTTAGTGGCAGTCTCCCCATGGGGAAATGTTAGTGGTATCAAGATTAGCCGGTAGACGACAGGCGAGGGCAAATGGGAGCAGTTCAACAATGATGCTAGTGGAGATGGCTTGTTCATGTTAGCGCTGGTTCGGATCCGGTAGATGGTTCAGCTGCGGAGATGGTGCGGAAACGCCTGGTGGTTTGACAAGCTAGTCGCATGGCTTTTGAGTTGTAGCTAATGGGAGTACTCGTGATAGGCTCATACTCAAGTCGGCTGTCTCTTCTCGGCAAACATGAAAGTCTATTTTATACATGGTGGCTATTGTAAGAGGTTTGCGCTACATTTAGCCACGTGGTTCTATTAAACAGCATTATATGATATAAAAATGGCAGCCAAAAATCTCTTGGCTCAAGTATTTGCCATCCACACGAGCGCCGAGCTTGGTCTGGCGTTCGATAATCACTTCCAGAAGACGCGCCACTTTGAGAGCTGTCTGCGCCCCCTTCTGATCCAGTCCCCCAATAGGCAGCCCATCTCCTTCATTACTATCAAATGCTGAGGTCTGTCGTTGGCCGGTCATGCCACTTAGCCGACCAAGAGCTCGAAGCTGTAACACCGCCCATTCCTGTTGCACGGGGTCGGACACCTCGCAGCCAAACAAGAAGCATACCCACATCAAGCCCGGATGAATAGCAGTAGAGGTTGTGCGTGAGATGCTTGCATCAAAAGCGTGCTGATGTATAGGTTGGCCGACACTGCGCCGCATCATATTGCCTGTCTCTTTCAGAGCTTTGCGAGCAATAGCAGTGTGCTGTAAAGTCCAGTAGGCAACACGGTGTATATATATGAAGTGTGCCCAAAAAGTTGCAATGTAGACGCTGAAAAGCTGCTCCAGCCTTCGAGCAATGGTTTCGCTGACGAAGAGCCGCAGTTGTGAGGCATCTACATCAAGAATGCTAGGACGACGTCGCCACAGCTCCTCCAACTCCTCCTCAAAGCCCATACACGCTTTCATCACCTCCATCTCATCTTCAGGAGTCCCACGTGAGCGGTGGTGGCGATCGTGGCAGCCAACGCGTCGCGAATACGCTTGAGATGCCATATGGAACTCGAACGCTGGCTGCAGTAAGATGTTGAAAACACCCATACACACTACATTCTTGGGTATTGTAGGCGGTTCGGTAAGTAGTGTCGAGAGTCTAGAGCCATGATTACGAGGCTTTGCAGTAGTGTTTATGCCCCTTTCATCTATAGCCCTAGTGATTGGAGATATGCCGTTGATATTGCCGAGAGGATCATTGTCCGATATTTCCATGCTAGCTGAGCCGGCAACGCTTGGGTGTGGTTTTCTAATAATTTCCAAGGCGGGATCCGATAAGAGATGGCGGCCGCCCATATGAGACATCTTGGCGTCAAACGAGTCAAGCCATTGAAAAAGGCTGGCAGAGCCAGTATCCCAGCCCTGACCATTGACAATAACTTTCTCGGCCATATCTTCTGGGAAGCTGGGACGGACCTGATCATTTCCATCATAAGCGGTTTCGAACCAAGCCAGCAAGAATATGACCACCAATAGTGCTTGGCTGCTTCGCTCCTCCCATCCTGCATGCGAAAGACTCAATTTGAGTGCAGCGCACGCCACGTCATGTAATCTTAGAGATAAAAGACCGAAATCATCACGGCAGGTAGATACGCGACTCCCCAGTGCAGCCAGAGCCGCTGGTCGGCTAGGCTCGAATAGCATGGCACTGAGAGCTGCAAGTGCATGCATGACAGCTCCGTATTCGATGGAATTATGCTTGCCATTGGCCATATGAAGCACGTATTGCTTTATTTTCGGCCAGCCCAGGGGATGGATACCGGCAAGCGAAGCGGGAGGCTGGATTGCGCACTCAAACGTCTGCAGCAGTAGCTCTTGTTGAGAATCTGATAAAAGTGGTGGTGAGAAGGCAAAAGCTGGTTTGTATCCTGAGCTGTTGATCTGTCCGGTGCCTCCTTCGTTATTTATACTGACAAGCTGAGCGTCGTTTGTGTTCTGAGCGACACTCTCTATGCTTGGACTGTTATCCACGTTTGATGCTGCCAAGGTCGCATTCCCGTCCATATGCCAGCCAGATGACTGGTCAGAGTTGAAGAAGTTGGGGCTGAGAGCACTGGTAAATCCAAGTGAAGTAAACGAAAAAGCCGAGTCTGGAAGAGGCATTTTATCGAACCAACTGGGGCTCCAAGGCGATTGCGAAAGATCCCCTGAGAGGCCTGCAGGAGGTATGGAGTTGGAGCCAAGATCGAGTGCTGCCGCCGCCGTTGGGGTCATATAGGAGGCCATCAGTCCATTGGAGTTTACATTTGCAGCGGATGTCCCAAATTGGCTGTTGAGGCCAGTAGAAAGAGTCGTCTGGGAATCTTGAAGAACGTCCCCTGGCTGATACGAAGTCACTCCCGAGAAAGAAGACGAAGACTCGTTGGCCTCGTCCGTCACCATGCTGAATCTTCGCGATGTATCCAAGTTGGAATCAGCATCAGCTTCAAGGTCTTGTCGAGAACTGACCGAACTGTCGTCAGGCGAAGGAGGCCGTCGCTGGCTGCGCCGTGGTCGAGGAGGCTGATATTCGCACTCAAGCTTGAGTCTATCGCAGTGGCCACAAGTTGGTCGCCTCTCATCGCAGCGAACTCGTCTCAGGCGACAGGTTGAGCATCCATTCTTGGATCGTGGACCAGAGCGGCCGAGCGCAATGCTTTGACGCCGAACAATGCCTGTTCGAGATGACATGCTTGGTTGATGATGGCTCTTAGTAGTCAATAAACTGATATTTCGAGAGACGATGAGGATCCATGTAAGAAGCTGCCCAGGTGCTCTTTCCATGGGCCAAGAAATGCGGGGGCGGAGAAAGGGCCATAGCGTGTCACTAATAGCCGCTAAACGCACTATCGCAGCCACATTTATAGCGCCCTCTCCCCTCACATTTAGTGGATAGGTCGGTGTAAGCAACATCGTTCCCACCATCCTACATAACAGATAATGCGATATCAATCTTGTCTATTGACTATGAGACTCTGCCACATTAACTAAATCTACAACTTGGCTCTAGTGCTATATGCTCCTGGGTTCAAGTTCCACGGCAACTCAGCAGCTGCCCACGCCGAACTTGCCTCTCCCTCAGCAAGGACACTCTTCCAATCTTCACGGCTTATGGATCGAGCCTCCTCAGCAGGATTATAACCCAAACGACTACGTCCATCTTCCTGTGGCTTTGTATCCTCGATGCCTGGAGCTACCTGACCGTCTATCCTCTTGTATATCGTCACCACTGTGGCGCCTCCCATGCCCATATTGTGCTGGAGACAATACTTTGTCGATGCGACAGATCGGCGCTTTGCCCATCCGCGAAGATGCCAGACTATCTCACAAACTCCTGTTAGCCATAATAACTTTGCCTCGGATCACATATACATCGTGATAAACTTACCCAGCTCTGCACATTGCGCTAGCCCAGTGGCTCCCAGCGGGTGTCCTTTGGAAATTAGTCCTCCACTTGGATTCACGATCCATCCTTTCCCCTTCTTCTTTGGATTATAAGTGATGAGTCCATCACGAACCAACTTCCACCCTTTGCCTTCCTCAGCCAATCCCAGCCCTTCAATGGCACACATCTCGTTGGTGGTGAAGCAGTCGTGCAGCTCAATAACAGACACGTCTTTGGGTGTGATGCCCGCTTGTTCATAAGCCCGCTTTGCCGCATTTCGTGTCATATCAGAACCAATGAGCTCGATTGCACTCTTCGACTCGTAGAGCTTGGAGGAGTCAGTGGCCAGAGACTGACCGGCGATTTGAATGGCGGTGCTGCGCAGATAAGGGTGAGCAGCCAGAAAAGATTCGGAGACAATCACCGCTGCTGCTGCGCCAGTCTAGGCAAACAATCGTTAGCTGAAGTCTACTTGATTAATCAGGAACCATGATACATACAGAAGAAGGGCAGCATTGCAGTCGTGTAATATCTCCCGCTATCACAAGACTAGACAACACATCTTCGGCTGACACAGCTTTGGACAACTGAGAGTAAGGGTTGCGAGTGCCGTGTTCCCTGTTGACAGCAGTGATTTGTGCAAAGTCTCGCTTCTCAGCACCGCCCGGGCCTCCATATCTCTGCAAATACTCTGCCTGGGCATTGCCATAAAGCTGAGGACTCCATCCCGGCGACGGTTTGCCGCGCTCAGACTCGGGTATCTGTGTCTTGGACAAGTCTAGAACACGCGACAGGGGATTGGTGCGGTCTTTATGCGTCTGTGGCAACACACCCGGATACATCTTATCAAATCCAGCAACCAGCACACAATCTGCATCTCCAGAGCGGATGGCTTGGTTTGCCAGCCATAGACCCGTGCTGCCAGAGCTGCAGTAATTGTGCACATTGAGAATGGGGATGCCCGTCATGCCGAGGCTGTAAAAGACGCGTTGTGCGCATGTTGAGTCGCCAAAGACGTAGCAACCTATGCCTTGGTCTACTTTGTCAAAGGTGAGGCCTGCGTCGAGTAGAGCTTTGACGCAGGCTTCGACGGCTAGATCGAGATAATCTGACTGCGGGTTGGCTGCTAGGTTGGCAGACTTTTTGGGAGAGAGGAACGGCGTCATGCCAACCCCGACGACAAAAGATGAGTTTGTCATTTTTGCTGCGGTTGTTGTATCCCAGGTGGAAAACTGCTACAAGATGATGCTTTTTAGGAAGCTGTCTGGCAAACAATTCCGCTGTGGCCTGGAAATGGCAAAGCTTATCACCATGGCTAAACAAGGGGAAGTCTTCCGATCTCGCTACCGATTCCACGATATACTTCTGAAGTATTAACATTTCCGCTTTTGGTAAAATGATGCAAGCCGCTCAGCCCCTCGCAGGAAGTTGACGCTCACTTTGACGATAGACGACAGCCGAGACCCACTCTACCGCCACCTCGTACCATGGTGAGGGGAGTAGCAAGAATCTCCATGTCTATCAAATAGGTCAATTGCGGCAACTGAAATGGAGAAATGTCATCATCATTAAAAGTAATAGAAACTATGATATTTGGATGTTTACCTATGTAGAGTCCAATCGTGTGCCGAGACCACCACAGCACAGTAACCATCCGCATAGCGTTGGTATAGGCTTAGAGAACCACACAAAGCATGTATAGAGAGTAAAGCAATTGGATAAAATACGGTTCAATGGACTCCATGTATAGTCTACATATCCCATAGAGAGTCAATCTCACAGCCGACTCGGCATCCTCGCCGCCCCGTCCAGCCGAATCACCGTCCCATTCAACATCCCATTCTCAACCACACTCTTCACCATCTGCGCAAACTCCTCCGGCCTCCCCGCCCTCGCCGGAAACTCCAGCGTCTTGTTCAAGCTCTCCCTCGCCTTATCTGGCATCCCCTCCACCATGCCCGTATCAAACATTCCCGGCGCGATGCACACCGCTCTGATCCCCACCCGTGAGAGATCCCGCGCAAGCGGAAGTGTTAGAGATGCGAGGGCGCCCTTGGCTGCGCTGTAGGAGACTTGACCTTCTTGGCCGTCGAAAGCGGCGGCTGAAGAGACGGTGATGATGACGCCACGGGAACCGTCGGGATCAGCAGGCTGGGTTGACATGTAAGGTACGATTTGGCGGATGACGTCGATTGTGCCGGTGAGGCTGATGTCAATGACTTTTTTGAACGTCTCAAGCGAGAGAGGAGTGCCATTTTTGGACAGAATCTGTGATTGCCATTAATATACGAGGACCAATTATAGCAGTTAACGGAATCTCACCTTTGCCGGTCCAAGAAACCCAGCACAACAAATCACCGCAGCAATAGGCTTCTTCGTCTCCTTACTCCAAGCAACAACGCCCTCCACCGCCGCAGCGACATCCTCGGTCTTGGAGACATCAACCTTGAAATATTTCTGGCCTTGCAGTTCAACGGCATTGCCTGAAGCGCCTTTTGGAAGCTGCAAGTCAAACACGGCTATTGACGCGCCGAGACTGCGCATAAGCTTAACTGTAGCTGCGCCGAGGCCAGAAAGGCTGTCATCTGGTCAGCTCAGAACCGAATTTACAACATTGTTTAATGCCACTTACCCTCCTGTAACGACGACAATTTTATCCTGGACGTTCATATTGAGGTTGTTGTTGTGTCCATCAGAGTAAAGTTGTCTTGCCGAAGTGCGTTACTTGTACTTCAAAATGCCCGAGGCTAATTCCCACGGCTGTTTTGTCCCGTCAAGTAATGCCTGCAACCCGCTGCTCCTTCAAGCAAAATCTACGGATCCATTCCCCAGATTACGCTATAACCGTTTGAGTGAGAAACCCCAGATTCCCTTGTTTAGCTTCTTCGAGCTGCCCCACACATCCCCGTCGTCTCTCGTCTGTCGCTTCTCGCTTTCAATTACAGTCACATCACAAGACACTTATTAAATCCCGATATACGATAAAATCTGTCTATTCAAACATTTATTGAGAATTACTACATCAAAACTCTCGTAAAGTCAAAAGCCGACGTGCAGTAGCTCACATTCTCGCCAATAGAGAAGCCGCTCTCTCTCGTCGGCTCCCGTCCGAATCGGCCCCACATCGGACCCGGCAGCGGAACACCATCCTCTTCATTCCTCCTCTCATTACCTTTCTTCAGAATATACCTTCTCATATCTCGTCAAACATCACCTCTTCCTCTTCTCTCTCATATCCAGCCCCTTCATCTCTCCTTCACAGACACTCACCATGGCAAACCGCAAAGAATCCCGCCCCGGCATCAAAGCCAACCTCTCCATCCTCCACGGCCCAGCCCAACCAACCCCCATCCACAAAACATTCTCCCGCCTCCTCCGCGAAAAAGCCCAGTACCAACCCTCCTCCCTCCTCGTCGCCTCAGACCACCAACAGAAATCCCTCTCCTACGCCGAAGCAAACTCCCGCTCCGATGATCTCGCCCGCGGACTTGCTTCCCTCGGCGCAAAACAAGGCGACCGCATCGCCATCCTCATGGGCAACGAAATCGAGTACATTGAGACATTCTTCGCATGCACCAAGCTCGGCGCGCCCGTCACGCTCGCAAACTACGCTTACACCGAGCAAGAATTACATTCTGTGCTTTCATCATGCGGCGTGTCTACGCTGGTCATGGTTCCACGCTTCGACCGCTACGACTACCGCGCCTGGATCCCAAATCTCAAAAAGGGAATCCCATCACTGCGAAACATCATCGTCGTCAATGCGGATAGAGAACCCGCCCTCGTCAAGCTAGACTACACAGACTACGAAGCCGTCATCCTCCGCGGCCGCAACAACACCTCCCTCGACCTCCTCGCCTTAGAAGCAAACATCCACGCCAAGGACGTCATGAACCTCCAATTCACCAGCGGCTCAACCGGCCTCCCCAAAGCCTCCGCCCTCACCCACAGCGGCATCTACAACGCCGGCCGCTACATCGGCAGCACAATGTACCTCAAGTCCTCGGATCGCATCTGCCTCCCCGTGCCGCTCTTCCACAGCTTCGGCCTCATCATCGGCCTCGCCGTCGCTACGGCATACGGCGCATCGCTCATCCTGCCCGCCAGCATCTTCGACGTCGAGGCAACGCTGGCCTGCATCCCCAAGTACCGCTGCACGGGTCTCTACGGCGTGACAACCATGTTCGTCGCCGAAATGGCCCATCCTCGCTTCAATAACTATGACCTCTCCAGTCTACGCTTCGCCATCCTCTCTGGCTCAGCGGTCCCCGAGCCGCTCATGCGCAAAGTCTGGTCCGCCTTTGGCATCACGCAGACACACACCAACTGGGGCCTCACCGAAGCCTCCTCCATCGTCACCATGACCCGCGACACCGACTCCATGGCCCAGCGCACCGTCACCTCCGGCCGTCTCTTCCCCGGCTACTCAGCCCGCATCGCCGATCCATCCACAGGCCAAACCGTGCCCCGTGGCCAAAGAGGCGAAATCGCCCTCCGCGGCAACGGCATCCAGGCCGGCTACTACGGAAACCCGCAACGCACGGCTGAGGCCCATCGCATCTCCCCCGAAGACGGCCTCGAGTGGTTCCACACCGGCGACGAGGGCTACTTTGACCCAGACGGCTTCTTCGTCATTACCGGCCGCATCAAAGACATGATCATCCGCGGCGGCGAAAACATCTCCCCCCTTGAAATCGAAGAGCGCCTCGTCGCCCATCCGTCCATCGCGCAAGCATCTGTCATAGGCGTTCCCGATGCCAAATACGGCGAGCAAATCTGCGCCTTTGTCGAGCCTACTGCAGGTACAGAGCGGCCTATGGATGATGAGCTGCGCGCGTGGGTTGCAGAGACGCTGGCGCATTTCAAGAGGCCGCGGTATGTCATCTGGTTGGGGTCGCATGTTGCGTTTCAGACTTGGCCAAAGACAGCGAGTGGGAAGCTGAGAAAGCCTGATTTGAGGCTCATTGCGGCGGAGATAATGAAGGGGGATGCAGTGGAGGTGGAAGTGCGAGAGCAGGAGCCTGTGAGGGCGAGGTTATGAGTTGGTGTTGTTATATAAGTAATAAACGGACTCGAGGGACCCATCAATGGTTCGGAGTGATGATAGTTTGACTACGAGTTTCAGCGAATGATGGCTTATAAACTGCTCTTTATACTTTGCTTGAATTGTACAATGCAGCTTCTCTTCATTTACGAATTATACAATGACACCATCACATAAAGTCAACAAGTTTAAGCCCAAGTCTACCAATTTCTAAAAGCCAAATGGCAACATAAACTATATATACAACAGAACGAAACCAATTATCAAGCAAAAAAGTGCTTGAAACAGAGAAAACTTTCTCTGTAAAGGGGGGCCATCTATCTATTCCATTAAAGAAGTCGCATGCAATCTGTTTCCGGCAAACTTCTTTTTTTCCCATGTATGTTTCCCACGCTATGCATATGCCTTTGTGTATGATTCGTATAATCCAAAAATCCGTGTTTAACATTTCTCATTTCTTTCATTTCTGTGATTTTACACACATTTTTTTTCATCATTAGTATTTTTTGAACAAAGGAAATAACGAGTGTAGTTCGTGAAGACGATGAGTCGCTTGTCTACGGAACTTGTAAGCTCCGTAGGGCGAGACAGTTATCGAGACCGGAACAAAAGAAAGAGATCAGAGGCAAAGTGGTTGTTCGAAAAAAGAGAGAGAGACCCAAGCGCCATCGCAATGCTTGAAATATCAAATCGCAAAAGACCTTGGATTCAGGGCTGGGAGTGCGTATTCCGCTTCCACTCCGCCATGTGTACATTACTTTGGTTCGCTCTCCACTGGTCGTCATTCATCAATCCCTTCACATGAGACTGTCATTAATGTGCCGCAGTAGTAGTCTTGGAAGACCACCCCCCCGGGCTCAAATGGTCCCACATCCAGGAGAAAATGCCGACTACGGGAGGCGCCCAAACGCCAATGCCCTCGCTCTCTTCGACCGCCGTCGGGCGTGTGGCGGGAGACGTGCGCAGCATCATGTCGTGCGACGAGCTCGAAAATGAAAAGACCTGAACGTCGTCGACTTGCAAAAAGTCGTATCCGCTCATGGTATCGTAGATGACCTGTGGCTCTTGAGGCTCCACATCTCGCCAAGATTTGCGACTGAAAGGAGGAGTATATACCTTGGAAGGTTTGCGAGGCGGGACGCTGTTGGCATCGACCTTGATGTCAGTCTTGACATCTGCCCTCGCATTCGAATCACCGGCACTTGTCTTTTGATCCGTCTCAGTCTTTCTCTTCTTCGCCTTGGCGCCGGTCTTGGTGTTCGTCTTGATTTTGTCGTTGACGAGCGGGGCCTTGCCCTTGGAACGCGGCTTCTTCTCAGCCTTCTTGACTCTCCTCTCTCTCTTAACTTTCCTCTCGGTGTTTTCGTTCGTATCATCCACCGGCGAGACCACTACCTCCTCTACTATTCTGTTGACAATGTTGGTCTCGATATGAACAAAGCCATCGTCTCTCTCCTCCTCAACAATGTCGCCCTCCCGGACATCCTCGACAGGATGGGGCGTTGAGACTAATACAGCCTGAGGAATGCCTGGCGCGACAGTCATCTCTATCAGTCGGTTGTTGGGACCGACGACCGAGTCGACCTTGCGCACCGCGGGCGAAGCCGCTGGTAGGAGTCTGACTTTCCTCTTCTCGAGCTGTTTCCCAAGATGCATTGTCAAGGCACGAGTGGAGATTCTGGCGGATCCGACAACCCAATCTCGTACAGGTTTCCTTCCCTTGCGAGTGCGAACCACACTGCCATTTTCATCGTGAACCGCTTCATCCTGCTGCTCCCTAGACTGTGTCATAAAGTATACTTGCATCATGCCGTCTGGTTTTAGGGCCTCGAAGGGAGAAATTGCTGCCGCCAGAATGATGGGCGAATGGAAAAATGCAGATGTCAGTTGTTGAGCATTCTTGGCACGGCCGGCCATAAAAGATTGGAGCCAGTTGCCGCTATCTTGTAGGATGAAGTAAGCTGTTTGTGTATTTTCGGGAGACAAGACACAGTTCATCTTTCTTCTAGTCGCCACAACGCCTGACGAAGAAGCAATACTAGTAGTTATAGTGTCGGCAGCTTCCGAAATAATCTCCAAGCATGAGGCTTCTGACGAATCGGCGGTAAAGACGATATCAGGGGTCTCAGCAACAGGAGTCTCAACAGCGGCAGCACTAGTATCGTCGGTTGCACCAAGACTGGGGGCCTCTTCGGCATCCGGAGTCGTTGCGGGCACTACTTCCTCCACCGGGGTCACGGACGACTCAGAAGAAGGCTCCTTTGCATCTCCGTCATGCATCTTGGAGGGAGACTCCTCGACAATGACAGAAGACTGGCTGGTTTCGACGGAACACGTGGAGCTCGCGTCAGAGCCAGACGCATCAGTGGAGCCAACGGTGTGGTCAGAGGCATCCGAGGCCTTTCTAGGGCGGAGAGACTGCTCGGGCTCAGCAGCAGCAGTCACAACAATATCCGGAAGAGGCAATGGATTCTGGAGCGGTGTGGCAGGCAGGAGGTGGGGGTTGGAGGCGGGGTCTGAAAAGTCGAGACATATGTTAATGATGTCGCACTCCCCTAGGTCCTTGAACGTACCTGGACCTCGCCTCGCGATGAACTTGGCCGCCTTGAACACCGGCTCCGGGGAAGCACTGCCAGACCTGAAGACGTTGGGTTAGCGGACTGCTGGTGTAGTGGCCAATGGGACAAGATGGAATGAGTTATAGAACTTACAATCCTTCCACAATATCACCCCATGCGTCTCTCTTGAGGGCCTTCATCGCTCCTTGAATCCTCTCCTTCAACTGCTTTGAGGACTTGACGACCTTGAAGTCGGCCAGAAATGAGTCCGACTCTGCGCCCTCGGAGTAGGCATTGAAGAAGTCGAGCGTCTTTCGCAGTCGAGTGATGAAGTAGCTCCTTGCAATGGACGGATACTCTTTGTTGCGGAATTGGAGAAGAGCGCGCTTCGCGTCCATTGGGTCTTGTCCGACCTTTGCAGCACGGAGTTTGACGCTGATCTATAGTATGAGTGTTGATTAGTCTTAGGTCTCTCATACTGTAAATGTGCAAAGCACAAGGCCACTTACAGAAACAGGCACGACAAGGCCAGGTCGTTCCTTGGTAGGCACGCAGGCCTTGACAAACAGCCATTTCTTCGCATCCGGGCTCAGGTGTTGCTCGACAAAGTCGGCAATCTCCTTATTTTGAGTCCATGTCTCCGCGCTCACAACTCGGTTGACGTGCCAGGCCTGAAAGTAGAAAGTTCCATCTGAGCTTCCACTTCTCCGGGTCATAGTAGGATAGACTGGTGAAGAGATAGATAAAGATGGGCCGTTTTAGTGAAAAAACGGGCTCCCACTATCAGACGCCAGAGGCAGAGCCGTCTAGTAGTAAAGAAAGACAAGAAAGACAAGATATGTTGAAGTATCCAAGTCAAGTCAAGGTAGGGTCACCTGAAGATGGGTTGACATCTCGACCTTCCAGCAACACAATGGGAAGACTGCCCGTCCATTATATCTCAGCCGTGAAAATTCGTCTCATGCTGATTCGTATGCCTCGGTCATGGCCATGCATACGACTCACCTGCATCGATACCTCACGGCCACGGTGTCTGCGAATGGAGAATGGCTTTGCACCAGCCTCTGTCGCTGTCGTTGACATGACAAAACACCGACAGTTACAGTGCCTTGAGAAGCGTGGATCCGTCGCCCATAGCACCCTGGCCACGTAGCAAAATACGCCATGCACATGCAGACAGTATATTGCTGGAGCGATGCCATTGGCTGCTGCGTCTGCATTGGCACGGATCGATTCGGCCTGCCGCTGCATTGCAGCCTTACGTGAAGACATTGGTCTGTACACGGCCACGACCGGGTCCCGTTCCGACGGCTGTGGCCCAGCTCACACGACAGCGCTCGATTTAGCATCCGGAGGCAATGTCCGTGGTAAGCCATTGCGTGTCGAGGCGGGTTCCATAGCCGAATCGCGGCTGACTGGAGAAACGTGGGCGCAATCAACGCATCCTCTTTAAGCAAATAAGCCTCCCTTGGGCAGCATCTCCTTAACCCCGCAGACAGTAGCGCTCAAGTCATTCACTGACAGCATGGAATAAGCCGGAGACACCAGAGGCGGAGCTCAGGTATTGCTGCGTCTCGTAATACTCGTCCCCATGTTTTGACATCTCGATATTGATCCATCACGAGCATCTATTAATGGATACGTAGATATGCACATGTCTTGTAAGCTGCTTGTCGGGTAGTGTTGTCTGCAGTACTGCGTAGAGCTGGACGAGTATAAGAAGCCAGGCTGTCCCAACGCGCCCGCGCGCGTACATGTTGGAATCACATCATCAATATCACTCTTATTGTTCTTTATTTGGTTGCCTGTTTGTTGTCTTAGCCACTTCTTCAATGATTTGTTTCAGATAGCGTAATCCCCTTGTGTTTGAATCAGCCCAGCCTATAGACTTTTGCCCTCTGGCAGAGCTCAGCCGAGACGACGATGGCACGAGCACCAGTTTGCCCCGTCCATCCGAAGCTGCAAGCACGCACAGCCTAGGACAAGCCGACCAACACGCTGGATACTCAAGGAGGAAACCGGCCAAGAGAAGAAATATGAGAGATCAGAGATGACGTGAAAATGAGGGAAGCAAAGAAGAGCTCTGATACCAGATACCAATCAATGGCCACGAGCAATATCGGCTTCCCCATTACTCGTCCTCGTAAAGTGGACAGACGCCATCCTGGAAGAGAAAAGAGCCCGATCCACGAGACGAGGCAAACACAAATAGGCAGACGCGCGCAATTCTGATTGTCTGATGCCGTCCAGCCACCAAACGCAGGCCACGTCAAGAAAATCCATGTTTTGCGACGGGCGAGATTCATCGGTGCCCAACCTCGTGACGCCCGAGCTTGTACCTTGCGCTAGGCACTGGCCACGCGCGAAACAGGTATCGGTACAGGCACCACTACCCAAGGGAGCATAGGCGAGCCGGTACCTGAGAGGTGGGTGGTGGTA